TAAAAGCGATTCAAAGAAATTCTTTTTACATTTTTTTAATATATATTTTTTTTTTTACATTTTCTACAGTCGTCTGATATGAAATGAAAAAGAAATTCATGGAGGATGTAGTCAGATTAAAATAAGAGTAAAAAACAATAAAAGTGAATTGCGGTGCTTACGGGGGCCGACGACATGCGTCATTTCATTTGTTGCAATGGGCTTGTCTTCTCTGTTTCGAAGCACTAAAACTGTTTAGCTCGACGCCGACCTTCGATTTATTGCCTCATTCCTGATCAGCTAAATCTGCAAGTTTATATTGCTCCGCCATATTTGACCTCTTACAGGGAACATTAACAAGCAGGTGTCAGCAGCAATAAGAAATGCGGCTCGTCGTACATACACCTCTTTTTCATCAGTTCATGTCATTAAACACAGGGAAAAGAAAAACCTCCTCTTCCTTTCTTTTTTCTTTTCCTTTTCATCAGAGCGGAACCATTAACGGCTGCTCTATCAAGGCAGGTACAAGCTCCCACGGTACCTCGCGCTGGGATTAAGAGAGGTGAGACATGTTAGGGGAGCGGAGAGTTCACCTCTCCGCTATCTGGGAAACTGCCAACATTTTCTGCAATTACAACTGCTCTTCGGGCCCCGCGGCGGGCTCCGGTTTTGGACCCTGGTGGCTGTTGCCATGGGAAAAGTCTCGTCCAGACATCAGTATTAAGTGACAGTAAAACGCTTACCGGAGGATAATGGCTGTTCACTTTAGCATAGAGTCTCTGAATGTTTTTGATGACTATATTAAAGGGCTTGGAGTTGTTTCTATTATTCATAGGATAGACTGTACACTACTCGCAGAAGGTTCGGTTGTCCTTCCACCGATGGAGTTTTTTTACTTATTCGCTTGTCACTCGATGCACAGCAAACAGCCGTATCGGCGAGGCCAACATATTGACGATGTTGAGCTTCTTTGGCATGTCACAGGTAGTAAACGCCTTCTGATCGACTCAAGCTTCGGTCGCGTGTCCAACAGGATACATTTGTTGAGGCTGCAGCCTTGATTGATGAGCGGCACAGCTTGATTGATGCGGGGGAAGCGCTTTGTTTCCCTTCATGTCGCAAGCCAACAAGTTGTTGGCCTGATCAAGTGTTGATATGAAGCAAGAAGGAACATTTTTGTACATTTATTGACATATACTTGAATATATAATGCGAGAATGTACAAATATAGTAACAATATTGACAGAGTTCTACAAAAGCGAAAATCTATCGATCTCCGGCCGACGTATTCACGGCAATAGTCAAGTGACCGAATGTGACCCCGTGTGGTTTCTTTTCCGTTTGTTTATCGCTGACCTCAGCTCAACCTGGAGCTCTGCACGCTTCTTTGCTTCCAAGGACTTGTAGTCAATTCAACCGCCATCGGTGGTGAAAGACCGACTCACCCGGATCATAAAAAAATAAACAGGTATCAAAAATGCAACATTTCTAGTTGGAGTTTGTGGTGATGGAGAACTGCACCGCATCATAGTAAACGGTATAAAGTGTTATTTCTGCTTAGAGCGAGGGCCACAGGTCTCATTTTGATCACAGTTTTTTTTTTGTTTCGTTTTGTTTTGTTTTTTTTTAGTTGGCAGGAAAAGCTACAAAATTGATTTCAAAGAAACGTCATTTTGGCGCAGATTTTGGCACCTGTTGAAGTCAGCTGACGTTGTGGTCCAGTAAGCTGCATTCAATGAATAAACGCGAGACAGAGAGAAATAGCTTTTAGGTGAGACCTGGCGGCGGCGACCGACTGATGTGACTGGTGGGTGTATCGTTTTATAGAATATGAAGCGGCACTGCCGGGTCTCAGATTTATTTGCGCTATATTTTCATATTCAAGTCATTACTTGGCAAGAAGTCTCTCCGGTGCAAGATGTTTATTCTCTTAATGAAAAATACCCGCAGGTGCTGCCTAAAAGCCTGTGGAAAGAGTGTGTATTATTTCATGTTTACTACCTGTCTATAACATCGCAGCACCCGTCAGTCGTTTCATATTTACTCGTGTTTGCTCATGACAGTAAACAGAAGTGGAGAGTGAAGATGAAGAACTACGCGCATTCTGCATGCCCCCCCCCATCCCCCCACTTGAATGCTTGAGAAAGGTTGGGTGAAGAAGGATATCATTATGGCAGGTTTGAGGACTTAGACCCATCCCGAGGGGAAATGGCGCTTCCCACAATGCACCGCGGGCTGGTGGTGAGCGGTGGCGAAGGCAATTACCAGGTAACGCGGAGCAGGACACGGAAAGCAGCTGCGAGCTATGCGGCGCAGTGGGGGAAGAGGGTTGTGTATCGAAGAAGCGGAGTGTGTGTGTGTGTGTGTGTGTGTTTGGGGAGATCGAAGGGGGTTGTGTATCGAAGAAGCGGAGTGTGTGTGTGAGTGTGTTTGGGGAGATCAGCTGAGACAAAAATAGTGTTCTGTGTAAGTTCCTTTGGTGAGACGCAATTATCTCTTCCACTGTTGACAAATCACGTGAGCACACGCCTCAAGGTCATTTCATCAGATATCTTGTACCTCAGCCCACCTTGTGTGCTTTTGCCTATTCAATCTGAGGGGGGCGAGGCGGGGAGTACAAAATTGTATTTTTCGAGGTAAAATGTTTTGTCACTGTAATAATACAGTACCCTCAAAGCTGGCGCTTGGGTAACCTTGACAGTCGTCACTTTTGACCCTGGAAGAAGAGGTACGCCATAATCGAGGAATTACTCTAAGTGGACACAAAGTGGAGGCTGTACCGTGTTAGACTCCAATTATATCCTGATTTCGCATTTACATGTCACAACAGTCAAGTGACAACATGTCAAGGAGCAACGCATGTCGGCAACCGCTGTTGATGATTTTGCGTTGAGGAACTGAATAGCCACTATCGGGTGCCAGTGGAAGCAGCGGTATCACAAATGATGACATGCATGAGTAATTGTCCTGCGTTTGGATGCCGGCACCTCACTGGATATCTGTACGTTCGGAGGCCAATTTCGATCTGCGCCACGGTGTGCATTTGACAGCCCGTGGGCCAAACTGGCAGCCTCCGTCACGATGCCGCTGGCGCAATCGTCTTTCGGCTCCGATTAAAATGTCAGTGATGTTGTAATAAGCGGAAGCTTTAACCACAGAGGGCTCAGCGCACACAAACACATACTGGCAATGATTGAACGTCCCCTTGTTTTGTTTTGTTTTTCTCAACGCGGCTGATCATTTTATAAAAAGCACGAATAACTCACTGATCCTCATTCGCTCCGCACGAAACCACAATTTCAACGGACCGATACGTTCATTTATAACGTCGCACTCTACTGTTTGTCGCCCGTTGCTCCGAATGCCGTTTGCTATTGAGGGTATTTGACTGACCTGAAAGTTGCTAATCCCACTCAAAAGACACGCCGCTAATTCGGGGTAAGTAGGAGACATTGAATCTCAAGAAGCGAGTGGTTTAAGACTCGGCTTTTCCTCCAACTGTCATGTGGATTCTGGCTTGAGGCTAAGCTCTGGTAAATAAAGGGTGAGCTAGCTGTCACCGGAGGTTCTCGCGCTGACGTCGGCGACCACTGTGGGGCTGTCCGTGTCATCTGGCCCTTCAATACCTTCATGAACATCGCCATCTGGAAGCCTCGGGAACGAGTGCCCGACATGCCATTCACCTCAAAAGCTGAATGAAAGAGCACATTCAAACGAGACTATGAATGTTGCCATCGAGCCCGCCTGAGGATTTTTCTCCTGAAATAAACGAAAAACAGGCACAGTTCAAATCTACAGTGAGTCATGCTGGGTGGAAGTCGCAGCCAGCATTGCTGTTGGATTGTGAGTCACAGTCAACTTAGCGACAATGAATTATCTTTGAAAAAAGAGCCATCCTTCTGCTGAGCTTTTGCATATCTTTACATTTTCCCTTCATGTCTACTTCTGACTGGCCATCTCATTGTTGAGGGCTGCGGGATGGAGCTGTGGATAGCACAGAAACTTTTGAATGTGCAACGATAGTCATCACACATCACGGAAATTAACGTGACCTTGAACCAAATTTTCCCCGCACGGTCTTCTGTTATTTGTGTCGTGCTCTTTAAAATTCCGATCTCAATTGCTTTTTGCAAGTGCACACTTTTGAGGCACCCTAAAACCGAAATGGAACATGTCAAACAATTAAACGACAGAAAAATCAAGAGTCAAATGCTGGGTTTTTTTCGATGTTTTGAGGGGATTGCCAAATGCTTAAAATATGTTCCCGCTTTGTAGCGGTTGATGTATTTTCTGCGAGTACATCACGAGGCGAATGATGGCGCTCATTAATTAAAGAAAGTAATGATATCTCCGCAGTGCTCTCCAAGGGACGGGCGAAAATGAATTTGTCGAGTCCATTGTTAAATGAATGTACTGTGAGCCGGGTGCGAGTGAGGATTTAGTGCACCTTAAGGGAGTCCCTCCTTCCATACCGAAAATATGCCTCTGAGAGCTCATCTCATATTAATCCCTCACGGAAAGTGTAGATGTGGCTCCACGCTGCCCGCCGGCTAACTTTGAGCTATTCATTACCTTTTCAGAATTACGAGCTCCTCGCTTTTATTCTCGCCGTGTCTGTTCCGGTGTTTCACTGGGCTTGTGTTGCTCAGCCTTTTGTCCTTCTGCCGCGCCCAATCCCCCAACTATCGGCGGTGACCTTGCACCCGCCATGCATCCTCCTGTGGGACAATTAAACCTTAGCGAGAACAGACGGAAAAAGGGATATAAAGAAGCCAGGTTTTGTCTTTTTTTTTTTTTTTTTTGACTCACCTGCCGCCTTTGAATCCCTCTTGAAATCTGAGTGGAGACTGTTTTATCTGCTTTATGTCGCCTTCAGCCAAGGACATGCGGACCTCCACCTGGATTGTCTGACTATATAAAGTCCTGAAGTGGAAATTTTACTCATGTTGACATGTCATTTTCAACCCCGCCCCTGTCTCTCTTACCCCCCCCAACACACACACACACACCATTTTTGACAGGTGCAAGTGCAACCTTCACGCCAACAGCTGCGTGTTTGACAAAGAGAAGCTGAGCTGCGAGTGTGAGCACAACACCACCGGGCCCGATTGTGGTCGCTGTAAGAGGAACTACCAAGGCAGAGCGTGGAGTGCCGGCTCCTACTTGCCCATCCCGAAAGGCACTGCGAATATATGTGAGTACGCCCACACACTCGCACGGCTGATTAGTAATAGCGGAAGGGTCACGTCACAGGTTCTTTGACAGACAAAAGGCGGATGGAAAGTGAAGACTTTGGGGTGCAGACGGCTGGCAAGAATTGATAGCCAATTAGCAGCATTCCGCAACGTCATCTTTTGACATCTGACGCTAACAGTTTGAAAAGTGAAAGAATGACTTATCTGAGAGCGCTTCAAGGTAACACGAGGCAATTAACACAGTTTCAAAGGAAAATGTAAATTCAGGCTTTGTTTTTTTTTTTTTTTTTTAAAGAAATGTGTCAAAATTGACTCCGGTCTACAGTTACATGCGCACTTTTTAGGGGGAAGAATGGACACCTATTGTCAAGATTATTCACGTAAATTCAGGCTTTTTTTTTTGTTTTATTTTGAAAGAAATGTGTCAAAATTGACTCCGGTCTACCGTTACATGCGCACTTTTTGGGGGGAAGAATGGACACCTATTGTCAAGATTATTCACAAAAATTAAATAACATCACCCTACATTTTTGTCAACACAAACAATAATGTCAGCAAATCGTGTAACTTGAAATATCGTCCTAAAAACATTTTAACTCGAGCAACTATCTGTGCATAGGATGAAAGGCCCAGTTTTCTAAGAGAGAGTCTGTGAGTGTTTTTAATTTAAAAAACATAATTAATTCAAATAATCGTTACTGGTGAACTTAATTTGACTTCCAATTGACGTTTCAATCTAATTATTCAATGTTTCAGAACATTTTGCACGAAAAGCAATTCACAACAGAAACTTCCAACTTGTCCGCGTCTATGCCTTTCTGTGACTCTTCCGGTCTCTGTATCGCTGTTGTAACCTACTGGTGACATTCTCTGTGACACTCAGAGGCAACTTCCCTCTGAGAAGCCTCGTCATGGCGAGGTACCGGTACTTTGATCAATTCTTAGGTGTCATCTTGGTTTCGGGATGTCAAAAAGTGAAGCGCATGATGAGCAGGACTGGATGATGACAACCAATCATAATTGAACTAGGAAATGTACTGGCCCATTCGTGGATCAACCACTTTAGTTTTTTTTTTTTTTGTGAAATGTTGCCAATTAGCTCCTTGGTAGAGAACAGAAAGTTGTGCCAAAAGCACTGAAACATTGAACAGTCGAGTGTTCGAAAGTTTCAGGAAGGTCAAATTCGGTTCACCTGTAGAAGAAATTGTGCATTAAGATTTTGAAAGAAATTCAACCCCGAAGCCCCACATCCCAAACTTTTTGTGATGAGCGCATGCTCTTGTTGCCCACGCGATGTAGTTCGGCGACACTTAAATGAGATGCAAATGACTTGAACTTTATTCATTTTTCTTATCAGCCACTGACCCACAGACTAAATGCTACTTAATTCATTAATCAACTGCGGGAGGTCGTACAATATCGTACGTACACATCGCCCATTGCCTTTCAGACATCCGGATAAACTATAAGGTGCATTTATATGCTTGAGCGCGCCGGTATCCGTTTGAAGCTCAAGTTTTATCCGGCTCCTTCACCTTATTGCATCTGCTGTGATTTCTGCATTCATCACCGGTGCTCGAAGGCTCTTGGCCGCCGACCTAATGACTTATTCTCCCTCCCAAGGGATCCCTGTTATGAGACTTGGGAAGGGTGAGTGAAATAGCCCTTCCTAGACCCCAGACTGACAGCACATTATTAAAAAAAAAAAAAAGTGTCACACATCCTTTGGTTCACCTAGGCACACAAAGACACATATTCATAACTGAGACACATTATGCATTCCCTGCAGGTGACTGAGCACATCTTTATCCTTGATTTCAGGCAAAATCTGCATACAGTGTGTACAAAAAAAGTCTACACACTCTGGTTCGAATATTTATTAAAAATACGAGACCATGAAAAATCTTTTCAAAAATTTTATGTGACCTCATCCTGTTCAACTGCATTGATTTTGGGGGTTCGCTTTCTATCAAAAGCCTCAAGGTTTTTGACATATCTTGCCACCATTCCGTGTGGACCAAAAAAATGTGAAGAAGAGAGGAGATTGTTGTCAGAATAACAGCCAGGGTTCTGCACTCCATTCATTATGCTCTACCAGATGCTGCAGCTTTATTTTAAGTCCTACAAAGAGCTGCTGATCATGGAAATGTCACCAAACGCACTCACCTATTATCATGGGTGCTAACACATACGGTACAGTGTCATGCCTCGCACTCATTAAAACAAGCGAACAACCACACACACACACACACACACACACACACACACACACACACATGCACTGAATATTTTGCTGAATCTCTTCTGCACAGTGCGAGTCTGTTTCTGTGCCTATTTCACTCGAAGGAGCAAATCCCCACGGGATCTTCTAATGTTGCCGTAAAATAAATCTCATTCTTCGGGAGCACTAAACAACCATTATGCAAATTGTCCTCCAATATCACTTCTCCACGACAATACCGCGAATTACATTCACATTTGACTCGAACACCTTAAAAGTCTCTCGTAATATGATTTTACTCACTCCTTCCTTGTTTTTGTCGGCCTAATGCGGTCGTGCAATACAATCACGTGTTGGCCAATTGCACAAAGTTGAATGTTCATCACCTCACTGTACAATTCATTAACTGCAATATAAAATATCTCGTTTTATTGCCATGTAGCTGCGATGGTAATCTTTCTTTTTTTCAAATACTTATTTATTTATTTATTTTTTAATCTTCAGATTCCATCTCCCTACTTTTTCTCCACCTGACATGCACGTCATTCCATCATAGAAATCTTGAACGACGCCTCGGGCGCTCAGAATATAAGATGAAGCCTCAATTCAGAGCGACGCCTTTCGATCAAATGAGCGAGGCGGCCACCTCAGTGAGCCAATGTGTCATTTTGCTCTTTCTTGTTGCGCGCCTGTGCCGGTCTCTCCGTTGCTGGCCTGTTAGCTGTTATTACATATAGAAAACAAACTGTCAATAACACTCGGCAAAGTACAGACCACCGCTATAGATGGACTCCTGTGTTCGCTGATGAATGGTTTACTATTAAAAAAAAAAAAAAAAAAAAAAAGAAGGGAGGGGGAGTGGGGGGGGGGGACATTTGTAAATATTTGATTGACAATTCCGATCAGCATCACAACCTAATTTATTTCCAGTTTGGAACATGCGGACATGAAGGATGGAATTGTTTAGTGTGCGCGACAAAGCTGTGTTCCCCGTAGCTTTATCAGAGAACATGTTTATTATGGGCTTGATATAATTTATTATTAAGGTCACCGCGGTGATCTCAGATGGATGACTGCATAAATGTGCAGAGCCTGTGAGGCATTAATTTCTCTCATCTCTGGGAAGGGAGATTTATATTAAAATGACTTGACGTTACCATTCATGACTCAGCCTGCCGACCCTGTATGTGCGCGTCTGTGTATGTGTGTACGTGTGTTTTTGTGGATGGGGCGGGGAAAGGGCGTGGGGGGGCTGGAGCATGGGCTACTGACCCCCACATGGTCATAGATCATTTTCAATGAATCGCACGCCCTTCACAGATCATGTTCAGCGACTTGCAACCGTGATCCCGACATCGCTCGTAAAAATCAATGAAGCGCACGGTCAACATGAGCTGCTAATGCTCTTCCGGTGTGATAGGATAAAATTAGATTGCCGCCGTGCCCTCATCATGATGGCGCTGGGCCACGTGGACAGGATAGGAAATGACAGTGATTGAAAAATAATGGAATGGCTGCGACAGTGGATCTTGGAAGTCTGTTCAAACCCCACAGGTTGTTCATAAAGGGGTGAATAATTGTGCTGACAGCCCATCGGGGCTCCGAATCGTATTAAATAGGAAGGAAGCGCGTCAAGTATGTTTTGTTAATGAGTCGCCAGTTTCTAACATTTATTTGTGCCTTTTAGAGCCGAAAAGCCCGGTTTCTCATGACATTCCCAATGGCAAAACTGTTAAAGTTAAAGTTGTCTGAAAAAAAAGTTGTGCTTTTGCATGTATGTACTATATTATATAAAATGTGTGCATCTGGCTACTCTAATGGAGATTGAATATCGGTTTGGATATTTGTAGAGTGGACATTGCGGTGCACAGTGATTTGCTGAAGATGTGATGTTTTCCTTGAAGACGAGGTGTTTATTGAAGTGCACAACGCACTCTGCGATTAATTGCTTCATTGTGCCTTCATCGCAGCATTCTAATCGACAGCTCGATCCACGTTGAGGCACTCTCATATTTCCTCGCTGAAGGCAAAGAGCAGTCGTATCGCGTTGGCAGACGATATTTTATTCTCTATAAACCCCCTGATGACTTTTTTTCTACTTTTTCCACTCAGGCTGTGAACTTTTGCGCTTTGTGATGCTCATTAACAAGAGCCAGTCTTCCGGTGTTAGATTCACGGGAGTGAATATCCACCTTGGAGTACGTCTAGATTGAGTCTGTCGGTTTGTCCACATGGCCATATTTAGCAGCACAGACATATTTGTTTTGTAGAACAGAACAACCTCTTCTGTGTAAAGTCGCACAGGTGACCTCGTTTTTCATTTTGGTTACATTCTTTCACATCTATGATCATTTGTTTATTTTTTTTCCTCCCATTCATCTTCTAGAATTGTTTTATTTTGTTTTTACCAATGTGTCTTTTCATGACTTTGTGGCATGACTGGAATTTTTTCATGTCCAATTCTTGGGCAAACTTATGGAGTGGTGCAGTGATGGATGAACGACTTCCGTCATTAATCAGGGAGTGCTGGGTGTGAGTCTAAATTAGTGTTTCGCTCACAGAACTATATACGGTGCATTTTTGCCCCCCCCCCCTTTGTGAACATTGAGAATAAAGACTAAATACAGTGAGTCATAAGATTTGAGAATTAATGGTGAAGAATTACACGTTTCATGACGTTAAAAAAACATAACTATGAAACAACAACTGGTGATGAGTTTAAATGTCCAAAGTAATAAAACAAAAACAAAGTATGAAATCTGATCATTTAGAAACACGGTCAGGGTCTGTTTTCATCTATTGGATCTAATGGCTTGTGAATCATTCTGTCGGTTGCTTTGTTTCTCCAAAGTCTGTCTGAGTCGACATTTGGTCACCCTAATTTGCCATCTCACATGTTTTCCTTTTTCCCTTTACGCCGCTCGAACAGCGTTTATTTTGACACTCGACGCTACTACTGCTAAAACTGCACCCTTAAGCACAATAAAGGTGATTATGATTCAGCTCATCCTCGCCGTTGTCCTTCCTGTCTCCTCGATCGCATCTGTGCCCACCCCCCCCGGAGGTCCGGCATCCATTATGCTCCCTCCCTGTGTGTCGGCATGGCGTCCTGCAGTTCACAGCTTACAGGGAACACACACACACACACACACACACACACACACACACACACACACACACACACACACACACAACAACAACACACACACAGCTGATAATTTACAGGACGTCTGGCTAGCAAAGATCAGACACAGTGATTGAATGACAGCAGTTTGAGTCTCCCACTTCCACACAAGTGAACTCTTAGCAACCCACTAAAAAAATGACCGTGGTCATAGCTAATCCAATCTGATCAATTGCTGCGTTGTAAATATCACTTCAAAGGCTGACCTGATTGAAACGGCAAGAATGAGACATCTCAATTCCACAGAAGCACAACCAGTCGACACCCTGAGGTGAGAGGGAACTTGTCACCATGGGAATGAGACACGCTCCGTTCTATGCTCGGTCGCCGTCTGGCACGGTGAGGGACGGACAGGATGAGACGCGTCCTGGCTTCACAGGCAGACTTTTCGCTCTGCGCCGACATTGGATGCGTTGTGTTGCTGAAGGTGTGCATGAGAATTCCGTCTCGCCTTCCTTTGACAAAGAATCGTTTTGACAAAGCAGGGCGGCTCAGAAGCATCTTCAAATGTCTTTTTAACTTGAAAAGATAAAGACACGCATTGTTTCTGGCCCTAATGTGTCCGCTGGAATTAGTTTTTTAATGCTGCTCATCCAAGTCGGGCTGTTGCATGATGGTGGTGAGAGCTGCAACCGATCAAGGGGATTCAAGGATAATTGAATTCAAAGAATAAGAGTGCATTGTAAATGAATGAAATGAAAGGTTGCCGTCCGTGCTTTTTTTTTTTTTTTTCCTCTGTCTGAATTTATGCCCTTGTTTTTCCTCTTCCTCTCTTGCAGGTATTCCTAATAACATTGGTCCTGTTAGTAAGTAATCCGTCACAAAGGAACTGTCACAGTGCTGGATGCTTCGCTCTGCCTATCGTGCCACTACCCTTCACCACACGTCCCTCAAATTGGTGCCAAGTGTTCATTTCTGATGAGCTGCGGTTTAGGGTTAGACATGCGTCGTTAAAAAATTCCAGACCGTATTCAACCTGTTGATGCATCGAGGGACAAACCTTACAACTGTCGTAGAGTTGAGATGAGCACATAAAGTGCGTTGCTAGAGTACAAACTGCAAGATCTCCTTTGCCAATGATGTAGTTGGCCACGTATGTGGCGTGTGCAATTGGAGTCGAACACTGAGAAATGTTTATGCTGTGTTGATTGATTTATTTTCAAATGCATTCCTCCTTATGTGATCGACGAGCCAAAATGAAGGTGTGCAGGTCCCAGCCTCAGTATTTCCGTAGGACTCGCGAATCAATGCACAAAGGTTTGTTCGAGTCATGGTCTGTGCTTTCTCGAAATGAGTGTCTTGCTTCCCATTTGTTTATGATAGCTCTCGAGAGTCGTCTCGCTCAACACGTTTCCTTACCTTTTCCTTTACATTTTAAATAAACAGCATCCCAACTTTATTTCAGGCCAAAGACTTTTCCGAAAGTATGAGGTTGCTTAAGGTTATTTTAATATGAGCTGCGAGGCACTTTGCGCCGGTATGATCACCATCAAGCCGTGCCCTCAGAAGAAGAAAGCGAGAAATAAGGCGTGCGCTCTCACGTTGCCGCCGTCTGCGAGGCTGTGCGATGCAGCAACGGGAGGACTGCGTTGAACACAAAGTCAAAGTGCACTCACAGCCACTCTCCGTCTTTTATTGCAAATCGGAGAGAATATTACCAACGCCCGGATCGGCAGACTGTAGACGAAAACATGTCGGATTCAAATTTTTCATCGGCTGGGAGACGAAATGCAAGGTTCGCGTATGCTGGCCCCTGCAATTATCCATTCGATGAAGTGTTTGGATGCAATTGCATCAAATATATGTCAGTATTATCTTGGCACGAAATGTCAGACACGCGCAGTCAACACAGCCAATAATTGGACTCTTCTTATTTATGTGATACGGACAAAATAGATTCAAACACAAGTAAATGCGCTGGTCACTTTCAGCCTGCAGTAAAAACGGTTACGAGACCTTTGACAAAGTGAATCATTTAACGAGATGATCCATAAAAGCAAAAAAATGCAAAATCTTCAATCATTTTAAAATAAAAAACATTGTTGAAATCAATACAAATAAACACGTCGAGTATGATGGGAAGCATTATTGTCATCGCTAAAATTATTAACCCTTTTATTTTATTTTTTGGGGGGAATGAAAAATATTTAAAGCTTGTCTGAGCGAATTTTTATTGAAGGACATGTCGTGTGTTTTATGCGCCAGCATTGGGCAATCTTCCTGCGGCGTGTTGTGTGAGCCGTAGTGTGCAAACAGATTGTCCTCAGGTGGTTTTTAATCAGGCTTAAGAGAAAAGTGGACAGCACGGTCGTCAGAAATGGACACGTGGCAAAAGACCAATTTTCCGCCGCTTGCCTTCTTTATCACCTTCACTTGCCATTTTGCTCCCCCCTCTGTGCCATGCACGCATATGCATAAATATCTCAGTGTGCGTATGTATATCTATGTGTGTGTGTGTGTGTGTGTGTGTGTGTGTGTGTGTCTGCCATGCGTCCAAATGCCTCACCGTGCATGAAAGCCGTCCTCGAAAGCTTAACATGGAGTGTGCATGCTAGACTCTCGCACTGCAACCTTTCACAGCAGTGGCGCAAAACTGCTCCGACTATCTGCTTGGAAGAGGACGAGGCTGCGCAAACGACACAAGTTTGAACACTAAATGACTAAAGAGGATGAGAGAAGTTCAGCCGTCCGACGACGTTAAATAGATGAAAACGTCGTGTGGAACGAAGGGAAGTCTGTTTGGCATTAGTTTTTGCACTTTAATTTATCACGATTGATTATTTTCCTGTCCTCTGACATATTTCAGGGCAATCAAATCTGACTCAATGGCAATATATTAAAGCAAAATGAATATTTCAAAAACAAGAAACCGGGCCATTTTAATAGCATTTTGTTATTCTCGGCGCGGCATTGATTGAAACCGTCTCAGCGCCTTCCTGAGCACAACAATCGTCTGTGAAAATAAAGAAACTAAGCAATGGATTTTGATCGCAAAACCTTTCAAATGAATTAATTAGACGCAAGACTTTGAAATGCGAATTTGGGAGGGTTTTTTTTTTTTTTTGTAATCCATCATAAAAATAAAAAGAAATTTAAAAAAAAAAAGAAAGAATAGATTTTTGGGTTGAGTGCACCAGAGGTGAAGTCACAATCAATGTCTGATTCCAAATGCAAGATCAATCGTGAATCACTTTTTTTGGAGGGTGATGGGGGGCAAAAAAAAAAAAAAAAAAAACGAGATGGGATGGGAGGAAAGTCTTTTGTCTCTCTTAAATCAATAAATGCAAACGTTAGGGGATTAAAAGTGATAGTCACGGTTTTCCGAGCTGATGTATTATTCAGTCCAGGGGGGGAAAGCAAGTTGAAATGCAACAGCTTGAAAAGTGTTCTTTTGCCAAAGAAGCGAGGTCACATTCTCTGTTGGCACCTTTTTCATATTTGACGGCGTTGCGTTACTCGCAGGAAGGTGCCCCATTTATACGGTCGAAGGACAAAAAATGATGAAGGAAAAAAAAAAAAAAAGATGGAGGGGCCCGAGGAGGGAATGTACCCGTGTTGCTTGAGTCCTCTCCATTTCCAGGCACGCGAGAGTATTTCCCCGACACGGAAATACCGACGTGGATGTACGCTGAGGTGATGCTTCCCACAGCAGTCCGTCATTCCAAATCCCAACACCTGCCATTATTTATTCATTGTTATTCCTCCACCAGAAATACACTGTAATTAGATATTGATCACATAGTCAATGTGATGAATTAAACAAAATGCCCCCAAACGTCTTGAGTTGCCATTCAGAATTAAGTCACTCGCATAAGCCATGACTCAAATGTAAGTTGTTTGTTTTTTTTGTTTTGTTTTGTTTTGTTTGTTTTTGGAGAGGGTGTCATGTAATCTCATTTTTTCAATCACCATCGCCATCATCATAAACACACACAGCACAATCCCACATGCAAGTCACGCTAGTTACATCCAACGTCTCCCCGGTGTCCTCGAATGGGATGCTTGGCGTTGCTCGTCCATGTCAAACTGTGCCACATTGCTGTTCCCCCAATTGGACTGGTTTTGACTCATGCCAGACCTGTGCGTGTCTCCAGTTGTGTGTGTTCACCGCCACATAGTTCCCCCCGTAGACCGACTGTTAAGTGCATCACCCGAGTGCACATGAATAACTGATGGTTTCTCTCAATTGCACGCAGTTCGGCCGAATGTCTCGTCCCTAGGTGTCGCTAACCGAAAAGAAGGTAGGCCTCTCAGATTATGCCATGTGTTTGCTTTCACACAGACATTTATGTACTGTCAGCGTAGCTGTGTAGAAGTAACAAATAAGCCTTTTTTTTCCCCCAAGCTAGGTGCACTTGAATGTAACAGTCGAGTCCCATTTAAAGCGGATGCTCACAATGTTGACTTCTCACTGAAGACTTGTCTTTTCATGAGAAGCTCAACTGTTCTAATATGATTTCGTCCACTACTCTTGGATACACATTGTGCGCCTTCCACTGCTTTTATTCCCAGCTTCCTTGAATTTTTTTCTCCCATCGGAGCGCAAAGTGAAGAAAAGCGGAAGTGGGTCCTCGGTGGTTTTGCGCATATTGATGTTCGGCTCAACTCGGCGTTCATCCTGTCATGCAGATATGATGTGCAGCCATCTCACTAACAGCTAGCGCACAACACGGCAGAGCATGTGTGTCGAGGGTTTACGCCATGCAGCGTGATGTGGTAGATGCATATTTCCTTTAGCCACTGTTTGTTCTGTGACTGAAACACAATTGGGAGATTGATGCGTTCACTGTGAGTCCGTTTCCCAAGCCACGCTCCTGCACATACATTTAGAGTGGAACGTTCTTGGATGGCCTCGTGTGAGGTGGACGAGCGGTTTGTCAGAGGCTAGTTTGTGTCTGGGGGAAGCACGCAGGCCTTAATCATACAAAACACGTTTATTAAATGAAGCAGAAAATACGATTACTCGAATGCTTTGGCGTTTCTGGCGTTTGTATCAGATGCCGCTACATGCAGCCAACTTCACTTGGCAATGCCACCCCTCCTTTTCCAGAGCCATCGTTCATCTTTTGCAACCTGCTTTGATTTTCATGATCAATCTCGATGCTCCATGTTCTTAATTATCTGACATTACATGTTTCCGTTGGATTGCATTGTCATTTTATTTTCTTTATGCTTGTTTCTTTTTTTTTTTCCAATTTGTTTCTAGTAGCTCCACAAGTTGCATTGTCCACTGCCCCTTCAGTCCACGTTGCAAACCGCAAACGAGGTAGGAATCCCCCCTCCCCCCATGAAAACTCAGACTTCTTATTGAATGAACTACTGCCTTTTGTCGGACCCTGAACTACTAACCCAATTTTAGACTGATCCTCACCCAAAGTGTAAATAAAGTGGGAATGAACTACAACTACACTAAGAAACTTTATTTACAACCTCAGCCCATTTCTATAAAAATGCAGCTTCTTTGTCTTATGGTAAAAAAGTGAGGAGTACTACTTCAGTCTTATGCTTGTCCGTGGTTGTGCAACAGACAACACGGGTGCTCCTTCATGGTCAAGCCTTGTCAGGTGGTTAGTAAGTGGACAGGGCGAATTGACCTCAATACTCATCCTTAATAACCACAATCCCTTGGACAAAAAGCCCCAATCTCGCCCTTCCCTCTCTGGGTATTCCTTCCAAGCGGTTGGCGGCGGTGAGGCTTAAGAGTGCACATCTGTCTCAACTGTGACACATGGTGTCAGTGGTCATTCAGCCTGCCAGTCTTATTGCTATGAGCGGAGTTGAAGTGAGGCTCCGAACCTGCCCATCCTGCAGCCTTCAGGGCAGGGATGACAGTGAGCAGAAATGACTGCAGCATGAGCTTTCAGAGACATTGCACCGCATCGAAGCCAATGAAATCTAGCAGCAAATGATCTGACTTGCCCATTGGCTTCAAGCTGTTAATAACCATGGGAATTTGGCTGTCAATTTTTCGTTTTCGACTTGAGTTGCAGCTTTGTGTCAGCTAAGCTAATAAGCATTGGTAAACACTATCCTGTTCCCGAAAAGAACATTAAAAACTTCAGAGCCCGGGAAGAAGTGAGGCAAAATCATCTTAGCCTCATTTCCACCAAACAGTACAGTCAGGGTTTGAAATCCCGCCATGGAGTATGTAGGCAGGACGGCGATAGCAATGGCAACTAGAGAGTGACATCACCGCAGCAACAGGGCATGTCGTTCACAAAAAGTTCAACGGTGACAATTCTCTGACAACCAATCAATGGGCAGCAATATCTTCAGCTCTAATCTTCATTAGCAAACCGTGGCTCACAACTGCGAAAGCAACCAGGACAGAGCTGCCATTTCGGCTCCTTTTACAATGCAAATGCCGAAAGCTGTGGAGCAATCTGAACGTTGGCAGAGTTATGCTGGAACGAAATCACGAAGCCAAAGTTGAACGATCAATTTGTCTGTAAAAGGACGGGCAACTAACACATGATCGGTTATTTCGTTGGTGACTGAGTTGACATCGTAGTGTCAGCCTGTGAAAGAAACACCTTTCAACTGTTAGATCAATTCTAGGTTTCTTGAATTTGTCGGGGAAACGTTCATTACAGATTACTGGCAAAAACGGTTTCATCTCATCCTCTTTCCTGTCACTTCAAATCAGAGCAATCGCGAAATTGTATCTGGACAGGCAATGTCGAAAGTCTACAGTTCGGTTCATCGGGTTAAAATTCTCTCCTGGCTTGACCTGCCCTATGCTGTGTGGTGCTTTTAATGTGAGCGTATTTCTGTACTTTCCCGCGCCTGGTCCTGTCTTGTGATGTGTTGTGATTATACTAACGCTGTGCTTCTGCAATGTCGATTCTAAAACAGTGGCTGTGCTCGTGGCAAACTATTCATGAACCCACCGCCACCCCTCCACCACGGCCCTCTCATGATCTCCCAAACATCTCGTCCCATTGTTAACCCGGCATGCTGTGGCACCAAATTCGTGCTAACCCGACCGCCGTAGCGCTGAAAGCAGCGGACCAAATTCGACCACGTTTCTGTCTGCCTTCTCTGCACACATCCGCCCTCTTTGCAAGACTGCGAATGCTTCGGCCACTCCAACCGTTGCAGCTACATCGAGCTGCTAAACACGGTCATTTGCGTGAGCTGTAAGCACAACACTAGGGGGCAGCACTGCCAGCTATGCAAGCTGGGCTTCTATCGCAATGCTTCGGCAGAACTGGATGATGAAAATGTTTGCATAGGTTAGTCCCTCGCTTCCCCTTTTCTCCTACAAACTGTCCTCACTCCGACTGGTCCACCTTCATCCTCCTTTTATTAACCGTCCTTCTGTTCACATTGTCCTGTTTTGCCTTCTCCAGTCCACCTCATTCATTAATATCCATCCTCAATTTATGTGTCTAGAATAACGGCGGTTGGAAGGAAATTGATGGTATTGCGCAAATTTGGCCCTCTAAAATTCACAAGATGGCACCGGTACACACATGTACATGAAAATTGGTGGCTTACTTTCTAAGGCTGGAATTTGACAGTTAACTTGAATGTGAGTTATTCATTTTGTGACTCATGTTTCAATTAGTCTGAGCTGGCAATAGAGGTTTAAAACTCTAGCACAAAGTGATAAAACTTGGGAAAAAAAACACGGAACGTGAAGCGATGATCACTTGACACACTGATTGCTGAAGACCTTTTTAATCGATAATGCAGCATCAGGTCTTTGAAGTCATAAATTGACTCTGCAATTTTTGCACTTTCCTGTGTGCAAAAGCACCTTAAACCTGGTCGATTGTTCGGCATCTTGCATGTAAAGCTCCCTTCGGGTCACTCCACATCGATTGGAATCAGCTCTGTCCCCCAGGCTGAGCTATTCCGAAACTTTAATCTTCTGGTGAGGCCGTTTTATTGCCGATCTGGATACATGCTTTGTGTTGAAAAGGCCTGAAAGGGGAAAGCAAAACCCCTCTCAACTTGAGCCGCCTTCGTCTCGAGCGCACGCCTGAAGGTTTTGTGTAAAAAAAAAAAAAAAAAAAAAAAGAAAATTGATAGATTTTCCAAAATCGCTGTTAATTCCCGTCACCTTGACGGAAGCCATATTTCCAGGCAAACACAAACACTCCAATTTTTTTTTTCTTGGTCTAAAAAAAATAATAATTTTGGAGGCATTAATGAAGGATGCATATTTTGCACGTGGCCTAAATATAGAGTGGAATCTGAAAACACTTGTTTGTTCTGCAAGATTACTCTTGATCTATTTTTTGGCGACGAGGTAAACAAGCCGAGTTTAAAATAGCTTCATCATTTGTGGACAAGGCAACTGTAATCAGCATATTTCTCTCACACAATTAGTCCCGAGAAGCTAAAGTCTCATTTTCTTTCGTTGTAATTGTCAGTTACGAGCCATTTTAATCCGGCCGTGACCTTTGCACGAGCACTCTAACTTGCCTCAGCTGTTTTTCTTTGTCTAAAAATACGGGAACATATTTTGCATCGTCCCCGATGGCAAAAGCTACATTTGCCAGTCTTTCAACGTCCGCAGTGCCAGGTGCATGTTTAAGTCCTGAGGGGAGCTCGGGAGTGGCGGCTGGTGGTGGTGGGGATGGGGAGAGAGCGGGGGGCAGTCTGACAGGTTACGACAGTTCCAAGGAAACAAAGAAGTCAGACATGCTATATGACATTATGTCAAATATATGAAAAGGCTTCAGGAGCAACAGCTGAAACCCATCACGAGGCATTAAAGGCCACCGACAATTTACCTTGTGCCAAATTGTCAGCCACCCCAGCTCTGCGTGCTGACCTCCATGCCTTGATTTGTCACTTAAAGTCACCTCTTTCCTGTTGCCTGGCATGTACGTTGAAGTTGATGAGCGGCGGGGGTAGTCAAAAATACTGCCGTTGTCACTTGGAGAGCAAAGGGTTGCAGCTGTAGCGCAACGCTGGAAGGGCAACGTGGTCCAGGGCCAAACACATCTAGTACAGGCTGTTCGGAAATTCAGTGTGAACTTGCGATTTCATGAACAGACATGGTTTAACATATTGAAACGCGTACTAAACAAAATACATTGGCTCAGTAGTCATCAGTAAAAAACACGTGTGCACAGTGGCTTTCTAACACACCGTATTATTCTGGCTGGCGTATTGTACTCAGTTTCACTTATCCCGACAGGTGAGCTGGAACCCAGCCTAGCTGAGTTTGTGCAAGACGCGAGGGTCGCGGGGCCATGAAAAGTATTGTTGTAACACTCTGGGCTTGAAAGAAACGATGACAACAATGCCCATTTCAATGTGATGTCCTTCCACTCATTCCACTCCGCCGTCTTGGTGACATTCCCATGTGTCCTGAAAAACAGCCATTTGCACTCTCCCTTTTCCACTTCTGCACACCTTCTGCCTGTTTTGATCAATGTCATTTTAGACATCGCATGTGCACTAAAGCCCATTTGGTCCACCTGAAATTGCAGCTAATGATTGTGCGTCATATATTTGCTCACTGCGCGCTGTACATTAAAAAGAAGGATTAGTTAGGCGCTGAAAATAGGAACACAATTTCAGAGGATCCTTTCAAAAGAAGAAAATGATCACATTGGGGGAAAAAATTTGAGCTTTAGGGGGGAAGATGCCATTTTTTTAAGCGCAAATCAAATAAGAGCTCATCAGTTTTAATGGGTGTGCATGCACCGTGACCTACTGTCCTATTTCGCAAATAACATTATATATCTTATGATAAATAATACAAAATTACATATCGATATTTGAATGACACTTAACTTCTTCCGAATATTTAAAATTTGATGGGCGACATGAAGATGTGGAGTAGTATCGCAGTAAGTTTTTTTTTTTTTTTTCGGGAGATCTGAATCAGACTGTAAATTTCCAAATTTGCTTCGTCTTAATAAAAAGCATTTTGTACTTTTTTTGGGGGGGAGGGGTTATCATAATCAATGTGATCTAACTTTGACTACCATTGAAATGATTTCTCATTGATTTAAAAAAGACTACCGGTATTTAATTGAATTTGGTTTTAAAAACGACTGGCAAAATGCTCGCACGCACAATCCACTTCACATTGTTTTCATTCTGTGTTACTATTGAAATGGCAGCAGTTTCATTGCGGGTGATGTAGCCACAAGTTTTCATCGGGCGAATGTTGTTGAACAGTCATTGAACTCGAGGACCGTTGGGCCACGCTGTGCACATTTGCAAGGGGTGCTGGGATGTCAAAGCACGTGCACCTTGTCTCCAGCTTGTGTGTGTGTGTGTTTTTGTTTTTCCAGAGTGTAATTGTAATCCCTTTGGCTCAGTCAGTGATCGCTGTAATGGCACAGGATATTGTATATGTAAGGAGGGCACTACAGGGCCTAAGTGTCGCGAGTGTCTGCCTGGCTATATGTGGGACGATGGCTGCAAATGTAAGTAGAACCGCAACGACCGCCAACTTTCAGGTCCACTCCTCCCCCTCCCCCATCCCTTAATCGGCTGTCTGGCTATCTCCCACCTTCCCTTATTGCCCTTTTGTCTGAATCTTTGGCTTTGTTGGAAAAATGTGCATCGATCGTAAAGCCAGCTGGACATACACTGTCTCGCTCAGCCCGGGCACACGGGGGGAAAGCAACGGCCCGCATGCTGCTCACTAACGCGGTTATTCAGCCATGCAACACGGCAGCGACATAAAAGCTGAGCCAATATTGACGGCTTGACAGACTGCCTGGAATCTGTTTGAGTATGCGTCACCTTTTTTTGTCAGTCCACAACAACAGGCAATGTCATCCAAAGCTAACAACTCTCGACGAGGATACAGGTTGGAGAAATTCCCCGTTTTTTTAATACAGTCGCTCATGCTCATAATGAGAATGAAAATGAAGGCCGCTATGACTTTTTGCGCGCTTTCTTCAAGATAGTTTACACGTACTTCTGTCGGTAAGACAAAAAAAGGGCTCGGTACCAGAAATACTTGAAAAAGTTTTCCGTTGTGACCTTTCCATCTTCCATCCTCCGATTCCAAAAGGAGATGCGTGCATGGTCAAACCTCCATTTGTATGCAGACTGTGGAATGCAATTAAATCTGAAATCTCTCACCAAACACATTTCCGTTCCAGACACGCCTACTTCATCAGTCCCCTCTCCAAATATTTTCTCTCATCAAAAGTAAATGCACCAGATCTGATCATGTACCATACCTGTTTACATGCAGACTTCGTGCGATGGGAATTTTTAGGAGGTGAAGTCATAAATTGGGCCGAAAAGAGCAAAAACCAATCACGGTTAATTTGGCATTAATCACCACTGTTGGATTACCAGGTTGTAAACACGGCTGTTTCATTAAGACAAAAAAATGCGTCTGTCATTTTGACCCCTGTAAACGTTGATTGAATTGCCTTGGATCTTTGACAAGATCGAATCGAATAACTCACGGAACGTATTTTATGCACGTACTATACCAGCTCCTCGTGTCATTTCGAGTCAAACCTATTTGATGATCGAAGGTGAGTTGCTGAGAAAAATGTTCCAAATACATGGAGTTGTCTCTTGTCAGGTCAGCTTTTCTGATGCCGCACAGCGGGAATGGAAGCCGCCGTGAATATTCTCGGAAGGGGGATACTTTTACTAGCAGCAGCAGGGACAAGTATGAAGGTCGCGGTCTCATTAAAGGAGTCCCCCCTGCATCCTGATCGTATCGCTGCTATTTTCTAGGAAACACCCTCTTTTAATGAATACACCTCAGTGCCTTCGCCTCTCTTCTTTTATTTTGAGTGTGAGAGATCCAACATGAGAGAAAAAGAAAGGAAAAAAAAAAGTAAATGTATGCTTACGACCCCGAGAGGCAAAATGGAGCTGGAACTTTCAAAATAATAGCACTGGACATTTTATGAATTAATTTGAGTTTCTGGTCAGTGTGAAGGCCGGTCCTATTTTCGCTACATGTGTGGCCCGAAGATATTTCTTCACTCCACATTTGTTATTCTAATTACTGACCCAATACTTCGGATTCTGTACCGTTGTCAAGCTCCTTTTGAAAATGAGATTAGAAATGAAAATAAAAGTTATTGCCCACCAGACTAAATAGCCAAATAGAAGTCAATCTTTCTTTGCACACATCCCATCAAAGTCCATTTTGACTCGTCCTGGGACACGGCATGCACCCGGCTGAGAGCCCCGATATTTGTGGTTGGGATATTTATGTCCCATCGAGTTCATAGATTGCTTAGCATCTTGTTTTCCACTAACGGGAAAAAAGGAGGCAAACGTGTCAAAGTCTCTCCTGTGCTTATCATTGTTTATTTGTCTCTGTTGGTTTATTAGTTTGCGCAGCCTTGCTTTGTTTGCCTGCAGCTTGCTTGACAGCTTGCCTCCGGCGGGAATAGAGTGGCCTCGGTGTCCCGGCTCTAAATATGAGCCAATTTTCAACCTGATGTTCACTTTGTCTAAAGTCGCTGCTGTTTGGAGGCGGAGGGGGAAGCCTCACAGGCTCTGGGGAAACTGTGGACTCTGCTTTGTTACACCGGAAATGTGGAAATAACCGTGCCGATTGACATGACATCAAAAATAATTAGCGCACTAGTCAGCAAGCTGAATCTTTTGTTTGATCTCTTTTTAATGATCCTCCAGTCATGAAGCGCTCTGACCAGTCAGCCAGTCAGTGGCAACAGGGAGCTTTCGGTTGAAGTACGGAAATCGCGATGAGGATTTATAGCTCACAAGAGGGGATGTAAGTTCATTATTTGGCAAGGAGGAGGTTACGCACATTGTGCCTCTCCTCATTAGTTCAGCCTTAACCGAGTATTTAAAGGTGGATCAAGAATTTATAAACCCTTGAGGGCACCCTCATTTTGAAGTCGCATCCAAATGACAAATGTTGACATTTTGAAATGTTATTGTCATCTGTTGGCATTTAATTTGCACTTTATATTCATGTGGTTTTTGTGAAACAATCACTGGTCATTGTTAATGTTTACTTGAAGACATTTACTCATTTTACTCATCACTCAAAAGCTAGTCTACGATTATTCTTGGACAACGCCTGCATTGGTAACCTTGCAACCGGTCGCAAACAGCTCTGCCATTTATGAATCTGGACGGTGACTCGATGAAATGGAGTTAGTAAAACTCAAATGTGCTTCTGTCGGAATTTTCCTCATCGTCGTTCAAGTTTGAGAGTTGAATGATTCAATTATATGAAATCAATGCACTTTGATGCAGGGGCTAATCCGTTCTCTCTTCCTCACAGTGACTCTCAAGTTATGTGTCATGAAATTACTCCGATGAACTCACTCTTGTCTTCTTTTTTTTTTTTTTTTTTTTTTTTTTTTACTACATTGCCTCCTCCACAGCTCGGGTATGTGACAACGAGCTCATGCGCTGCCAAAACGGCGGCGTGTGCATCAGCAACGTCCGCTGCAACTGCCCCTCGGCCTACACAGGCCTGCTGTGCGAGAAGCCGCTCTGCGAGTCGGAGCTGGGGGGTTGTCGAGGTGCCAGTTCGGGCCAACGCCCCCTGAGGCCCGCATCCTCCTTCGGGCTACTGCTACTTCTGGGCTTGGCACTTCTCTAAAGAGACCGATCTGGTGGGGGCAGTTTAACCCCACAACCCCCACCCCTGCCCCTCCCCTCCCCCCGCACACACAAACAGCCTTCACCTCACCGACCGACCCATCCCTCTTTCGAATAACCCACGACCATTCAAGCAGAACAATCGTGAGCTTTGTGGACTGTACTACACCAGCTTCTTCTTTGAGCAGCCTCAGCGGACACTGATGTGAAAAGGAATGTGCCAGATCAGTGAGTGCAAAATCTTTTTGTTCATTCAATATCAAAGAATATATACACAAAAAAAAATGTAAATGTATACTTGTAAAAAATGCAAAATAATCTTGAAATTGAACGTAAAAGAGTGCAATGAACAATGAGACCCCCCGCTCCCCCCCTCCCCCCCACACCCGCCCCACCCAACCGCTCCGGCTCATCCTTCCTCTAAGCCATACAGGTGCTTAAAGCTCCCCACCGGTCGGAGCGAATAACTGAAGAGGACTTCCTCTGTTATCGCCACGGCAACAACGGCGGCAACCAATTGACTCGCACGAGCCGACCGCGGCTGCCGAGACCCCTTTGGGACGTTCCTGTAAGCTTAAGGCTGGCCGGACCGTTGAGGAAGACAAAACAAAGAAATATTTCCCTCAGCTTCTTCAATATAATGTCCGTCGGGGAGGACAAACGCAGAACGTGTTCTTCGCCGGTGCATTGTGGATGGAAAGAAATATGCGCAGACTGCGACGTTGCGGCGCGCAAACTTTCCACCAGTTTCTCTGCCTTCAAGCTCATGCTCCTCTTCCTTCCCTTCGCCGTGCTGCCACTGACCTGTGCTTTTGTGAATCTTCCTCGTCGGTTGAAGGATTCTTTTTTTTTCTTTCTTTTTCTTTTTTTTGTCAAATGTTGGTGATGCACATGTGTAAGAATCCTCTCCGTTTTTCTCTCTCTCGGCTCTCCCATCATCTTTCCTCCTCCAATAAGCGCCACTAAAGCTGTCTGATTCTTTTCTATTAGACTCTCTGCTCTCTCGACCCGGTCAGAGGATAGTTTTCCACACGACAGGTGGATAGAAAATCATCGATGTATTTACAGGTTCACATCTAAACTGAGAAAACAAAACAAGTAATGTAGTACTTTTGTATCTTTGCTGAACTGTGACAAAAAAAAAAAGGCAAATTTAATGTATGTATATGACACCCAAAATGCAGGCTTTTTTTTTTTCTTTTTCTACCCCATTCATCTTTATTTCATGCTTTTAGTTGTACGGGTCATTTTCCTTTTTGTTGGCAATGTGCTGGCGTCAAAGAATATCAGTTTACATCCAGTATTAAAAAAAAGTGTATTTCAATCTCACCAAAGGACATTCTAAATGTCATGTTCTCGCGTTAACGCTTGAGGATTTAAGTGAATAAAAGCTTCAAAGTGAGTGGCGTCGCTGGTTTTCATGAGTCAGTCATGTTTTACATCGTCGTGAAACTGGTGCGACGTTCAAGGTTGCCTTTCTCTATTTTTGCCTTTTTGTACATTGTCGTCATCTGCAGATGGAAATGGAAATGATTTATCTGTTTAGATATGTTGAGAGCAAAAGTAAAAAGTGTCCAAAAAAAAAAAAATCAAGTGCAGAATGTCACATGCAGACAAATGTTGCCTCGGCTCTCGTCGGATGTGCTAACAAAATGTATTCAATCCGAGCCACAAGCTGACTGCTCCGTTCTAATGGTGGCGTTAAAAAAAATAAAATAAAAAATACAAATTCAATGAGTGCGTCAGCTTTGGCGATATTTCCATGCCACTTAGCTGGAATTCATCCTGGTAACAATTTGTTTCAGTGGTGTGCCTTGTCAGAGGCACAGAATTAAATATTTACAAGAATTGATGTGCCTGTGCTCAAACTTTATATCGTGGCTCTTGTCATACACTTGGCAGTTCATCGACATCCTGAAACGTGGAAGTCTCACTCTGCACATTCTCATTTTGCCCACTTAAAAGTTTGACGGGAAGGGCGTTCGTCCAGAAGGGTGTTCAACACTTGCGGATCGCAAATTATTATTTCACCATGATGTCACCTGCTCTTCGGGGTGGCAAAAGCCAAAGCGTTCTCCGATGGCAGCGCCTGTTCTTACTTTTTCACGTCATCCGACCAAGGCAAAGCCATTGATTGACCAAACAGGGTCAACGGTTCAAAGGAATGGTTTTCACCTTTCACGGCGGTGCACAAGTGTTTTTCCTCTACCGCCGTAATTTGAGTGTGCATGAACTGACACTCGAAAAGAAGATGCCACCTGAGGGTAAGGAAGACCACAGACCAATGTCAGCCATTATTTACGGGTCGCCGGCTAAATTGATTTGAAAACAGACGCGGCGGAAATTTAGACATAGTTAACATGATCGTTGAAGGAATGGCTAATTAATTCAGGAGACATAAATAAATGAAATGCCTTAACCTTGGTCAAGGTAATTTGTGCATCAGTCTAGCCTACCAATGAGCGCTTCTATTGATGACTGATGCCGTTTGAGTTGCAATCTGTCGGCTGTGGTAGACGCTCTATTTACCTGTTAACAAGGATCGTTTCAGCTGGACTTTTCTGTTTGCATTGATTGGCACGGACTTTATCTTTTGATGGTGAAGTGTCTTAGCTGCAGACGTCCAAACTGAAAAACTATTTCGTGGGTGATAAATGAAATAAATCAGACGTGCCCTCGCATATGTCACATACAGGACCGGCTATATATTGATCTGGATTTTCCCACATTGGGCGTTATTTGTAGCTTGGCGTTGTCAAAATGTTCTGGCCGTAGAAACGACGACGTGCCACGGCTTGGCCGTCTCCGCTTGCGACATTTGTGACACATTCGCTTACGTCAAAGTCAAAAAGTCAAATAATTGAATATAAAAATGTTGGCGGCGACAGCCTGTGTTTGGGCAACATCAAGCTGAGTCCACACTGGCTGATTTCCACAAATGTTGTGTGTGTGCAGCGCGCAAACAGTTTGCGCTGCCACAGCATCAACAGAACTCAGCATGACGAATAGACTGAAGAATGTCTGGGTGCTATAAAGTGGCAAGGCCCAAATACCAAAAAGTATTTTGGACAATGAAAATGATTTTTCTCTGCTCATTTTGATACATGTTGACCTTGGTAAGCTTCATTTGCGTCCATTCATCCACACGGCCTTCAGCATCGCTTCGCTGCTGTTTTTATTTGAACTCTTCACTGTGTACAGTTGTCATGGTCAGCAACCAGCTGCTGATTTCACGACGTAAGTTAAAAAAAAAAAAAAAAAAGCATCTCTGTAGGTGTCACTCCAGGTCGATTACTTTGACGATAATATATTAGAGGAACAGATAATCATACGCGTATCATGCTCTGCAGCCAGTCACACGGCTGCTCGTTCTAGTCTGTGTTTCTCTAATAAGACCTGTGGCAGCTGTCTTGCTAGATATAGAAAGGATGTGTTATGCCTGCAGGGAAACACCTGATGTGTAAAGACCATTTCAGACATGTGAGACAGACTTCCTGTGAACACGGGAGAGACGGTAAGGGGGGGGAAAAAAAAAGGCTTGAGAGGATGTTTTTGAGACGATTGACTGTGGCGCCATTTGCAGGAAGGGTCAAATGAATTGGATCATCTTCAGATCGAAAACCTCCAACTTATATTTTGATCCCAGTTTATTGTCATGCAGTATTTTCACATTCTATTCACATGCATGTCGTATATCGCCGATGCAGTACATGTTGCGTGTTGAGCATTCTCCTCATAGTGAATTAATGTCGCATTGAAAAGCCTTCTCGCCCGATGTATCAGGAATAGAGCAGAGTCACCAACAATGCTATGTGATGGCTCCACGTTGTGACCACTCCAAGCATTATAAACAGGAATCGAGAGTTAAAAAAAAAAAAGTCTTCTAAATGATCCTCTATGGTACTATAAATAAATCTGGCTCCACCGCTGCCGTATGCGGCACAAATACGGATTGGATCAGCCTTGTTGTGGTCCAGACCTCCTAATGGGAATATCTCAGCATGCGCTTTGGCAACGAATCAAACATAATTATTTAATATAGATGGGGAGGACGTAAACATGAACTAAACTGGACGTGGCAGCAGAATTATCGGGTAACCTTCATGGTTTCGATTCGGCGTGTTGATTGGCGCCTGATTCAATACAGCTTGTAAATTTGAGGCGATATTTGCAGTGAGTCAAGGACGGTTTGAAAGTGCAAACCCAGTCGTGACGCCGGGCTCAACTTTAAAAGTGATTTCCAAGAAAGCATTTCTTTTCTTTGTGTTTTCTCCTTCATCTTTTTATTTTTATTTTTTATTTTTTGTAATGATGAGCAGACACAGCGACCTGCAGAGTTGCCCAGGAAAAGCTTCATTAAGTCGTCTCGGAGAAGCAGGGCATACCTGTTTAGCTTTGGCTTATCCCCCAGGCGATAGACAGCTATGTGTGTGTGTGTGTGTGTGTGTGTGTGTGTGTGTGTGTGTGTGTGTGCGCGCGCGCGCGCGTGCGTGCGCGTGTGCGCGCGCGCACACACGAGTGTGCACTATTGGACGAAGTCCCTCTGCAGTTTGCCAAAACTGCAGTGACACTTTTACATTTTAATTGGGCTGTTGTATACTGCAAATTATAACGATTGGTGATTCTAGTGCTATAGTTTGGTTGGCATTTTTTTTTAAGGCATAGATTAAAGCGGCCAAGCATTCAAGTGTGATTAGCCCAGCTCGACAACCACGATAACACGCTGTACACACACTAAAATGAATACCTCTCTGAGTGACTGCTGTGCCGTGTGCAAGGTGTTCAGGGCTGAAAAATCGATCGAAAAAAATGTTCAGATGTGCAGCATTTTTATTGATTTGTAGCATTTGTAAAAATTCACGTCACCTGCGGTAATTATGGTTTCATAAATTTACCGGCCACCTTGAACATAACATGAAGCAATCTTTTTATTAAATTTTTTTTAAACTTTTTTTTTTTTTAAACTGTAATCCGACTGATCCACGTGACCTGTGCAGCAGAAATGAAACATCCCAGGCCAATCGCTCGCAGTGCCACACTGACAAATGTAAAAGCACAAGAAATCATCTGTCCATCCGCCATCCACACACGACCTTGTCTGGCTGTTTTGATCAGATCGACTCATCAGAAAATGTGATTATATCGTAAAGACTCCTGTTGCACATGACTTATGCTCCCGCGTATATGATTTAATCACTGACTTTCATGCTAAATGAATATCATTAAAGTGTGAAATGAACTGCACTGACAGCTGTCATGGTGGCTCCAGTGAAACCACCGAATTGAAATCGAAGCCAATCCTTTTGAAATTGACAAAACAAAAAATAAATATGTTTGTGCCTATGATTGGCTGGCAAAAAAAACGAGGGTGGACCCCACCCACCTCTGGACCAAAGTCAGCTACGATAGACTCCAGCACACCTTCTATTTGCGATTTTGACCTTACTACCCGGCCCACTTCCTGTCAGTCATCCTCATGTCCCCACCCCACCTATTTTTTCAAATCTCTCTTTCATTTATTTTTCACTCACTTTTTTCCAAGCGTAACCCAAGTTCATGTGGTCACCTAATGGATTCCTCCGTCAAGTGAAAAATGACATTTTGGGTCGGGGACTTCAAGGATGGTCAAGTTAATGAATGGCCACCAGATGGCCCTTATTAGGCTAATGTGTTCCCCCTCTCCGCAGCCCCCAGCTCTCGCCTGGGGATTTGGCTCGCTGGCAGCAAATGTGTGTGTGTGTATTTAAACCAGGTGATCCTGAACCTGAAAAGAAGGATGCAGCAGCCCCATTTAAAGTGCTCGCTGTGTTTTGATGGGGTCAAATGTCCAGGATGGACCCACTGCTGTCACGGGCACTTCAACACCCGGTTCAACCTTTGGTCACCAGCCCCTCCCACTCCTGACAGTCTGACAGAGAGTGTCAGGACGAGACTCAAGCCTGAAGTTTGTTAGGTGAAAAGACGAAAAAAAAAATCAGGGAGGGACAAAGCGCCAAGGCTCTTTCCCCTCCAATGTGACAGCGTGTTAATTGCCTCATTTATAATCGCCTGCTCATCAAGATGAGTAATTGTTGTCGTGCACACATCAACCACAAAGGCCTTTTTCCCAAATCCGGAATTCAGAATTAAACCCAATTAATTAGAATGTTTCGCTTAAAGTGTTGTCAGTGAGCCATGCCACGGGGTCTTTGTGTTTGTGATGTGAACGTTGAACCCAGAGGGAAGCGAGCAGAGCTGTCAGCTCAGTTCCAAATGAGGACGGCTTGCTGTTCAACAAGTGACTTGGAGGTTTCCAAATTTCCTCTCTCCTGCAGTGCCTTTGTAGTTTAGAAACCAAGCTCATGCTTGTACTTATTTTGAGAGCAGCGTCGAGCATTTTTTAAACAAACACAAATATCTGGTTTTAAACAGTGTTCCTGTTGGAGAATGCTGTCTTGTATCCCAAAAGGAATTAATTATCTGCATGAATTTATTGACGGCACGGAAGTCATTTGCATGAGATTGCTTTTGTGCAAAACGGCCACTCTGAATTTGAGGAAATCTGGTCCTGTTTACCGTTGAACATCAAGCTGATGATACTCGCTGGAAGCCATGGCTGTTGTTTTATTCTACTTTCTGGCTCAGGTGACTCTACCACAGGTTTGAATTGGAGTGCGACTGGTTCTTTATACATATCCAGCCTTTCAGCCAACATCAGCCGAGGTCGGCTCCAGTTCACCGGTGACCCGAATGAGGTAAAGCACAACAGAAATGGGTAGATGGATTTGAAATGTAAGAAAAATGAAGGACATCTGCAGTTCACAGTTGACCAACTTGTCCTTGAAGAGCTTGAAAAAGTTTGATAAGACATCTCCCACACCAGAACGTCACACACTGTACATACATTCTTTGCTAGCCTTCAAGCAATCAATATGTTAAATGGATTAAGATACTCAAATTTTATGTGGAATGTTTCTTCTATTCCTTTTATATACGTGTGCGTGTGCGTGTGCGTGTGCGTGTGCGTGTGTGTGTGTGTGTGTGTGTGTGTGTGAGTGAAAGAGAGAGAGATAATGTCGTATATATATTTTTTTTTAACCTTGCACCAACATCTTTTGCAAACCAAAGATTTCGATTCTCATTGGCTGTTTTTTACTCAACGGTTTCAGAAGACAGCAGGGCAAATGTGTTAAAATCCGCCCATAAAACATAGCCAAATGTATTGATCCCTCAAGCAAATCATGCTTTTCACCAGTTTTTAAACATGCAAATCAGCAATGTCGGTGCCACCATCTGTTCTCATGACTGTGATGCACGCTTGTGTGAGTGTGAATAGAGAAACCGAAGGCAGAAGAGAAGCTTTGGAAAGTGCACCTTTAGTATGCAAGAGCGATGCATGAGTGATTCATTTCATGCTGGAGCCAGTTGGAGTCACCCTACACACTTGAGGACGATGTAAAGCTCCAAGGACACACTCGAAAAGCTTTGTGGGCAAAGCTTCAAGCCAGGGATGCATCAATTGCAAAAACAAAAAAAATGTAAGTGAAATGAAAGTATTCTATTTATTAAAATAGTGTTGCAACGTGCGAGAAAATTATCAGAAACAGCTGATTGTAATGTATGTGCGTGTGTGTGTTTTATGTTGATGAGCTGTCTTGAGTATGTTCTGTAGCTTTCAGCTCAGTGTTCATGCAACGCTGATAGTCTCCAGGAAAACATGTCGGTGGGTGGGGAGGGGGGGACTCAGGGGTGCAGAGCTGCTTCTTGATATTTACACACAGCAGCCACCACCGTCTGGCAGCAATGATGACTCCCTCGTGGCTCCAAAAGACAGCAATAAACCTTGAGAAAGCACGAGCGCCAGTGAGAAATAGACTGGCAAACGTGGAGTGCAGCGGAATTCAAAATATAGAAAACGTTATGAGATTTGCGGCCTGGAAAAAAAAAATGTTTTCCGAAGAAATGATGTCGTCTGTGGGATTAGATACCACAAATGACGCTTTTGCTTGGAAAAATTGGGTTGCTTTAATGTGTGTTGTTGTTGTAAATGAGTGACTGTGGTTATAAACTGACATGTGAGAATCAAGGGGAGGCTCAGCGGGTTTCAAATGGGGGTTTTAATAATATTTGGGAACCTCGAAGGTTGAGCACAATTTGTTCTGGGAAGCTAATCCTACTCCCAAACAATGTGCGCCATATCAAATTATTCAAATGTGAAATAATCTGTTCCAGGGTCACATGGCCACTATCATATAAGCGTTGTTAACTGGACAGCAATTAATTGTCATGCGTGTGTGTGTGGTGAAGGGGGGGGGGGGATAACACTGTAAAACTACAAAATATTATATATTAACCTTCTGGAGCTTAGCCTTCTATTCGGAATTTGTGTCACCAAAATAAATAAATAAGTGTGCTTGTGGACATCATGTATGACTGCAGGGATATTTTTCAAATTGAAGCTCGTTTCTGAACCGCACAATTATTGCTTTTCATGTCAGATGTCGCACTGTATGTATTCAATATTTGCTGTCAGCAGCAGACTATGTCGACTCTCGAGAGCACGCTGTGCGCCACACTCGAGGCTTACCATTTTACATAGCACACCAGAGCTGAGTGTGGTTGTCTTAAAGTGTATCCTGGAGATTCTTTATCGGGGCAACATGAATGTTCATTGGACGAATTAAATGCAGTGATGAAATGTCCTTTTTTTTTATCTTTTCCCACAACTAAAATTATATTTATTATTTTATTTGAATTTGTTTTAACAAAGCTGGTGGAATTTTCAATATCCTGAAGAGTCAAAAGCAAATATGTCATTGCTAAGTAGAATGCGGATGTCACCAGCCATCTGTCTGATCGGTGTTCCCGCCTCAGCTGGAAGTGGACCGGTGTGAGCCAAACTGGCCTGGGCCAAGTCTGGCTGGTGGGCACGGGAGGCATCACCGGCCACTGTCGCGCTACAAAAAAAATCAGAGCACTTTTCTGCCTCAGCGTCAGTCTTGTGCAGCAGCGGGTGACCTGCCACCAGATGGCCAAAGTGAACATCACACAGTTTACATTCAAACAGGATTCTCTGTGTCCTAATCGATACATTTTCACAATACGATGAATACATGACAGGAACCCCCAGTATTCTACGTGTTCTCACTGTCAGTGGAAGTTCAGATGAACTGGTTCATCAGCCTGATGACACCCACAGGAGACACTTTTAACCCCTCATCCATTCACACTTATTAACCAACAAGCAAGTGAGAACCAGCCCCCCCACTGGCTACAGGTTATTTACGTCCTGTGGCGATAACAACAACAGAACACACATCTCACACCATGACACCGACATTTGATCGGTGTCGCTAAACTGCCATCACCCACTCTTCATATTAGCTTCCTCTTATGAGGAAACCATTGCAAATTATTACAGTATGTAGGCTACATAAAAAAAAAAAACAAATCATGCATCATATGGTTTGGAATGAGATTCATACAGCATCCGGTTTTAAAAGTATGTTAGATCTTTAAATTGGCTGGTGTCCAAGGCGGGGTGAACCCGTTTCTCTCAAAAGCCAGTTGGGATAGGCTATTGTTCAAATGAGACCCTAATAAGGGTAAGCACTATTTTTATTGATTTATTTTTTTAATGGATGTGTCATGTTCTGTCTTGATTGTGTTGCAGCTCCAGCTGGAGTGAAGGGCGTTGCCCTCCAGCAGGTGCACCTGTGCTGCGTTTTCCAATCAAGCCGTGCCATGTATTTAAGGACCGCCAAGGTGCCTGGTAAGTGTTCGACTATTGATTTTGCTCACTGTTGTGCTTCAAGTGTTGTATTCTGTGCCTTTCATAGTTGCTCTCATTTTGTCATCGAACTTTGTGTTTTCATTATTTCTTCATTTGATCTTGAGCCTTGGACTTTTGATATTTCGTTTGTGTGTTCTGTTGTACCTTGCTTTTGCAAGCGCTTTTTGTTGATGCATTGTTTTTTCTGGCTCCTTGTGACCGGTGATTTCAGTTTGTACTTTGTCGTGCGATTTTCTGTTATTGCACTTTTTCTGAGCCTGCATTTTTAGAATCCAAAAATTTGGTTCGGTCCTGGACCATGACAGGATGTTACAAATGTTATTTAATTCAAATCCCACTGCAAACCTTCCATAGGTGGCCCCGTCAATGAAGTGGTGACCACCTGTGTGTATTGGTTACAATGCCAGAAAAATCAGTTTTGAATGCACCATGGTGTGGACACTAACCATGGTTTGGTTGGTTTGACCCCAACACGTTTGGTGCTGTCCATGGTGCTGATCTCACAAAACCATTTAGGGTCTGCAGTGTTTTGGATTTGCTCTCCAAAAATTGCATAAAAGCTTCATGTAACACAATATACTTATGTTCAAAAGTAAATCCAAAATCTTTTCCCCAAGAAAAAAAAAATCACACCTTTTTTTAAGGCATCAATATTCTGAACGACTACTTTTTTCCTCTCTTTTCTCATAAATGAATACTTTTATTGAACGTGAGATGTTCCATTTCAGTGACCACAATCTGACTTTAATTTGCATATTGAACTGTTCACACTATTTCAGTCCAAACCAACATTTATATAAATTAGTATAAAGAATTTTCAGTGCCGTATGAATGAATGAATGACACTACATTTAAATAAGCAACGTATTTTTTTATTATATACTATAAACATATTTTACATTATGGTACAATAAAAAATATACAGGGGAATGCTACACTGGCCTGAGCTGTTTTTCGATTTAGGCCACAGCGGTTGTACCATGGTAAAAGACAATAATATTGACTGTACAGTAAACACAGCATACAGTAAATCTTTGGTTCAATAACACAGAGCAGACACAAACTTAAGTCGGCGAGACGTCCACACACAACAGAGAGACTTCCTGGGAAGGAAAAGATCATGTCTGAAGGACACCTATTAATTAACTGGCATGTAAAATCCAATTCCCAAGTCCATTCGAAAACATTTTGCTTGGGTTGGTTCGGAAGCATGACACCACACAGCCCTCGAGCTTCACTTAAGGGACAGAATCCACAATGAAAACGGGAGGACCGATCTTGGATTATAGATGGATGGGGGAAGGAGGAGTGTGAGGGACTGAGAGGGGAACGCTGTGACTTAGGACCAGCCAGAGAGGAACCGACAGAGAGACGGATGCGGCATGTGTAGAGATGGTGTCATGATTAGATCGTGGATACCCTTGAGCCTCCCTCCTGGGCAAAGAAATTTGAGGAAAAAAAAAATCTGGAAGCACACTTGGTGGAAGGAAAGGCCGCACTTGTAAATGACTACGCCGTCAGAGTTCGTTTGGGCAGAGAAGCAGAGTGGGAGTGGATTACCACAGTCTGCCATTAGAGAAGCCCACTGTCGGTCTCCCGAGAGGGTTTGTTTCTTCATGGTCCACTAGACCGAATAAGAATGTTTGCTTTGTGGAATCTGTTAAGGGAAGCTCGGCAAATGCGTGAAGAGCATTTAAGGACTTCCTATCAAACATGATCATTCTGGAAATCTGTGGTGAAATTTGTGGACCCTAGAGAATAAAAGAAAAAAAGAGCGAGAGAGAGAGAGAGAGAGAGAGAGAGAGAGAGAGAGCACGCTTAGTTTGTTCCTGCTCACTCGGTTTAATGTCACCTTTAACTATTGTTCGGATGATGTCATCTTAAACCTTTGCCAAGCTGAAGGTGACCAACCGCAAATGAAGGAGACTCCCCTCTGGTGGTCACTTGTGGACCTACATATGTGTCAAATCTAAGAACCAGTATTTGACCAAAAGACAAACAGAGAAGAAACACACACACACACACACACACACACACACACACACACACACACACACACACATAAGTGTGCAGCAGCTTTGCCTGTGTTAACCATTTCCAAATATAACATTTCTAATAATAGAGGAACAGCATATTTTTACAAATAAATGTTCATCTTACAAAATCCGTGAGTGTCACAAACGCCTGGGGGGGCCTCACACACCATGAGGTCACGAGGCCCCGAGGTGTGTTTCCAGAGGCGCGGTCCATCTGTTCATCAAATAAAATCTCAGTCTCCTGACTAACAAGTGGCTCTGCTTCAATGTCACCTCTGGACTGTGTGGGGATGCGTGCGTGGAATAATCTTCGATATCTTATGTACTTCACGTGTTTTTCCCGTCCCATGAATTCTAACAAATAGCTTCCTCATTGGAAAAAAAGGGAAAGGAGGGGTGAGGTTTTAAAATGTCACACGTGCGTGTGTGTAATCTTAGTGTGTGAATGCTGGTGTTTGTGGAAGGAGAAATTTTAACTCGATAACAACATATAAGGAACCAAATTTAGGGGAAAACGTGATCTTTTTTAAATACTGTACAAAGTACTGTATGAAATCCGTATACTGAACATTCCAGTTAATTCCCATTAAGTTCTATCGTCCAACTGAAAAATTTATTCTACAGTACCTCTGAGTATTGCGTGGAGTAAGTTTACATTGTCTGAGATTGGTGTGCAGTGGGAATCCAGTTTTGCCCTCCACTCAGGTACCTTGGCATTGATAAGTATTGGATTACACATGTTATATGGTAATGTGACTTCCAAGTGTGCAGGCGGCCTTGAGGTCTCGTTGGATCGTAAATGTGTTTCAATAGCATTGTGGAAAGATCAAGCCCCTGAATGAAAAAAAATGGCCGTAACCTAAGTCAAAGGGCTGATTTCCTCCCGTGTCAGGTGGCCGGCAGACTGTGCGGTGTGTTCTCCCTGACGGGCCCGTAATACCTCCAACAAGATAAAGCCTCCCGCGGATGGGCTTCTGCCAGTGATAAGCAAGAGGATCGCGAACGGCCGACACGAGCTAAAACACGAGAGTCTGCGTCGGAGATAAAAAACGTGAGCAGCGGGAGGAAAATAGGAACACGAGCCATCAATTGCGGGCGCTGCCCGTCGACGCCGTCTTTATCTTCTATCTCCTGCATGAGTTAGAAGCGCGGCGATCGCAATCAAAGAGGGGATTTCGAGTGCTGGATGCTGCGCCAGGGTGGGCCACGGAGTCATCAATAACCACCTTCGTTACTGAAACAAACACACGCAAGGTCAAAGCCACTGAAATTTCATCAAAGTGGGAAGAGGAAGTGAGAGGGATTTTTTTTCCTTTTTTTCGGAAAGGACCCACACCTCCTTTCCATCTTGCTTGGTTGGCTCCATTCCCACGAGAGGCGGAAGGAGTGCGAGCGTTGTGAAGGGACGGATGAGTGCATGAATGGAAGGAAGAGTGGCATTTGAGTTCCTGCTTTTTGACATGTCTGCACCAGCCAAGTTGGCAAGAAAAGCAGGTGGGATTTCGGCAGAAAGAGGCGGGATATTATGGATGGCCAGGCATCTGGCGAGCCCGCGTGCCCCGCTGACGGGCAAGTTGCTGCTTGTAGATGCTGAAGTTGCTCAGCCGCACCGAGCCAAGCAGAAAGGTTGCGGCCATCTTTGGGTCACGGGTGTTCAGCAGCTCTTTTTGTTTGCTCCCAAAGGCCTCTGGATGGGGAAAAGCAACAAGGCTGCGCTGGCTCTGAGCTCATTAATTTGACTCGCGTCCTTCTTCTTTTGTCAATGCGCCGCTCACTCCTCGCCTTCCTCTACATATGTGGATGGAAACCAGCCAATCTGAGGGGACAAGGGCGCCATGTTAGCAAATGAATGGCGTCTCGGGCTAAGACCGCACTTTTCTCATTAAACTGTTTTTTTTTTTTTTTTGCGACCCAAGTGAGGAGTTGCGATTCGGAAAATGGATGAATCAACGAATTCTTAAAGATGCGGAGTTGTCGGACTTACCCTCCCGTTGACCTCGCCTCTCCACCACCCGTTGGCTCCAGACTTGGTGTAAATCTTCACCAGGTCGCCCTCCTGCAGCGAGAGCTCGCGCGTGTCACGGGAACTGAAATCGTACCGTGCAATGGCCACGCCAATCACTTTCGGAGTGAACACTGGGGAAAGACACAAAGAGAAATGGTGAAACGATCGAGGTTTTCGAAAAAAAAATCACAAATCTCTGCCCCAAGCTCATAGCTCCTGCTACCGGTTGATTTATTGAATTGTGAGACGCCAATTTCATATTAGAAACATCTCACGGCACACCACCAAAAGAAAATGTCACAGAAAGCACGATTAATGAAATTTGGACTCAATTACTTAAAGATTGACTAACTCGCTTGCTTTATTGAACACAACCTGATTATCTCGGTCAAATGTACCATCAGTCATTAAATGCAAGAGCATGTGACTATTGTACACCTGAGTGGCTAGCATAGACAGCACAACAAAGTAATTAATCAAGAGAACAATTTTCCTGCCACACCCCTGATCTTTCACATTGGACATAAGTGTGCCACAGCACCATGGTTGGGATTCTCTGGTAGCTTTTGGACTCGGCTGGCCTGACGGTAGCATTTGTGCAGACCAGACATCCTGTCAAGCAGTCTGAGAGACACATGGGGAGCAGGTTAGCTAGTTAGTGCTCTTCCATCCCGCCCGTCTGCCTTTCCGCCGTTCTCACGCCTCCAGAGGGTGAAAGTTGGCTCGAGTCGAGTGAGCCTGACATGTGGAAATGGAATGTCAGACCTTTACAACTATGGCCAAGGGGATAGAATATCTGATGCTTCCACCTTTCAGTCTGACAGGTACACACATCGGGCAAAGCCACCCACTACTTTGTCGCTTGAAAAAAATGCTCTCTTTGAGACCCGCTCGGGGCTGGATTCATGTACAGCACATCGGGGCCCAAGTGCACTGAAAGAAATTTTAATCCATTTCATTTTGTCGAGAGGTTGCATCAAATAAAATCATCTGGATCCAGATAGGCTTTTCGAAGTAGACTATATGTCTACTTTAAAAATGCATCTCAATCTATCGTTTGCAGCCACTTGACAACATCATTTTTTTTTTTTTTGCCCACGTAGTATTCAGATGTTTAACTAAATAAACAATAGACGGTCATACAACAGTCATGATGACACAAATGTCCATAAAACGGAATGACAGACACAGAAAGAGAAGTGATACCTGTACCTGACCAGAAGGGGGCAGAGGAAGGAGGTACAAAGCTGTAGCCGGCAGGGGTTACAAAAGAGAAGCCGCAGAGCAATGGGGCTATGGCGGGGCGAGCCAAGCAGGAAGCGGCGGGTTGCAAGAGGAAAGAGGGCAGGGATGGGGGGGAGGGAAGAGAGAGAGAGAGAGAGAGAGAGAGAGAGAGAGAGAGAGTGAGAGGCAAAGAAAAATGTTTTCAGAGGTAACAAAAGAACGCAGCCTCTGGTAGGGAATGTTCAACAAGTCACAGATGTGAAGTTTATGACTCTTTCGACATTCATCCCATTTTCATAAGACCTCGAGGAAGCCCCATTTGGTGTTCTGCGGTAATAAAACCACAAAGATCGTCCTCGATCATTTAAAGGTCAATCATTCCCAAATTGGTGATCTCACGAAAGAAGCGCCCCCGAAATGCAGAGAGAGACACATCTTGCGTTAATCTGTCTGGCCCCTGAAAGGGGACTCGTATAACATTCAGAGCATCAGCCATTTCTAACTCGGCTATGATAAAAACAGAACTGTTGCTCAGTATACCTTGATCAAGTGACCATTTCTTTTGCATTATGTTTGCAAAGATGCAGCGCATCTTACTGAGAAATATTTTGTTTCTCTCATTTAGCCACATGACCGGGAGAGGGGGGGGCTTTATTGTCTGTATTTTATGATGCGGCTTTTAAATCAAATCTCATTAGACGGTACGAGGGTACCCGCTGAGGTGCCTGACGAGTGTATACGACAAATAATTGTCACATGTACAAGTTGTTTTTTTTTTGTTTTTTTTTTTTTTCACGATTCCAGAGGAGTCAACATTTGTTCTGACTAATGGCAGATAAATGACTGCACTTAATGAGAAACATGCTGTTCTGAACAATACTTGCTGGCGAGTTAACTGGCCCATGTTATTGGTATGCCGTAAAGGGAGATGAGGCGGCGAGCTCTGCTGCTCTTTGAAATGAGTACTAATCAGCCCGCGGAGAGACAGCTCAGCAGCCTCCAACGGCGCCCAGGTAAGAAGGGCACGGGGAAGCGAGGCCTTCCACTTCAAACACACGCCAAAAAGGCACCACTCGAATCCGATGTGCTTAGTTTTGGCTCGGTCTTTTTTTTGGAATTCGTGGTCATAAACACACAGCGGGGACAGGCACAGAGAGGAGGAAATCGAATCAGTGGTTTGAGGTTTGAGGTGAGATGTTTCCACGGCAACATTCAATAGCATTTTAGGTCAGCCTGGTCTGTCTGGCGACAAATGAGCCCACCAAAGCGTTCATTAGCATTCCTGCATGCCTTGAAGAAAGTGCCAATCAAAACAAAGGAGCAAACTAAGAAAATGTGCACAGCACACCAGGACAACATTGGAAGAGATAAAAGCCGGAGTGCGGAATTGTTTTCCAAAGCACAACACGGCTACTGACCAATCTGCTCACATTTGATTCGTCGACGATGTGACCATCAGCATGCCGTCTCTTGTTAGAAGCGATAAACTGGCGTGTGAATAAACCGTGAGCGCCAGGAGAAATGAGTCACAGATGTCGTTTTAACAACCAATTGATGGGTACTGTTGCTCGCTGTGTCGCGCGCACGCTGAGTTGACTCTTTTTTTGTTTCGTTTTTTTTTCTCCCTGGCATCGCTCGAAAGACTCAGCTTGGCAGCAGCACCGTGTGAGGTGAACATAGACTTTTGAAAGTCTGAACCACACGGCGCACTTTTCGAAGAAGGCAGTCAGTCAACTGTGAATCCTTAATAGTTTCTTGAGGTTTTTTGTTTTTTTTTTCCTTTCAGTCTTGTTCCCACCCGGCATCCTCTGCCACAGCAATATCGATAAAAAAAAAAACAAATGTCTTCTTCTCCTAAAACAAGTTTAAGTGTGAGAAACAAAAATACAAGCCACTCACACGGAATTTGGAGTTCTCCTAAAAGTAAAACTAAACTAAACCCTACATGATCCTAAGTTTGGAGTTTAATACTACACGAGCCAAAAGGCGACGGACCGTATATCCTCAATTAATGGCATGGAGGGGATTTATTTTCTCGATGGCACAAAGTACCAGGTGATGTACTGAAAGAATAGTTTTTTGTTTTAGAGGTGTCACTATGGTTACGTGCTGTTTTTTTTTTTTTCCTCACTCACAAGGATCTCATTAAAATCTCTCGTCAAAGTTATGGCAAGAACACCAGCTCTTGTCACTAAAGAGTCTTACTGCATGTTGTTCTTCTTCATGCAACCCTAATTAGCAGCCCTAAACTCTGAGACGGGAGTATGGATAATGAGTGACAGAGTTAAAAAAAAAAAAAAAAAAAGAAACAGCCATCCCCAAAACAGTTTTGCTGCTTGGAAAAAAAAATGAAAAAGTGTGAGAAATGGTAACGGTTGTTTTGGATTGAGTTACTGCCAGAATTTTGGGGAACAACAAAAACAGTAGAAAACATGCACACGAGAAAAGAAAAATCCTCACTAGAACCACAGCAAGAGCCAAACAGGGAAAAGGTTCTGCAAAATTTTCTTCATGGTTCATTTCAAACAAATCTCAATTGAGGAAAAACATAACTTCTGTTTTTGGTAAGGTCAAACGGGCGGTAAAAGATTCTGAATTTCTATATTTTTCCATGTCACAAGTGACGCTTCGCAAATACTTTAATCTGCAGAGGAGTCGTAATGAGAGCTTCGCCCAATGCTTATTTTTAAATAATACATGTAAAACATTGGGGATTCCAAAAAAAAAAAATCATATGCACTAGTTAATCGGTTCATTTAGTGGCCTCTGGACTCAAATGAAAAGGAGGAAAATAGGCCCCAAAGCCCAGACAACACACTTGCCTTCACTTTGGTTAGTTCACTGAAGGTTTAACCAGATAATTTAACTCCCTTGGAACTTATTTGTAGTATTTGATGGTCTGGAAACTGCAGATACTGTTGTCAAATCTAATGAGACGCAGAGCTCAGGAAAAAACAACAACAACAACAACAATAAAAGTCAGCGGAGACGGAACTGTTCCAAATAGCAAATAGCCGCGCAGCTCTTTTTCAGTAAGGCTGTGAAGATGCTCCCAGGTGAGTTTAAAGCGCTGTGAGAAGGATGAAGAAAGCACCGAGGGCGGTGGGCAGAGAGAGCAGCCGAGTCAGTAACAACAGTCGTGAGATGCGGGCTTGGAGCATAAACTGGAAAGAGCAAATGGAACATGGTTTTGGAAGGGCTGGCGGATCACAAATGTCAGATCCCACAACCGCTCGTTCGTCAAACTACTTGTGGTCATAACGTTGACATGCTACTGTTACTGCTGTAATGAATTACAGACCAACACGGAAAACCACAGTAAAGGTGCGTTTGAAAAAAAAAAAAAATACAAAAGTAATGTGGTGTGAAAGTTTTGGGACAGAAGTATTTGGAGACCTGGTCTTATACCTGCAAAAAGTAAACTTAGGAACTTTGCTTTTAGCGGTGACAATGTCATTTTTGCCGTTTTAGTTCACAGTGCTGCAGAATCGTAGTGCATCGTCATGGGGAGCGTACTTTCAATCATTGAGATGCCACCGCCCTTGATTCAGTCATGAATTGGTTGATATCAGTGTTTTTTTTTTCGGGGGTGGGGGGGGTGCTTTAGATGTTGAACCGCACACGACAAAAAACACGTCCCTCAACCTTTCGGTAAAAGCTTTGAGACTGTCACGTGCCGACCTTTGATTGAAAGCAAATTCAAAAGGTCAAAGGAATAAAAGTGCGAAGCATTTCGGTCGCCACGTGTTCGTTTGACTTTCACACCTCCTCAGGCGTACTTACTGTTGCCACCGGAGCGGTTGAGGCGATGCATTGCAGAATTCTCCACTTCCCGGTATGGATACTGCAGCGTGGTGTCCAGACTCCTAAAACCCTCCCTGAGCGAGTGATGTTTGTAGTACTCAATCAGCTCCTGAACACACACATAAGCATGCTTGAATTGAAAGAGACATTTGGTTATATTATTTCTAATTTACTTTCCTGATCTAAAAGTAAATGTAACATGACCGTTCTCCACCAGGGTTCAATCAGTTATTATGATGTTCGTGAATATTTATTAATAGTGCAAAACAAACGAGACTATTATGGTACAGTACTTGATACATATTGTATGTGTATGTGGTGAACCTTTCCTACCATACGTGTTGGACAAGCGATGATGTCAAAGCCAATGGGCCAAAACTGTGTATCAACACATCTGTAATCTAAAGTGTTTTTTTTTTGTTTTTTTTTTTTTTTAGACATTGCTCGGATAAAATTTTGGTTCTGACACTTCCTTAATGAAGCCGATGATTTATTTGCGAACTGCAGCGGTTGAAGTGGAAAATAAGAAGGAAAAAAAAACAAGACTCACAAACAGACTCCTGAACTTCTTGTTCTCGGCAATGTGGAAGCAGCCTTCTTTTGTCAGGATTTTTATGTGCTTCACGTCGTTGTTGTACCTGTGGGCCATTGAATAAGTTATGAACGTAATTTCCCTCCCTGATCACCGCCATCGATCGGTGGCCGGCCCCCGGCCCCTTGGTGAAACCATAATGGAATGCAGAGGGTCCCGAAGGTGGTTGACGTGTGATGATGGGTGATCTGAGGGGCCGTGCGCCTCTAACAGCTCCCCCCCACCCACTTGTTTATCATTCATAGTCTTACTCTACTCGAGATTATTCACCTTTGTGGTCTTTGTCCTTTATTTAAAGCAACAAGGGGGAGTAATTGTTTTCTGATCACAGGCGTCCCCTGCAGTCGGGAGGCGTAATTTACTTTGAAGCCACTTTGGAAAATGCATGAGAACAGCCTCAACGTGCACGAGTTGAAGCTGTTTCAAGCCAAATCTTCTGTTAATGCCGTATGGCTCCAGTCTTTTAGCCTGACTGTGTTTTCTATGATGATGATTTCAAGGGGACAGAGCCAAACAAATGGCAAAAAAATGCTGCATTTGTTCTTCTTTGTCACCTGTGAAACTCCCCCAACAGGTTTGATGAACATCATCTCAGTAGATTATTTCTGAACTCGAAGGCAGTCAGAGCAAACATGAAAATAAGCGTGATTTCAAGAACGATTTTTGTGCTTGTATGAAGATAATGCGCGCTCTTTATTTATTTATTTATTTTTAGATGAACAGAAAAGCTCTTACAGGAGTATGATTTTCATCATGTCGACCTACTTTTGGAATTTCAAAATAGCTTCATCCAGAGCCTTGCTACAAAGAGAAACAAATGTGAACCGCTAGTGTCAGCAATGTCTTCAAAAGCGAAAGGGACCCCTCTTGTCTTTAAAACAATGTGAAAGCAGTAAAAGCCGACTCAGCATGACAACACAGTTGGGACTTACTTAATGCTGATGGCGTACTCTGTGCACTCTCTGCTGCGATGGCGGACCAGGTAGGTGCTGTTGACCCGGTTGATGAGCTCTGCCTCCGCCTGGAGTCTCTCCATCGGTCCCGCAAACCTGAAAAGCATTAAAATACACAACTCATCTCATTTATAACCAAACACCACATTTTTATGGCCGCAAAGGTATTACCGGTAAATAGTCTTCAAATAGATGCGAGTGAAAAGAATCGACGACACTCTCATACTCTCATTTTTGTGTGCGGCTACTGTCCATTTTGAACCGTGAAATCCCCATTATGGGGACTGTCGAAGCCTTATGCTATTGTCGTTGATCAGTGACAAGTGCGTCTCTCGGCAATTTGGAAGCTCTATCAAGCGCTGTAAACATCCGTCTATTTGCTGTGTTTAGTTCTATCCAATAAAGCAGTGATTTAGGAAAGGCCTCTACCTTCCTATTGACAATCTAATTTGGCAGTAAAAGCTCATTTGTAAACTTACCATGGTTGGGAGGAGTAATCAATGGGCTTTGGGACCTGAAGTAAACAAAAGCAGACAAAAAAATGGACATTGCCGTTTTTTAGTCTCGTGAACTATCACACCATCGCCCGACATCGGCTGAACCAAATACATTCAATTGGTTTGGCGCCAAATCCAAAGTGCGGACACTTTAGCCCGGGTGCCTTTATGTCCCCAATAAAGATGCTGCTCAGACTTGCTGCTATCTTTTACAACAGAATACTCTGCGATCATGGCGTATCGCATGTCTCAGAGAGGCGTCAGACTTCTGAAGAGGTTGGTCTAATTTGAGTTTATTACCGCAAGCGCGGTACGAGACGAGGTCACAAAAACAGCCAACTGATAATTCAGTGGAGTCAGGCTCTCGTTTTATGTCAGGTTCGGCTCATCGAAAAACTGGCATGCGCATGGAGCAGATGAACCCAAAGAAGAGACAGTGGTATGTCGAAGAACAAGAAGGGAAGGCTGCTTCGTGCTTACACACGGGCATGGCTTCACAGCGTCACTGGGAAAGAAGCCAACTTCTTTTGTTGACAGGATTTTGCCCTGAAAGCACAGAGAAGATAATTGCGTTATGTACTGTACGTCCGGGTGACTCTGTCGCAATAATTCAAGAACAATTAGCGCAGGACACCGAGCGGTGCATATACACAGCCCTTGTTATTTTATTGTCGAAAGAATAGCTGGCAGGAAGCGAACCCCTTATTTTCCCCTCGAGGACCACTCTAATGTCTTGATTTATAAACACCGGGGAGTCCCGATTGAGGTGATAGAGGGCTTGCTGGTGACCATCGTGCAGTTACCGACTTTGGTTCAGGCGATGAAGCTTAATTGTCTCTCCTGGTGTTGTGCAAAAGTGCAGAGGGGGTTCTAATATTTTGGTGACCTCATGGAGCCGCCATCCTAACATTTACAGCGCCCATGACAGCCGGTGGAGGTCATCGCCCGTCACGTCTGAGTCATTGTGACCAGTGTGACAATCCTCGCAAAGAATGTAATAATGATTATAGCCGGGACATTGAGTGAGTAAACAGAAGGCAGCCACTGAGTGAAAGAAATTACAGCGATCGATTCTATTTATCACACAGAAGCCACGACAAAAGTGATTACGGCGGCCCGGCCGCAAAAGTGATGGATATTGAATGTTTGCCGACTGGGCAGATTCGGCCGGTTCCGCTCAAGCTTTTGCAAAAGGTGAATTTCATTATTTATCCGTCTTGGGGATTTTGTTGTTTTCTGATTGCAAACTTGACTAATCATTTATTTGCTGTGCATCATAATACAATTTAAACGTGCTGAGGGATTAATCATAGCTGAGTGAAGGTGGGTATTAAACAGTGTATCTTTTTACATTTTTTTTCAATATACAAGCTGTGTCAGACAAATTCCAGTAATTCTGTCACAAAATAAATATCATAACGAAGCTAAATCTATCAAATAAACATTTAAAGAATTTTAGTATTTTTGTAATATATCTTTGGTGCGACCATTCCTGCAACTACTCTGCCACATATAATAGTTGATCTATATTATTTGTTTTGTGAGCTTCTATGGGCTAGGAGTTTCAATCTACAATTGACACCATCGTGACACAATCAGGAAAATATTGATTCGAAGTCAAGCAACTTCCTCTCGACATCCGCATTGTAAGATGACAAGAATGAATCTCGTTTCAGGCATTCATCACTGACCAAACGTGTTATCCCATCAAAGCACACAGTTCCAAAAAACACATTTTTATAGACGATCGAGACAAGTGAGTCTGTTTTCTCACGTCATCTTAATTCATTTTAAAATGTGATGGAAAAAGCTCTCTGTATAACTAACTGGCTTGTCTGCGGCTGAAAACATTTCTACAACTTGACCGGTAGCGATACTTCACTCTGACCCGGCGAAATGATGCCATAAAGTGTCCGTACAGGTGATGACTTGAATGTGTGGGATGATGTGTCAACTCTGACCTCCCACCAGGAGCTGTGAAGGTCGGCGCAGATTAACTCGATAATGTCACCCGTCTGGATGCTGAGCGCCGGTCCCGAAGTCGGGCTCGGCACACCAAAATAGTTCCTGATCACCATCATCTTGGGCAGCCCTGCAACGAGGACCACGTGAGTCCCCACACAAGTCATAAAAAAAAAAAAAAAAAAAAAAAAAAACAATCGCATGATCGTTTGCCCCTCTACTTTTTAAACGCCTTCTTGAATGTGTTCCTTCCGGAGCGACTGCTTTGATTCATCAGTATGTGCGTCGGTGTGCCTCCGACCTTAGTTGTAAACGGGCATGCTTGTCATTCTCAGGCTTTGCTCCACTAAACTATTCATGGCTCTTTTTAGGGGATAATCAAAGGGAGTATAGGTTGCATGTGTACACACATACAAAATACAGCCCTTGTCAGCCAGGTCCTGCCCATACAAATCATCTGGGCCCACATTACAACACGCAGGTATAGCTACTAGGCTCCTGCCAGTAATCAAACACTTGAAGGCGAGGTAAGATTGGAAGAATTCATCACACACATTTTGAGGAACTCCTGAGGAAACGTTCATGTGATTCATATACACAGCCTTCATTGAAAGTACTTGGTAATGGACTTTGTGATTGTGCATTATGGCCGACATCCGTCGTGTTTGTTTTTCTCGGTGCTGCGTGGCCACGGCTTTGCATAGAAATACGCGAAAGAGAAAGATGAAAAGGGGGACGGCTCAAGGCAAATATTGTCCATTTTAACACGGCTTATCTATCCGCGGCGCTTGTGTTCAAGCGCTCTGGCGGCGAGGCCGGCAGCCTGACGTGCGCGAGCCTGCCTGAAAAGCACCTCTGAAGACATGCGGTCGTGGAGAATTGCGTCTCGGGGGCACGAATTGCATTCCTATCTGCACAAGGACGAGCCGTGTGTTTAGAGCGCCTTTTTGAAAACAGACAAAGGGCGCGGTGTCAAAGTGTTATGAAACGCCGAAGGCTGGAGCAATCAAACGCCTATTGATTTCAGAGCGTCTTCAGTCAGAAATGATTTTCTGCAGCATAATGGATAGCGAGGAGGGAAAATGATTGTCTCAGAGAGGTTCACGGGAGATGGTGAGCACATGCGCGTTCAAGCAGCAACGCGATGATCACGTCGATTCCTTTTGTTTACGGCGCAATTTTCTGCGGGCTTGAGTGTGGATTTATTTAGGTTCAGTTGTTGACACCGCGTGGTTTTCCTTTGCATCTGCTTCGGTGACAAATCTCCGCCTTCGACCGAGCAAGGTGATGTTGCAAAGAAAAGAAATGATGAGGATTGTCGGAAAACCAATTGCAAATCTGGACGAGCCGTACAGGCACGTGCAGCATTCTGCCTTGCCCACATTGTGCTATGAAACTAAACAGCCAAGTAGAGCCGGACGCTGATTTGATAATCCTACTCCAATATCCATCGTCTGTGGTTGCATTTTATAGAAGGCTTTTATATTCACAAATGTGTTCCTAAGCGTACGGTGCCATCATCTGATGGACAACATCAATGTGTATGCGTTTCTGGGTCAGATGTCATGAGAGGGTGGAGGCACTTGCACATCGCATGAAATAAGAAGGTGTCACTGATACTTGCTGAATTTGGACTTCTCACCTGGGTCTCGGTCTTTCATCTGAAATTTAAAAAAAAAAAAAACGTTACACGATGAGAAAAAAAGGTTACAGGGTGACATTGAAATGCACATTCATGATCAAATCAAATTTTGCGTTGACATACAGTGCAGCACCTTGAATGTGATGTGCAAGAAAATATTCAGTTGATACCAGCTTGTCATATTTTACTATTAGTAAAGCCGTTCCAACGAGTGCGTCTGTATTTGAACTATTGTTTATTTTATAGATTTTTGGAAGTAATGTATGTTTCGTAACTATTGTAACAGCACACAAGCAGGCCATATCTGTCCTTTTGGTAATTCTGTCAACCAATTAACAGGCCGCGGTGTTGAGAAAAAGTGCCAAAAATCGATGGTGAAAAGACCAGTTCATCTTTTCCAACTTTTGGCAAGTCCCAAAAATGTACTACTTGGCAGAAACTGGCCATATAGATGTATAACTGTAGGGACAGTTCTCAAAGTCACCTCAAGAAAAGCTTTCATGATTCCGCTGGTCAGAATCGCTTCCGGTCGCAATGTAATCCCCATGAAGACCAGGAACGGTCAAGGCTACGGCTACACCTTTTGAAGTACATTGTAGGAAAATCCTCATGTAATTTGCTGCACGGGGGGATGCTTAAGAGCAATGCACACATCAGCAATGCGGCGCCCAGCAGCAAAGAGAGCTTTGAAAAGACGGCAAACTCAACTCGGGCTAAATCCGCGCAGGTAGACCGTACTGAGTGCAAAGTCAAATGGAGTCTCCTTGGCAAACAGCCGCAGGAGAGAAAAGCTCCGTCGGTACGGCGCAACTCGGGAGAAGAGAAGGAGAGCAGACGCGCGGCGCTGACATCAGCCCAAACGCAAGCGGCAGCTCACCTGAGTTCTGACGCAGCCGGGATCTGAAAGAGGTTTGAGAACAGGCATAGTGAGTGACGGGTTAGCAGGTGCATGCAAACACTTGCACGCCTTTGCCGGTACAAGACAACACTCCCTCATTAGTGGTGAAGGCGGACGCCTCGTGTTTGACCGCGCTTCACTTTGTTTTGCTTTGCCGCCGCTACCTGACAGCTCAGGTAGAGGAGGTAACGAGATTGAGGGTTGAAGAAGAGGAGAGCTTGGCAGATCTCGAGCTGTCTGTTTGTGTGTGTGTGTGTGTGTGTGTGTGTGTGTGTGAGTGTGTTTTGTTGTTGGGGTTTTTTTTTTTTGTTTTTTTTTTTTGCTCCGCCAGTTTCTGTTATTGGTTCCCCGAGGGACCGGCTACACCTCTTTGAGACAAACACACACGCCCATGTACACACGTACACGTTCCCCTATCTGTACTAATACAGAAGACGTACACAACCACGCCCGAACGCACAATGATACACTTGAACACAAAAACACAGGCGGGCCAAGTCGCGGAAAGCCTCGAATGAACGTTGACCTGTGGTATAAACGCACGGCGCTGATAACGGAGACAAACGCAGGTAAACAAAGATTAACCGCGCCACACATGTGCACTCATAAGCAAAACAGAGCCAAGTTGAAATCGTTTGTTTGTGCGGTGCAGAGTGTTCAGCAGGAAGAAATTTGAAGTTATTTAACAAACAGAACGAGGAAACACGTTTCCATTCCTGTAAATGCATATTGAACGTACTTTCAAACTTCTTGCGTGAACTTGGGAGAGGGACTTTTCCTCTTACATAAGTATCAGTTCTTAGTGTCGCAGCACCGTGTGGAGTAATGAGTGAGGGAATTCAAACCGACAACACAGCCGTCACAGTTCCGCGCTCTCCCATGGCGAGTGTTGCCCAAATCTACTCAGGTGCGCATCGCGCCGAGGTGGGCCCGGCGGTGGCGTTATTGCCTCTGCGACCTGATGGCACCGTGACAGATGCTCGGGCCAACTCGAGCTGGCGGCTCGCCGTGGGGAACGTTGCGACACACACTTGCTGAACACGATGTGCTTGTGGTTGGAGTGCAATGTGCACGAATGCTTCGGTGTTTGAAAAAGAAAAGGAAAAAAAATAAATCAACGTTACGCATGGCTTTGGCGTGGAACGCAGCCATGCCCTTGCAGGACCTAAATAGTTTCACAAAGATTGGACTTAAGGTTTAGCTATCTCCCATTCACACACGTACATAAGTAGAGGACTAAGCTGGTTTCTGAAGGCCTTGTTTTTTTTTTGTTTGTTTTTTTTTTTAGTCAACTGCTTAAGTTTTCCCTCCATTTCTTTCAAGAATGGCCATGGCGTCTGCACAGGGAGCTGAGTGGCAGACACAATAAAAATAAAAAGGAGGGTTATTATTTATTTTTTTTTCCTGACTCCTCTGTAAAAGTATGATTAACCTTTGGGGAGCCCTACAAGTGCACACGCAGTGACATTGCCTTTAGTGTTCTGTGTCAAAACCTCCCAGGGAAGCAGAAGAGCATTTGAATGAGTATTAGAAGCACTTATTGAATGTGTGGCTGACCTTGGTTGTCGGAATTAAGGGCATTTTTAATGCTGCAAACCCACGAATTCCCCCAGTTGCACCCAAAATAACCTTTTTCGAGCAACGGCATTGCAACAACAAACGCACAATGACTCACATGCGGTGCTCGTATCTGTTTTGATGCACCCTTTTGTCTGTATCGTGATGTTTACACAAATGATGTCACATGTGAAAAACCGACGAGTAAAGTGTAGCGTATGTGTGTGCGTGCACATGGAGAAAAGGTAGCTCACCTGTTTTTCCGCAGCAGCCCAGCCGGCCCAGGCATTCTTTATGGGCGCCGAGACCGCACTTGGAACATAGGTAACCCTGGTTAAATATGCCCCTGCAGACAGGTGACAACAGGTCACTTTATGAACATTTTTTTTAAGTGCATGCACAAAAAATGCAAAGATTGTCAAGTATGTTCTACAAGAAAACTTGAAAAAGTCAGGAAAAAGTAGTTTGAAGGAGAAAGGGTTGACCGGTGTGGATATTTTCCGATGATTTTTTGGTGTGTGTGTGACGTCATTCTCAGAGTGAGTGCATGGGTAACAAATGGCCCCTTACCTCAGTAGCATGTGGCAAGAATTGCAGGAGGTAATTCTTTCAAAAGTGTGCATATGGAACTCATGGAAATTGTTGGTTGCATTCTCTGGATGGATGTTGGATCTAAACAAAAGAGGATAAATATTCAAACTCATGAAACTTTTGCTTTGTGCGTTTAGAGGTCACTTTGAACACATTCTAGGATGTGTTGGCATACAAGTAATGCCAGAATTAATTGTCCACAGCTTGTCATTAATCGTCGCACTGTTTATACCAGAATAAGCTACTAGACAGTACATACTGTATTACTTGAGTAAAATAAGTATAACTCAGATACACAGCGCGACGCTGGCCGCCAGTCAATCACAAGGCACATATGGAGACAGACAACTATTCTCCCATAGATTTATGTGTTCATCCATTCGATGATACAGATGCAGATTTCGATTTGTTTGTGTGTGTGAGTGTGCATGCATGCGTGCGCTTTCCTTTATTTCTTATTGGGACTCGTATCCCAATATCGTGTCTGTCATCAAAGAGAGGCTGTACGTGCAGAACGAGACAAGCAGCTTGACTTTTGATTGTATCATAAAGCTGCATGCGCACGCACACACACACACCCATATACAGTACTCACATGGCCATGCCAAACTGCTCCAGCCATTTCTTCTTCAGCTCTTTGGTCTTGAAGAAGAACTCAAAGCCGTTCTGGCCCTGATTATGAGTGAGGTAGAATCCGTAGGACCACTGCAATGGCCAATTGAAACAAACGTGTGAGAGCAAAAAGAGGACAACAAAGGCGACTCCATCTCGCGCGAGTGTTGGTGAAAGACAAAGTGCTAATAAGGAAAGGGAGACAGCAGGCAGATGGAGACAGATGGACGAAAAGAGACGCGAGATGCCTTTGAACGGAAACTGTGCCTCGGGGTGGGCGAGAACAAAAAGGGTCAAGGTTTGGAGGGCTGCACAAAAAGACAAAGAGCGTGAAAAGGAGAACCCAAGTGTGAGATAGCTTTGCCGTATCACTGCTGGACATCAACTCAGACCCAAGACGGGTATGACGACTGACTGTCAGCTGCTGTCACACAATTCCAAGCTCTAAAATTGATTCTTAGCCGTTGTCACCATACGCTTCACTTTTTTCTTCATGATTGGCACTAATCGGATGCTTGTGAGATGCACTCTTCATACTGTCGTGCATCTCATCTTTACCAATGAGAGTAAAAGAAGTAAGGCGCTACAAAAGTCTTCCCGGTGGACACACAGGCTTAGGCTTAGGAAAGATACACCGAAGCCTGCGGTGTTCCGGATAAGCAGCTGGGGCTCTTTCAGTTGTTTTGTCTTATCGCTTATCGCTTCTTTCAGTCTGTGTCCATTTATTGTTGTCGCACGTCATGTTTCCCCAGTTTTGTCATTTGGTGCTTGTTTGATTTCCACTTTGAATCTTGACTTTTTTTGTGTGTTTTGGGGATTATGTTCATAGAATATTCAGATTTTTCCACCTTAGTCTTGTTTGTCTTTTTTTCCTGTAATAAATACTTTTAAAAAGTCACAAATGATCATAAAACCGCAGTCCATAGAGCCGCGGTGAAATGTTGTCTACCAAAGCCGCACCTGACTAATCAACTTGGTACATAAACATTATGACAATTTAAGTTGATAAACCAACTTTTGTTTAGCTGCCAACTATGCGACATCACAAATGAACAAGAAACAAACCGATCCAACTCTGAAAGGTCAACAACACAGTAATTTGTTCAAGCAACACCGCTTGCAATAGCACAGGCACACCTATTGTTTATCAAAATGTCAACTGTCATTGGCCCTTTGCAGGCTTGCGGAGAATGACGCCACCGGCACGCGTTTCTTTTTCCTCCAGAGTGCAAAATGTGTCGACTGTATATTTTCATGCACCAACCTTTCGGTTTTCCTTGTCTGACGTGGGGTTGTTTGTGATCTTAAAGAGGTGCAGGTCGATCACGTCTTTCATTTCGTAGTTGTCTCCCCTTCGCTTACAAATGATGACGGCAGCATCGAACAAGAAAATATGCCTGAGGTTTAAAAAAAGAAAAAAAAACACTTTAGAATGATCTTCGAGGCGTCATAAAATACGGTGTGAGATGTACAAGTTTCAAAAATGTGTGGATAAATACACCGTAAATTGAAGTTTTGCGGGACAATACCGACAGTTGCCTTTAGCTGCATTCTGTGGCTTTCCATTTTGCGCACTTGACATCAAGATGTTTACGCCTACTTTCGAAATGGACAAAAGGGCTATTGAGTTCCCATTACTTTGGTTTGTTTACTTCCCAAATAGTGACCTTTTTATTTATTTATTTTTCTAATCACCAATCGAGTCTCCAGTTTCCCAAATAGCGATTGTATTTGTTAAATACGCAATATACAGACGGCCACAACATTACGACCCGCTTGAAAAATAATAATGATATCCAGCACAAGAGCGGCACCAAATATTCTGTCTTTAATTGAGGTCATGCTGTTCAGTTTTGGAACAGATGATTCAATGTGTTTATTACTGCGGTTGTATTTGCAGTGGTGTGGAAACGTTCTGAATCGTAATGACATTTTGGTCATAATGTGGCTGTGTGTGCAAAGTACTACAAGACACGTGAATGAGTATCAACACTTGGAGGAACTTGAAGAAGTACAGTCCTTTCCCCTGTCAATCATTCGACCGGTGCACGGCTACAACATGGCACACATCTCACCTGTCCTGTTTGGCTCGTTTGTCCACTGAGGCCACCCGTACTTCCCCGTCACCTTTGGGTCTCCCGTAGTTACTCAGAGGCTGATTCTTAAGAGGGACAAAGTACAATAAGGATGAACTGGACTAAAAAGAGACAATATATATTTCTAATTTGCAGTAAGTGGCCCTGCTTACAAGGTTTTCAATGGATTTCTGATACTGATCTATTTCTCGCAGTGTCTCATTGTCTCTCTTGACTTCATTGACATACTGGGCCAAGTCCTGCACACAACAAAATCCGGAGACATATACAGTTTTTTGAAATTCATAGCTTGATAGGTTCTGCAAACTTTTTAGAGGACAAAAAAAAAAAAAAATCGATATACCTTCATGGCATCTAATGCTTTCCGCAAATTGCTCTTGTCTGTGGCATCGTGAGTGTGTTTCACCAGCTCCTGTTGGAGGGGAAACAGGTTAGACGAAACAAAATTTCCAAAGCCGCCAATGGGAACACACTCCTTGCTTTTCGTATCAGAAAAATGATTTGCATAATTATCCACTGGATGAACAAACCCAATAATGTTCCACAAGATTGCGTATGGAAAGGTGAATGTGGAAAATCCCAAATACTTCTTGTATCCTATCTATGAGCAATCATATTGTGCAGCACAGCGACATCGCATACAAGAAGTTACAGCGTCAGATCCGAAATGGAAAACGTTAGTGCAAAAGGAACATATCCGATTGTGTGTGCGTGTATCTGATGGAGAAACCGTGTATCTGAAATTGGTTGCCGCAGCATAAACAAGACATCTAGACCGCAGCAGTGGAGGATAAGGAAGGATGCCATGCATATCCTTCTTCCAGGCCAATAAAAAAAACGTCCTCCTTGCACACACACACACACACACACACACACACACACGCGCGCGCGCACACACACAGACATACAATGAATCCCAGAGGGAGATATGTGTATATATACGTTTGCTCTGGACTGCTCAAATCCTCAATGTCAGTCATGCTCAACCAGGGCATTATTATCACTGGCAAGATGGCAGACTTGTGTTTATCAGGCCTTGCTTCCACCTGCACACATCTACAGAGATACAGGGCACGGAGTGCACAAACAGATAGTGGAGGCCGGACGTGATTGGACTCAGTCAGGGAGGGAAAAGCCAGAGAAGAGAATATGAAAGACAGAAAGACTCAGACAACGGACTCTGGCTCACAATGTAAGAAAAAAAGGTGCATATTATGTTTGGTGTCGATGTGTGATGCCACTGGTACTGATTGATAAATAATATATTCAGTAAAATAATAATCCAGATACTTTTGTAACCGAGTGCCCATTCAACCCCTGGAAGGCTGGTCCTTCATCGATAAAATCAAGGCCCAGAAAGGCACAGCTGAACTAGGGTGGAAGAACCACAGTGCCCTGATCTTCACCCCATTAAAAAGCGATGAATGCACAACAATTGTTGTCCATTGAGTGCATTTTGTCTCTCGTCCTTTCTCCAAAGCACAAAAAAACCCAACAACAAAGATGATGAAACGTAGACAACAGTGCCTCTAGTGGACATGAGTCAGAGAATGTTTTCAGTGAGTATTCCTGAACACGCTATTTATCTTTAAATCATGCAATTCTTTAGGCATACACTTGGCGGCACTGTTTGGCTGTTTAACTGAGAGGCCGGGAGACAGACAGCTTTGCTGGAATACATCACTGACTGAAGTGACTGAAAAGAAGAAATCGTTTTACCTCAAGCTTCATGCGGACGTCCTCTCTGTCTTTACATATACTGTCGAGCGTGGCAATGGCTGTCTCCACATCGCTGCAGTATTTCCCATAGATTAGCAATCTAAAATAGATTAAACACGAGTTTCAAAATGTAAAGCGGGCACTCTATGACTACATGAGTCTACTTTGAGTGGATTGCGATTTGAAAAGTACGTATGGTACCTTTCTTTGAATGCAATAAAGATCTGGTGTAGATTTTGGGCACTTCTGTGTTGGACTGAGTCTTGAATTTCCTGCAGTAAACTTTTGTGAACTTTCACCAGGTCCTGAAAGACACACACAAAAACCACTCTTTTAAATTCAGGCTGCATAAGGTACATTTAAACATTTGTTCTCATTAGATAATGATAACATACTACTATTAATACAGTCATTTCCTATTGTACATTTGCACAGCCTAGTGTGATTTTTCATGAACAAAGTAAGTCAAGTATAGGGGGGGTGGAAACTCTTCTGTGAAGTAAGCAAGGGGACTCAAAATGATGACTTACCGGTATATTCACAAACACTTTTTCCATCTCAGCCGTGGATAAAAACCCAGTGAGAGGTGTCATAAAGTTCTGTGGTAGAAAGAAGGGGAAAGCATGAAAATAAATCTGCTCCCTCGAGAATAAGAGCGGGCAAGTCATTTTGCGAGAGGTCATTATAATATGCCGCCAACTTGCAAAGTCGCCGCTGTCAGCGAAAACAAGGAACACTGTCTGGGTCATGACAATAATCTTATTTTCGGAGTTTGCAATTTAATGATTTCCTCTCGGAAAAAGCTTGCACCTCCTCGTCACCTCTGCGCCTCAAAGCAGCGGGCAAGCGTGTGCTAAATTACACCATCTACTTCATATTGAAAGTCATCTACTAGCGTGCTCCGCTGGGAAATCAAGAAGGGTCTTTTCCACACTTTGAACGTAAACAGGAGCGAGAAGACAAGTAGTGCTGAATGGCTAGGAAGACGAGCGGCCTCCCACCATCTTGCAGGGGAGCACTTCAGCATTTTTCTCATGGAAAAGCACTCCCTTGGCTCATTACTTGCTATTGATTTAGAAGATGTGAGCATCTCATCTGATTTTAGGCGAGACACTCATCGGACACAGTGCAAAGAGATTTGATGACCCCGCGCGCCTCCCCCAAAAATTCCCTGCATAGATTAGATAGCCAATGGTCAATTTAGTTTGGTTGGTTTAACAATTATACTGAGGATTGCGGTTGGAGTTTTCGATAGCCTTGACACCTACTTTCTTTTATTTTCTTTCCACACAACCCCAATGAGATGGCATTGAAAACAGCAGGACACTATTCCTGACACAATTCTTAATAATGCTCAAGGATGATATTTGATGAAAGATAGAAAGTTAAATTGAGTATATTTTAATACCACTTTTAACTACATGTAAGACACATTTTTTGAAGAAAAAAAAATTACAGAAAAGTCTGTGTACCTTTTCTATTGAGTCCAGGGTGTCAGAAAATTTCTCTTCTGTCTGCTTGATTTCTGTTAAACAGCAACTTCTGATGTCAATCTCTGCCTGTTTCTGGAACACCTACATAATTACACACCCCCACACACCGAAAACACAGACATATTATAAATATAGCTGAGAAGCTTCCGAAATAAACGGGACCCGTATTGCGCAATGCTACAACCAAATGATATCACATATCAGAGAATTATGAAAAGCATTTAAAAATAGATACCTTTCCAACTCAAGTAAAATCAATCCAGGAAAAGTATAGTATGCTGTACTAGACATAAAAACTTACAAAAATCGTAAATATAAAACATGTCAGCATAAATTCCAATCATTTTAAAGTATGGCAATGTAAATTCGTATTTTCTTGGATTTGATGCGCGTGCTTTATTTATGCCATCTAACTACTCGTTTAAGGACAACTGTTGCTGGTTTATTGGGTGGTCAAGACTGAGTGTTACAAGTACATTGATAGTTTTTCTACATGCGGTAGCTGATGACTCAGTATCATGTGATATGAGGTGATGTGAAGTCATGACTCGCACGAGTGAGGCGAGAAAAAAAACTGACCGGGGGGGCGAGAGCTTCCGTTTTCATCAGATCCTCATAGATTTCACCGCCCTCTTCATCATCATACACGCAGTCATACAGGTCCTCCTCATCTTCCACCCGGTTTTCACTGCAGCGCACATGACAAAACACATGTACTTATATCACTCGGGCGAGTGGTTTTGTGTGCACACCTCAGAAAGGAAAACAATTGAAGAGAATGAAAATTAGGTGAACAAAAAAAAAAAAACCCTCCCCTGTTAGTGTATGTCCATCAGATCTGTTTTCATGGTGCCCAATGAACATCATCATCCAACCACTGAATCCAAACTTGCAGAGAGGCAAGAGCAGAACTGTGCTCACTTTAATGATGGCCGCCACATTCACCTCCCACATGTTCACTGCTGGCCCTCGTCAGATACCTATTACATCCCAACTGTCAACACTCATTCGTGGGCTCCCTTCAGCGCCCGGGGCTGTCAGCACTAACATAGACCAGAGCTCTGTGGCGGTGGGAGCCCTCCCAAAAGCGCTTTCACTCTTCGACGTTGTCTCCTGCCGCTGATTTAAGTTACAGCAGTTACTGTAAATTACCCCTTTAATTTGTTTTCAATATCAACCCCACCTGAGTTTAACATCATTTTTTAAGGGATTCATTGACAAAAATATACAAATATATACCGAGTAAAAACAATGGTGAGAAAATGGTGTCGACTGATAAAATATACATATGTGCAAAGAAATAAACACGCATTGCCAGCAGCTGCTCCAGTTCCCCAAAATGTTAATCTTAAGTACCTTCAAAATGCATATTAGTCAGCGCTCTCCAAATCGCTTTCTTTGCTGCATTGCACTGAGATAGAGGGCTTTGGAAGGAATTGTGCCGGGAGCCTTGTTTGCTATGTAGGTGGGTGATTTTGGGTAATACCGACTTTGGTCTTTGTGAATGAATGAAAAACAGTATGTGTTCTTTCGATAAAGTTACAAAACCCTCACGAGAGGGGACCACACAAGCCTCACATTTCTGCTAACCTATTTGTCGATTAGCCTTCCATGTTCAAACAGGTCTTGAGGCACTCAATTGACATGCAAACGCTTGCCGTTTCAAAAAATGCACAGATTCAGGAGTGAGTGGGGATATTAGAGTCGAATACGGACTGAATGAGCAGACGGTCAAACCACAAGCTTTCCATGCCTTGTGCTGTGAAAAAAAGCAAAAAGCAGGGTGAGGTGGCACTGACAGCCCTGGAGGAGGTGGCTGCCTTCCAGTCAACACCCAGGCAACAAATGTTCCTCAAACATACAACAGCATGGTGTCGTAGGAGGGAGACGAAATTCCCCCAAGGTGAAAACCTAGATCATTTCACCATGCTGTTTGAAGCAATTAATAAAAATGCACAGTTTGGTACCACACGCCTCATCAAAATCGATCCAAAAAAATTCATCAGTAGAAAAAAAACCATGATTATTAACACGTGTGTGTGTGTAGGATACATACTCTATTAGGTCCTCAAGGTGGTTATAGATATCCTCATCTTCAAGACTTTCTTCGGTTGGAAAAGACCTTTTTGGGGAAAAAATAAAAAGAAGTATCCACTTCTCAGTCACTATTGTAACACTCCATAATATCTATAAATAATTTCTAAACACGTCACAAACATTGTCATGTCTTGTAAAGTGAAACATACCTGCTTACAGTTTGTTGTGCAATCGTTGTGTGAGAAAGCTTCGAAAGTGTGTCCATAACCTGCATGCAAATGAAGATATGATATGATATCTTTAGAGCATCCTAAAAATTAGAATACAATAATCATGGTTAATGCATATCAACATAACATGTCAATCACGAGATGCAAAGCAACAATGCCCCCTCTCGGCTCTGAGTGGCATACGAATGCCATGTCAAACCAGATGTATTTTTCCATTGTACCGGTACTTTGATTGTGCCACTAGTGCGTTGCTGTTTTCGATCACCCGTGTAGAAAAAAACTCTGACGTTACAAAAACTAATTAGCAGTTGGACTGACTTAGACTTTTGATGATAATCACAATCTGTGCAGGAATCACAATTCTGCAAAAACAAGCTGTGGACTAATATTTTTCCAAGAAAAAAAATGGACAATGGTTCACAAGAAAACGTCCTCCTCGCACACACACACACACACACACACACACACACACGCGCGCGCGCACACACACAGACATACAATGAATCCCAGAGGGAGATATGTGTATATATACGTTTGCTCTGGACTGCTCAAATCCTCAATGTCAGTCATGCTCAACCAGGGCATTATTATCACTGGCAAGATGGCAGACTTGTGTTTATCAGGCCTTGCTTCCACCTGCACACATCTACAGAGATACAGGGCACGGAGTGCACAAACAGATAGTGGAGGCCGGACGTGATTGGACTCAGTCAGGGAGGGAAAAGCCAGAGAAGAGAATATGAAAGACAGAAAGACTCAGACAACGGACTCTGGCTCACAATGTAAGAAAAAAAGGTGCATATTATGTTTGGTGTCGATGTGTGATGCCACTGGTACTGATTGATAAATAATATATTCAGTAAAATAATAATCCAGATACTTTTGTAACCGAGTGCCCATTCAACCCCTGGAAGGCTGGTCCTTCATCGATAAAATCAAGGCCCAGAAAGGCACAGCTGAACTAGGGTGGAAGAACCACAGTGCCCTGATCTTCACCCCATTAAAAAGCGATGAATGCACAACAATTGTTGTCCATTGAGTGCATTTTGTCTCTCGTCCTTTCTCCAAAGCACAAAAAAACCCAACAACAAAGATGATGAAACGTAGACAACAGTGCCTCTAGTGGACATGAGTCAGAGTGATTTCTCCAATGGAAGCATGTCAAACATGTATTCTAGTTTGATCAAAAAAATTACTCATCAATCAATTCTTTGACCTTCATCAACATAGCCGATAAGTGTCTGAGCTCTGTGAAACATAAAAAAGGGATTTCAACAAATTTGGAAATATGCCTTTTGCGATGCACTAAACAAAACCAAATTAACTTGTCTGAGCTCACTGATGTTCGTCTATTCATAGCACCCAATGTGTGATTTTGCTTTTCGGAGCCATGATAATTCAGGATAAATCGGAGCACTGCACCTGCAGAAGAAGGTGGTACTTCAAGACCCGCTGCATGGGAACCACCAGCAGATCCCTCAGAGTGAATTTGCCATAGTTTGCTCTTTTAGAACACTCCTGTGAAAAATGATAATACAAAATAGAATGTATTATGTAAAAAAAAAAAAAAAAAGAATATTTTCAGTGAGTATTCCTGTACACGCTATTTATCTTTAAATCGTGCAATTCTTTAGGCATACACTTGGCGGCACTGTTTGGCTGTTTAACTGAGAGGCCGGGAGACAGACAGCTTTGCTGGAATACATCACTGACTGAAGTGACTGAAAAGAAGAAATCGTTTTACCTCAAGCTTCATGCGGACGTCCTCTCTGTCTTTACATATACTGTCGAGCGTGGCAATGGCTGTCTCCACATCGCTGCAGTATTTCCCATAGATTAGCAATCTAAAATAGATTAAACACGAGTTTCAAAATGTAAAGCGGGCACTCTATGACTACATGAGTCTACTTTGAGTGGATTGCGATTTGAAAAGTACGTATGGTACCTTTCTTTGAATGCAATAAAGATCTGGTGTAGATTTTGGGCACTTCTGTGTTGGACTGAGTCTTGAATTTCCTGCAGTAAACTTTTGTGAACTTTCACCAGGTCCTGAAAGACACACACAAAAACCACTCTTTTAAATTCAGGCTGCATAAGGTACATTTAAACATTTGTTCTCATTAGATAATGATAACATACTACTATTAATACAGTCATTTCCTATTGTACATTTGCACAGCCTAGTGTGATTTTTCATGAACAAAGTAAGTCAAGTATAGGGGGGGTGGAAACTCTTCTGTGAAGTAAGCAAGGGGACTCAAAATGATGACTTACCGGTATATTCACAAACACTTTTTCCATCTCAGCCGTGGATAAAAACCCAGTGAGAGGTGTCATAAAGTTCTGTGGTAGAAAGAAGGGGAAAGCATGAAAATAAATCTGCTCCCTCGAGAATAAGAGCGGGCAAGTCATTTTGCGAGAGGTCATTATAATATGCCGCCAACTTGCAAAGTCGCCGCTGTCAGCGAAAACAAGGAACACTGTCTGGGTCATGACAATAATCTTATTTTCGGAGTTTGCAATTTAATGATTTCCTCTCGGAAAAAGCTTGCACCTCCTCGTCACCTCTGCGCCTCAAAGCAGCGGGCAAGCGTGTGCTAAATTACACCATCTACTTCATATTGAAAGTCATCTACTAGCGTGCTCCGCTGGGAAATCAAGAAGGGTCTTTTCCACACTTTGAACGTAAACAGGAGCGAGAAGACAAGTAGTGCTGAATGGCTAGGAAGACGAGCGGCCTCCCACCATCTTGCAGGGGAGCACTTCAGCATTTTTCTGATGGAAAAGCACTCCCTTGGCTCATTACTTGCTATTGATTTAGAAGATGTGAGCATCTCATCTGATTTTAGGCGAGACACTCATCGGACACAGTGCAAAGAGATTTGATGACCCCGCGCGCCTCCCCCAAAAATTCCCTGCATAGATTAGATAGCCAATGGTCAATTTAGTTTGGTTGGTTTAACAATTATACTGAGGATTGCGGTTGGAGTTTTCGATAGCCTTGACACCTACTTTCTTTTATTTTCTTTCCACACAACCCCAATGAGATGGCATTGAAAACAGCAGGACACTATTCCTGACACAATTCTTAATAATGCTCAAGGATGATATTTGATGAAAGATAGAAAGTTAAATTGAGTATATTTTAATACCACTTTTAACTACATGTAAGACACATTTTTTGAAGAAAAAAAAATTACAGAAAAGTCTGTGTACCTTTTCTATTGAGTCCAGGGTGTCAGAAAATTTCTCTTCTGTCTGCTTGATTTCTGTTAAACAGCAACTTCTGATGTCAATCTCTGCCTGTTTCTGGAACACCTACATAATTACACACCCCCACACACCGAAAACACAGACATATTATAAATATAGCTGAGAAGCTTCCGAAATAAACGGGACCCGTATTGCGCAATGCTACAACCAAATGATATCACATATCAGAGAATTATGAAAAGCATTTAAAAATAGATACCTTTCCAACTCAAGTAAAATCAATCCAGGAAAAGTATAGTATGCTGTACTAGACATAAAAACTTACAAAAATCGTAAATATAAAACATGTCAGCATAAATTCCAATCATTTTAAAGTATGGCAATGTAAATTCGTATTTTCTTGGATTTGATGCGCGTGCTTTATTTATGCCATCTAACTACTCGTTTAAGGACAACTGTTGCTGGTTTATTGGGTGGTCAAGACTGAGTGTTACAAGTACATTGATAGTTTTTCTACATGCGGTAGCTGATGACTCAGTATCATGTGATATGAGGTGATGTGAAGTCATGACTCGCACGAGTGAGGCGAGAAAAAAAACTGACCGGGGGGGCGAGAGCTTCCGTTTTCATCAGATCCTCATAGATTTCACCGCCCTCTTCATCATCATACACGCAGTCATACAGGTCCTCCTCATCTTCCACCCTGTTTTCACTGCAGCGCACATGACAAAACACATGTACTTATATCACTCGGGCGAGTGGTTTTGTGTGCACACCTCAGAAAGGAAAACAATTGAAGAGAATGAAAATTAGGTGAACAAAAAAAAAAAAACCCTCCCCTGTTAGTGTATGTCCATCAGATCTGTTTTCATGGTGCCCAATGAACATCATCATCCAACCACTGAATCCAAACTTGCAGAGAGGCAAGAGCAGAACTGTGCTCACTTTAATGATGGCCGCCACATTCACCTCCCACATGTTCACTGCTGGCCCTCGTCAGATACCTATTACATCCCAACTGTCAACACTCATTCGTGGGCTCCCTTCAGCGCCCGGGGCTGTCAGCACTAACATAGACCAGAGCTCTGTGGCGGTGGGAGCCCTCCCAAAAGCGCTTTCACTCTTCGACGTTGTCTCCTGCCGCTGATTTAAGTTACAGCAGTTACTGTAAATTACCCCTTTAATTTGTTTTCAATATCAACCCCACCTGAGTTTAACATCATTTTTTAAGGGATTCATTGACAAAAATATACAAATATATACCGAGTAAAAACAATGGTGAGAAAATGGTGTCGACTGATAAAATATACATATGTGCAAAGAAATAAACACGCATTGCCAGCAGCTGCTCCAGTTCCCCAAAATGTTAATCTTAAGTACCTTCAAAATGCATATTAGTCAGCGCTCTCCAAATCGCTTTCTTTGCTGCATTGCACTGAGATAGAGGGCTTTGGAAGGAATTGTGCCGGGAGCCTTGTTTGCTATGTAGGTGGGTGATTTTGGGTAATACCGACTTTGGTCTTTGTGAATGAATGAAAAACAGTATGTGTTCTTTCGATAAAGTTACAAAACCCTCACGAGAGGGGACCACACAAGCCTCACATTTCTGCTAACCTATTTGTCGATTAGCCTTCCATGTTCAAACAGGTCTTGAGGCACTCAATTGACATGCAAACGCTTGCCGTTTCAAAAAATGCACAGATTCAGGAGTGAGTGGGGATATTAGAGTCGAATACGGACTGAATGAGCAGACGGTCAAACCACAAGCTTTCCATGCCTTGTGCTGTGAAAAAAAGCAAAAAGCAGGGTGAGGTGGCACTGACAGCCCTGGAGGAGGTGGCTGCCTTCCAGTCAACACCCAGGCAACAAATGTTCCTCAAACATACAACAGCATGGTGTCGTAGGAGGGAGACGAAATTCCCCCAAGGTGAAAACCTAGATCATTTCACCATGCTGTTTGAAGCAATTAATAAAAATGCACAGTTTGGGACCAAACGCCTCATCAAAATCGATCGAAAAAAATTCATCAGTAGAAAACAAAACATGATTATTAACACGTGTGTGTGTAGGATACATACTACCACACGCCTCATCAAAATCGATCCAAAAAAATTCATCAGTAGAAAAAAAACCATGATTATTAACACGTGTGTGTGTAGGATACATACTCTATTAGGTCCTCAAGGTGGTTATAGATATCCTCATCTTCAAGACTTTCTTCGGTTGGAAAAGACCTTTTTGGGGAAAAAATAAAAAGAAGTATCCACTTCTCAGTCTCTATTGTAACACTCCATAATATCTATAAATAATTTCTAAACACGTCACAAACATTGTCATGTCTTGTAAAGTGAAACATACCTGCTTACAGTTTGTTGTGCAATCGTTGTGTGAGAAAGCTTCGAAAGTGTGTCCATAACCTGCATGCAAATGAAGATATGATATGATATCTTTAGAGCATCCTAAAAAATTAGAATACAATAATCATGGTTAATGCATATCAACATAACATGTCAATAACGAGATGCAAAGCAACAATGCCCCCTCTCGGCTGTGAGTGGCATACGAATGCCATGTCAAACCAGATGTATTTTTCCATTGTACCGGTACTTTGATTGTGCCACTAGTGCGTTGCTGTTTTCGATCACCCGTGTAGAAAAAAACTCTGACGTTACAAAAACTAATTAGCAGTTGGACTGACTTAGACTTTTGATGATAATCACAATCTGTGCAGGAATCACAATTCTGCAAAAACAAGCTGTGGACTAATATTTTTCCAAGAAAAAAAATGGACAATGGTTCACAAGAGTATTAATACAAATATGTTCACGATCAAAATAATATTAGGTACAGTATTGTGCTTCATAAGAACGTGTGGGTAGCGATTTTCCCATTTGACACTAGAGGGTGGCCTTTTCAAACTCTTCCAAACAACAGTGTTCATAGGATGACATCCTGTGCTTTCCAAAAGACTTCAACAAACATCATACGTTCTATCTATTTTTGAAGAAAATAAATGAAGGCGGACCAATAGGAGATTGCCAATGTAATAGGAGAAGATGACTCAATGAGCACGTCATTGAGGACAGATGGTTGTTATGAATAATCACCCATATCTTCTGGTGTTTTTTTGTTGTTGTTGTTTTGTCCAATGCTGTATGGATCAAAAGAGCCACTAACAAACTTTTATGGGTCATTAATCTACTGACACGACACACAGAGACGTGGCGAGTAGATACATTTGCCCTCGGGTGCTCTGACAGATCAGTACTGATCACACAACTGGCTTTCCCCAGTTCCCCGACCAATAACTAATAGCACACAAAGGAAAGACAGACACATGGCTGTTGTTTCACTGATCATTATTAGCCACCAAATGATGCATAACGGGTACCTAAAGTGAATAAGTTGGGAGACAATCAGGGAGGATGTCAATAGAGCCTTTTGTCCACTATTGCAGTTGTAGCATCAGTGCTGAACTGCACTGTATTGTGATTCTAATATTTGACAGTATGTTTGGGGCAAGTCAAAACCGATTTAAAAAAAAAACTCATCAAGAATATCAATATTTGGTTGCATTTGGTCTGTTTGGTGCAATTTATTTTACAGATGATGAATGAAAATAATCCCCGATAGTAATCGTACATGACAAAGTGTTTCAAGCTCATCCAAGCAGTAAGATTTGTTTTCATTCTTGAATGATGATTAGTGAAACAATGTTTCAATAATAACAATCTTGGAGACAAAGCTAATCCAAGCACATACCATATATGTGATATATGGGCATCATTTTCATCACTGCAGTTATTCACCCTCACAGGTAATTAGCTTAGTTTTGTATCGCATCCAACAGCGAAGACGGGCCAGTTGGCTGGCGCAACAAAATCCAATGTGTGCCGAAGAGAACACTGGAGGCGCTCCAGTGGGATGAGTCGCATAGCACCGTGCCCTTCAGCTTCTCTGACTACGTTAGTCACACATATTTGCAATACACAAGTGACCATCTGCGCTTGGCCAAATACACTTTCTCAAGACTCGCATGAATAAGGCTGGACAGCTCCCGATATGAAACACATGTCAACCAGAACAGTCACAACGGCAAATTAAGGGTTTCACGTCCAGTTGGCAGTGGATTTGAATTGAGGCGCAAAAATAGCGGGCGCAAATAGTGGACCAAAAATAAATATAATTGCTGCTTTTTGTGCATGGCACGAGGATGCCTAAGACTTAACAATATAGTGTCACGACCGGTCTTTCAAGCTGCATATAAATCATCAGTGCAATGAGCCCAAATCATGAACCTTAATTGGGTGCTTAATGGCTGCGAGAAATCATGACGAGCTGTGAGATACAGTATGTGGGGGTCCATCAGTTCACTGGCCACTAAAGCGGCAACAGTGTCTCTGTCATAGTCAATCAGTGCAAACATTATTTTAAATTATTATTATTATTATACACTGGTGTCGGTGTGTCAGCACAAACCAGTTCCGTTTTTAACCAAAAACTGTGGGGAATGTGGAAAAAGTCACTTTTGGGCTCCATTTTGTACACATTAGGAAGCGTGAGCAGCTTCTTTGGGGTTGTCCTGGGTATAAAATTTGGAGGCAGCCACTTCCATCAAATTCCGGGCCGTCTCGAAAGAGAAGCTGTGACATGATGTCAAGCCTGATCCGACCAGGGTCATTTTTAACTGCAGTTGCGGTGTGACACCACGTCGTCGGAGCAGCACTGTTACAGAAAATGTTTGCGGTCGCTTCGAGAGGAAGCGCTGCAAATGACTTCTTTGCAGATGCCAATTTGTCGAATGATTTAGAGGATTTTCAAAGAGGTCAATAGTTTCTTTTGTTAAAATAAAGTCATTATGTTGTGCACTTGTGCGTACATACGCGTGCGCATGATCACACAGGACTGTACTATACAGTATTTGCCACAATTTGGGTCGTGAAAAACCTTGAATTCAAAAGCAGCCGGACTGGCTCTCATTGGTTTCCTAAAGAAGCTGTCTTGTATCATCTCATTATTCAACAGCAGGGTAATTAAATCTGGGTGACGAGAGTCTGCTATGATGAAAGAAAGGTGGGAACTTAAGTGACAGTGTGTCTATGAAGACATCGTTGTGATTTAACGTCACTATCTGTTGGAATAATGATTTGGAAAAAAACCAAAAAGGTGTGAAAGCCCCGTCACAGAGTGTCAGCATCAAGTGCACTTCGCCGCAGCTTTTAGTTCTCATTCTTATGTCATAGACTGCACTGGTGTCGATCTTTCCATGTAATTTAACGGATCATATTTGGAACTGTGTATATAAGCACTGCGCTGCACTTAAAAAAAAAAAAAAAAAGATATTTTTGAAGACGCGTCATTAAGACGGTATTAAATTTCTTTAATCTGCATGTGAAAAAAAACAAACACTGGGACTCGGCTTTTGAAACCCACTGCGGTTTCACTGACGCCTTAATGACTGGCATAAATTGAAACATGTTGCGTGTTTCCTTGCCCAGAAAATCCCTCTCTGTGTTGAATTTGAGGGCTGTGTCTGACCAAAGTCAAGTGCAAGGCAGCAAAAAGTCACAACAATTCCATTTCAATTTCGAAAACGGAAACATAAGAACATCTGGATGTTGAGAGAGACAATGAAATATTGAACACTGGTTCTGTATCCAAAAATGAAACCTTTTAATACAAGCATTATCATGTAAAAATTTGGCTTTGGTTGATTCATTTGGTGTAGACCTCAGTGATTCTAATTCTAATTATTTTGTGTGCATTGAGATGTGTTTCTATTATTTTGACCTGCTCGTGTTGCTCAGTAAGTTAACTTGAAGATTACAGTGGAATCGCTTGTCAATGTGATGAAGTGCAACGTTACACAATGGCAACTGCAACACGGTGCCTGCAGGGTCACGAGTGCGCCTAATTAAGTGACCTGTCAGTATACCGAAGCTGTTCACGCAGTAAAAAAAAAATGCATCCGGTTTTGTTTGTTCGTTCGTCACACGTCAGTCTGACAGACGCAGCGGTGTTCAAGATGCGGTCCACGCAGGGAGAAGCCAATAAAAATCGGATAAGCTCAGAGAGGGAGGCGAGCTCATGTTTGGCAATCAAAGCCGCGGCTCATTAACACCCGTAATACATAATTAGCAAGCCTGGCTATAAAGATGCAGAGCTGGTTGCGATGCGGCACGCGTCTCTCCTCGGTCCTTGTTGCCCCTGGAATTTCCTTGACAAAGATACCTCACAGCTTGTCCACACTAAACGTTTACCCCAGAGATGTCAAACTCATTTTTGTCACGGCCCACTTCGGTGGGCCATTATGACAGCGTAGCCACAAAAATGAATCACGGCAAAGATTCGTCTTGATCCATAGGACAAAACACACAATCGCCGGATAATAGCGCATGACGATGTTCCACAAAATGACTCGATGCGGCCATCGCTGCAAGTTGATCTCGTTTTGTCACTCTATGTTAATGACTCAACAACTGGCCCAGCTGCAAACAAGTCTCATGCTCAGAAATGAATTTTCCAGATGAGAACACTGGAACCCATCCATCCCAGTGGAAGTTGAAGACACTCCAAGTCTTCGTCTAACTTCAGTCGCGCACTTACACAGCTCAGTCATGTGATCTCCTGCAAGTCCAATAAACAACCGCAGCATTAAGGCCGAATATGAGACCATGACTTGCTCTGCGGCCCGCTAGCGTCGTCTTAGCAGCAGGAGATCAAATTTGACAATTTCTACCCGGGCGAATGGCATCGATGCTGACGGGCACGAGTCCCTTACGATTCACGTACGCATGCGGTGGTGCAGATGGATTCAAACGCCGCACACGACGGCAGTTTATTCAACAACTCTCCGGCAATCAGATCTGGAAAATTGTTCTTGCTTTGCTGCAATGTTCATGCGCTCATAAAAAAAACAAACATATCACATTTGCAGAACACACCCACACTGAGTGGGATATGCTGTTATTCTTACACAGCTTGAGGCCTTGATGCACGAACTCGTCTGATCTGACAAATTTTCACCTTGCTGACAGCTGGAGGGAGGGAAGGCACAACCGTCGACATAAACAAGCAGTCCTTGCTCACACGTTGCACAAATAAACGCATGGGATGTGCCTACTCTCAAGTCTCCAAAGGGTTAATTAGAGAGCACGCAACAATTGTATTTTGTGCTTTTCATTATTTATGCCAAACGCAACGTGCAGGAAACTCACAGCGCACACCACGATTGCGCCATGTGACGATAGAGGCGAGGACGCCATGAAGGCGGTTAATGGGCTGGATTTGTACAAGAAACTCTTCTTCTCTCATAATGTCATTAGCATGAACGCATGGAGCTTATATCACACTCAAGTTCTCCTTTAAATGAAATTCCTTGATGGTAATCAAGATATTTTTTATTTGGCTAGGCATGTATTCCAAAGTGTATGTGATTAAAATTAATTTCTATTCTGAAAATAAAATGTCATGTGGCAGCCGTGCTAAAGATATAATCACACCAGCAGTTTCCAAATGAGTCTGTGGTACACAGTCGTCTTTTTTTTCTTCTTCTTCACATTGACACTTTCTTTATCTTGAAATGTGGCTCATCATGAATTGGTAGAAAGTTGAGAGGCATCTGCCCGAGGCCTTGTTCAATCCAAAGCGTTTTCAAAGTTTTCGACAGCTACTACAGTGGCACTCGTTGCAGTCTCGTTTGGAACAAATTGAATCACTGCAAGTTTAAGTGTGTTTCTTTTGTTTTGTAAATAAGGCCACGAGCCTGTCAATAAAAACATACCACCCGAAAAGAAAGATGAGCGTCACATTTGGACAAATGGGTAGAAGCTGTGTTAGTTTTCTCGAACAAGGCAGGTTTCGACAAAGTACAACAATTGAACTGTGCTTTCTTTTCAGTACGACTGAAGTCATCTAATCAGGAACCAATTTGCACTTAAAGTCACAATGTGAACAAAATCTACAAAGTCGGCAGGGCTTCATTGTTTCGTAACATTGCAGACCTCTCCCCTGAGTCCCCTTCGGTCGCTGACTCAAACCTCCCTTCACATGGGCTGTCGACCAGATATGTTTTAAAACAAGGATTTGCGCTTTTCACAAGAATAACATGTGGAGAAAACCGATGGCGTTTTCTTTTGATTTTTTTTTTTCCTTTTGATTTTTTTTTTTTTTTTTTAATCTTAACTAGCTGTGCCTTTCCAAATGTTGGAACAAATAACACTGGTAGAGGAATGATGATTCCGCTACAACAAAAAAAAAAAAAAATGTGTTGATGAATTTGCAGAACCAGAACGTAGATTCATGTAGAGGCAGCTTGGTCAAAATGGTCTGTTTGAACTGATGCGCAAAAGCAACAGAAAATACTGTAACACGCATACCAAGCCAGTAGGTGATAATGTAACATTGCTGAAAAGGAAGGGGGGGGAAAAAACTGTTTAATCTCACAGATGCACGTGGATGGACAAAGCCCAAAAATGACCAAAAAAAAGATAATGACACAGAAGCAATTGTCTGACAAAATAGCACATAGTATAGTATAGCATAGTTTCGTACCACACGAGAAGAACCCAATTTAGTGACTCTGTTTTGCAACAAACGGTTGGCGATTTCAAGGCGGCCGCAAATAGCCATCTTGTCATATCTATAAGGGATAATTGCGTTTGCATCAGTAAGAACACCCTCAGGATGCCCCTGCATTACAATCATGAAGAATTATAAATAAGCGGGGAATATGCACAAGAGCTCACTACGCAAATTCCCCACTTTTAGTCATGCAGCTGTGCACAATTGTAAATGACTAGAATAATTTGAGTCCGAGTAAAATGAAACCATGCATCCATTACAAATGCACCAAATGGTACATTTAGAGTTTTTACAGAGACAGAAATGCTGTGACTTGGGAAGATTTTAACCCAACGACAACAAAGCTACATCCTTCCTCTGTACATCGGTACAACTTGGAAAATTGCAGGACAATATGCCAATAAACCAAAATCAATGAATATACACACCGCGAATTTGTCGGCATGATGACATCATTCTTTGATGACATTATAGCAGTGACAAGTATTAAATAGTAACATTTTAAAAAAGAATGCTGCTCCGATTGATTCCAACACAAATTTATATGTGCGGGCACACCCGTTTAAAAACAAAAAAAAATAGGGCATGGCTCATTATGTAAATTTGGGGAGTAAAATATTTTGAGATATTGTTAGATGCCACACTATGTAACGAGGTGGTATATTTTCTTCACATTGTAGTGGATAATGTTGATGTGATTCCTTTTTACTTTGACAGTGCATCCACCTACTCCACCTCCACATCTGGGAAGCAAGACAGAGGGAGGAGAAGAAAAAAAAAAAAAAACAAGCTTCATGGTAAGTGGTGAGCATCTGGAAAATGAATAAATGGAATACAATGCACAACTCCTGAAATCTTTATGTTCCAGAAAAACATTTCTGACATAGCTTGAAATATCATAAAGACCCCTGTGAAACCCTCTTCATTGTTATTGGAGTGATGGCAGATGCCGCCTCCAGCACTTCATCGAGGATTCAAAGGAATGTTGTCTGCAAAATGCTGAAAGAACAGAGATTCCACTTCAGTTGAAGATAGAACCCGTCATCCTTTCATGCTTTACATTGAGTCAGAAAGTGCTCTGGGAAAAGCGCTTTCTTCCATGGGCCCGCTTTCTTCTTCCAAATTTAAAGAGTGAACACGCAGGGCACCTCCGACAGTCATCAACAGGACCGAAGTCTGAATTCCAACCGATCTGAGGTCGAAAAGGCGCAAAAGGAACATCGTAAACTAAGGTCTGGAATGACGAGATGATTATTGTATCTGCCCAGCTGTCACACACAATACCAGATATATCATAATCCCACCAATAATTTCACCTCAACCTGTATCTTATCCATTGCAAAACCAGATTTGCCACAATCGGATACACTTAAGTCAGCAATGTAAATGATGAGTCCAATCTTTCAACTCTATTCTGCATCGCACTGAGTACATCGTCGCCAATCAATCACCGTAGTTCCAGCAAGCCGAGCGCTGACTTGTGAAGATGGATAAAAAAAGCTGTCGGAAAGTAGGACAGTGAGGTGAGGGGGACTAGTTTATAGACTTGCGGTTCATCCTTTGCGGTCTTTGATCCTGTCCACGGTGGCTCAGCCTCACATGCGCACCGGCTGGCCCAGACTCAGCGGTGGCCTAAAAATATCTGTCGAGTATCTTCTCCGGCAACCGGTGAGAGTGAAAAATGCTGCCTTCTCACCAAGGTGCCAGAAAGCAAATTCGACCTTCATGTGCACTGTACTTTCAAACTGCATTCTGACACTTCAAATCGACTTGAAAGTGTGTCTAAGTTATGCAAAAAAAGTGAAATGCTGCGTTAGACACATCTACCAAAAGTACATTTTCATTTTATTAAGGACTCCGGATATTATTTCACCAAGAAAAGCTCAAAATATGTACACAATACTAAAATTGAAATTGGATGTTCTCGGTTTCCAGCCGCTTCAATGTTATGAACTTCCTTTCAACTCATATTGTATGCGCAGCCAAACACACACTCACATTCAGAACGAGATGGAATGATGGCTGGATGACAAAAATATGCATTGTCAAAGTTCGAAGTGTTGAAATGTATTAACAGTAACCCAATTTTAACACGTGCCACATGCTTCATGATGGCGATGTCATCATTTGAACCAGACACTGATTTTTTTTTCTCTGTTGCTATTATTCTTGATGGGATTTTTTTTTTTCCAACACTACACAAATCAGGCGTCAGCCGTCGTCTCAGAACTGTTTGCGTTCCAACATCAGCAATTCCACTGTATGTGACTTGAGGGTAAGTATACAGCTTGGATCACCCTCTGGGATAAATATATTCAGCTGACATTTTAATAAGCACACTACAACCATCGGGTGAATAATGTTTTGGCTCGTATTGTATTTTCAGTGACGAAAAAACAAAATGTCTTGTCAACCACCCCCGCGGGACCCTCCTACATGCCATCAGGTGGTAGTTGTTGCGGCGAAGGCGTTCAATGTGCTCACACGGGGATCAAACACACGTCCGCAATCATCAAAGACGTTTCCCTCTTACATCCTGAAACAATCACAGAGAGGATTCGGAGCTGCAGCTGCTGGGCGAAGAGGCGCAGACGTCACCGGCCCTCGGTTTTGCGTACGTGCGTGAGTGTATGTGTGGAGTGTGCCGTGCGCGTTTTGTGCGTGCATTCACGCTTGAAGAAGGCCAACAGAAGTGTGACTCAAGTAGATGTGAGCACCAAGCAATTCAGTAAGCAGGAGTCCGTGAATTATCCACAGACCTTTGAGCACAAGCTCCCATCAAATTGTTCAAATTTCAATGCAAAGTGTATCACCCTTGAGTGGGCGTATTTAAATCCGAGCGTGGTTTAGTGGCGGGGGGAGGTTCAACATCGTAGCGGGATCCTTTCCACTGCAGCCGTTGAGTTTAACCCTTTTGGGTTTTTGTTCTACATGACTATTGATCGGTCTACTTTCAAGTGCCAAGATCCATATCTGAAATGAGGAAAGCAGCATGAAAATTGCCAACAAGAAAATACATCCCGGTACTAATACTGTTACTGTCCTAGGAATGCTTCAGAGGAACAACTCAGAGTTACAGCGACAATAAATCCCTCGGCCGACTTAAAAATGTCATCACGGGAATGTTCCCCCATTGTGAGCAAGACAAGTAGGCAATTTGCTAAGTCCTCCACGGCCGACGCAAGCCGTGGAGGGAAATGTGTCAATGTAAATGTAGACCACACAGTAGCTCGGGCAAATGCTGCAAAGATACCGCCAAGGTATCCATTACCATGGAAGACATGTGATATCTGGCCACTCAAATTGTCTGGTTAGAGAACAGCTGAAGGGCAACGGAGGGGGGGAGGAAGGAGAGAGGAAGGGCGAGCTAGTCGGGGGGGATGTATCACCGCTTTACTGGATTTCCACTGTTAAACGTATCACTGATACCTGAGGGGAAAATAACCAATCAATAAACCTCCGTCTCCAGCTCCCCTTTCATTTTTGCCTTGCACTCGCATGTCTGTTTCCATCAAACACACCCCGCCCCCTCCCCACCCAAAAGTACACTCAACCTCAGCATGTTCACTCCCTTCAAAATGCTAGCGAGAATGATCGAGGAGAGAAGATTCCACTCCGGCTGACATAAAAGTGTCATTACGCTTTGTGTAAATGGTAACCTCTTTAAAGACGTGAGTGTTACGCCTCTGGCCGAGCTCTCTGCAAATACAGAACCCGAAATAAAAAGATGATACACCACTCAAGTGCGTCCATCACATCAAAATGGGAGTAGTACTCAGTGGAGCGCGGACCGAGGCTCAACCGAACAAACATAACAAAAGGCATTTGTGTCCATTTCCCCAACCCCACGTTAGCATGCGACACTTGCAAGATGACAAGACCGTACCGTTTTTTTTTTGGGGGCCTGATCGTGACTGGACATAAATGAATGCAAAGGGCAACCGGTCTGAAATAACAAGGTGCCAAAGTCAGAGTTCATGTTGGCTAAGAATCTTCTCTCCCTGAAGAACCCCAAAGTCCGAAACCCTTCATGTGTTTTCAGGACCGATCTGTAAAGCAGATGTTCTTGCACTGAGGACAAACAACCACAGACAGATTTGATGCACATGAACCGTGTTTTGTTGGCACTGCAGTGCTCTGCAGCTTTGAATGAACGTAGACAGCATCCAGCAGCTTTTAGTTCCAGTCTTGTCATGTTTTCTCTGCTAATGGGTTCTCGCCCTGATTTTAAAGGCACAGAAGGTCAGGAGGATCTGAACTTTACCAAAGTGAATTTCTCATGTGATTGCACCACTCTAGGAGCGCAACAACAAACAGACACTTGATATTTAATTCATAAGGAGTGAGGAGACTATTCTTAAACCAAAAAAACTAAGCAAAAAAAAAAAAAAACCCCCCGCAGGTGAGTGGCAGCTTAGCCCATTCCCGCTGCTCCTTGCTCCATTAGCTTCCGCGGAGCCAGCCAAGCGAGCATTACAGTTGCCGGCTTGCTGTCTAATCTCAGAGATGTAAAATGTACTCTGGGCAATGTGGGAGTCACTCAAGAGAGTCATCAAAAAAATTGCGCCTGGGCCAACTGGAATCACGGGAGACAAATTAAAATGAGACCTCTTTAAAAAAAGCATTTGCATTTGAATCACGTATGTCAAAAGGACGGTTGTAAAAAGATCTCAAGCGTGTTCAGGGAGAAGATTTTAAACATTTTTCTTTTGATTTCTACAGTCTCGATGCAGTCAATGAGATTCGACTGTCGTGAAATTTCAGTAGCTTTCCCTTCAACTGTGCTTTGTGTTTTTCACATTCTTGCCTTTTAACTCAGAACCTGTCCTGAAAAAGTGGCCGATTGCAATTTTCTGAAGCAAATAAGCGGCCGCGTGACACAGCATTTTAATCACTTCCCCTCATTAGGGGGGGAAAAAAAAAACGTTTCAGCGAGCTGTCTTGAGGGGAGCTAAAGCGTTCATTACTTTTGATAAGGTTGCTGACTCGAAGCTGTAAGTGCGTCTGCAGTTCTTTGACAAGTTTCCGGCTGACCCCGGGATGTCCCCGGGAGAATTCATTAGAAATCTTTTGGCCTGGATGCCAGAACATGCTCCGGAGCCTTTTGATTTTTTCTTTTGAGAATGTGTATGTGTGGCCGTGGAGGTCAGGGTGTTAAACACCAAGTGTTGCTATTTTGTGATGAAGCCATTATTATATTTGCTGTTGTGTTTGATTTATTAGCCCCTTCGATGAGTGTACAAAGCACAAGCACAGTCAGGAAGGATGCACTCATTGCAATGTTCAAGAGCTTTTTTGTGTGTGTTCTTTCGACTGACAGATTTCATAACTTGGAGGCAAAGGCAAAAGGGCCTGATTCTTGTGAACCCCTGGAGATTCTCCCAAGTATTTGGACAAGCTACCGTATGCTTCTGTGGTACCGGTATCTCACCTTTCCAAAATCCCTGACGTCGAAAAGGTCAAAGGCCTCAAACAGCTCACTTTTCTTCATGCCAAATAAGTCATTGCAGGCCGCCAGAAAAGTCCTGATGTTCTTCAGGCAGAGGAACTGAATCGGGGAGAGAAACATCGTTGGTGAATGAGGAAACTGTCCATGTACGAGCACAGGTACATGTTATTTGCACCGAAGAATGACCTCGCACCCATATCTTAACGTTTTATGTTGCCGAATACACACAGACCAAGTAACTTTGTGTTTTAAGTTCCCATTCTTGAAAAGGATGTCTGGAATTGGTTGGAAAGGATGATCAGTATAAATGCATTCATATTTATTCCCCCCCCCCCTCCAAAAAAATATATATATATTTACTTAGGTTGGAGGTGTATATTACGGCTAATCAATTCAGTGAGTTTTTATTGAAACGCGAACAGCCAAATGCTGGAATGAAATTGTTAAAACTGTAAATTTAGGCTGAAGTAGTAAGATTTAACGAAACCTTCTTTCATACCGTGATACTGTTCGTCTTTATAAGGAAAGCAATGATGCAGACTGGGGGGAGGGAATGGGAAGGTGTCATCAGAGTGATGTTAGCCAACAAGCGGTATTCTCTGGCTTGTGGCTGCTATCCTTCCTGTAATTGATACAGGATGGAACTGAGGAGCATGCTGATGAAACAACTTTTTTTTTTCAGGAAGTGATGTTTTTTGCCACATCACTATCCACCCACACTCATGGGACGAGGTTAACCAGATGACCTCATGTGGAAATGTGCATTCCACAACGAATATAACCTCGATGTGAACTGAATTGCGCATTAGTACAGAAAATCGGAGACATCAAATAAAATCCAAATGTGCTGTTCGCTAAACAGCGCAGTGAAGTCTTTGCAAAGCGAGGTTGACTCAAACGTGCTTCATTGACACCGCCGTTGCAAAAGTAATCGGTCACCATTAGGTATGATGTCTACTGCTTTATAATGGCTATTGTTGTTGCTCCTGCATTGAATATGATGTCTAAAATGCAGGTATGTTGTTGCTGTAAACGGGACGAAAGAATTTCAGTACATTTAATGTCTCCAACTATTGCTAGCTAGCCATTATTATTGTGAATGCTTTGAACTGTGGTATTATTCCATTTCTTAGCTCACCTATCCCTGCCATTGCCTTTACCTTTAAAATATTACATCTGTCTTAATCGGTAGAATTTGTCCTCAAGGAACTAGCGGATAGCAAAAATACAACTGTGAGAAAACAATGTACCCATTGACATGTCAGAAAACGATATGCTCCATCGAAGGAGAAAAGCTGCAGGACGACCTATTCCTTCACTCATACACAAAGCATAATGAGATTTGTTTCAGTGGAGAAAAATATGAAATAGTCATCTACTCCAAATTGAATTACATCTTGAAGACAAGGCACCTTTGCGAGAAAGAAAACAGACCCCAAGCCAACGAGCTCCCGATAAGATGCCGAGTAGGAGCAGCTGGAACTGGATTATTGAATGTTTACATTTGTACACATCAGTCTATTTTATCAGACAAGCACATCTTGTCCGCCTACAGTCTCCGGAGAGTTCCTCGGGATTCTGTACATTATCTCAAGGAAGCAGCTTCACACAGCACAAACGAAGCAGAGTGTGTCGGGCTGGCTACGAGTTGAGGACAGTTGCGGGGAAGCGAAGGAGGAACTTTTCCACAGGCAGCGCTAACAAGCCAAATGTAAGACAGCAAGAGTGCAGACCAAGCCTTGAAAAATGAATCGACAGCGACTCCGCAAGCTCTTTCTGATCAGCTAAGAAGCTGGAAAATTGAGTTCAAGAGCTTTTTTGTGTGTGTGCACATTGAAATCTAGAAGGAATGCAATTAAAATGTTGTCTATGGACCGTTATCCTCTCTCAGCCATATTGGAAGTCGAGAAATTCTCTTTGTCCCGTCTACGGCGTTTATCATTTATTGCTCGCCCACCACGAAAACAGCTCTGAATTGTCCGAAGGTGTGAAAGGAAGTGTGAATGGTTGCGTGCGCGCACACACACACACACACACACACACACACACACACACACACACACACACACACACACACACACACACACACACACACACACACACACAGTTATACAGTACATATAAAGTTTTTCAAGAATAGTATGTAAAGAGCTTTAAATCCCACCACTCCATTTAATGATACGCCGACCATCTGGAATGTCAAACAAATATGAGCCCTGAGAGTCAAGTCATCTTACTGCTGCTCTTTTTGATATGCGTCAGGCCGTGCTTGGTGTCCTCAATACGTATCCCGTTCCTGCTGATGTATTCCGTCGTCCAAGCTCCATAGCAACAAGCTGAAGCCTTGTTATGGCCCCTTTGCAAATTGTAGAGCGTAATGACATCCAGTTTGTGTACGTCCGCCGCTCGCTGCACGGCTGAAGGCTTGTCTCTCGTTGTATGAGCCTTGACGAGGGCCGATAAATGGGCAGCATGCAGATTGCGGAGGTAAGGTTGTAATTTAGTCCAGTGGAATACGTCTTGAAGCTACACTCAGTAGACACTTCATTTGATACATTCCAGATTGAATCTTCACTGTGTCATACTGAGACATCATATTTTTTTTATCTTCTCATACAAATGGGGTTTACCCCAAATATTGGAAACATCTCTCGGTTGTCAGCAAATAGTTCTAAAAAAAAAAAAAAAAAAAAAAAAAAAAGAAGCTATCTGTGACTATAACAGTCACAGTTACATGCATTGAGTCGCTCTTGACTTATTCATTAAGCAAGATACGGGAGTATGTGACGAAAAGATGTAGGTTCTTTTTCTCTCGGCGGGTGGGTTGACAATGACATCTCAGAAGCTCATTTCAATGCGGCAATCTATTCTATTTCTTCTTTTTGTCAAAGGAAATCAGTGGAAAGAAATTAGGCTTGAGCAACTTGCATCCCATGATCTTCTGTCAAGCATTTTTTTTGAAGGTGCCAAGTCACATCTGATCGCCGCTTTGACATCAAGCCTGTCTGCTGTCTAACCAGGAAATGAGAGATGCCGCACAAATGAAGGCACTGATTAAACGGCTTTTTCATCTTACAGTCTGTGCCGTTGGGTTCACTGCAGGGACCCAAGAGACAGCCGGGCCATGACCTGACATTACATTCGAATTTGTGTGTCTACGGTCGCTTTTCATTCCAGCAACATTGGATTGGGTTGGTGTGCTGTCCAGATCAAAGCATTGAAACTTTGTCGACTGACTAAAGTCTTTCCAGTCCATTTTCCAGCAGATTTCATGACACCGATTACATTTGGGGTCCGCCTCCATATCACATCTTATCACGTTTCCTTTGATTGACTCCACAGTTTTTTCCGCTTCCACTGGCACGTTTGTCCTCTTTAGGTAGGAGGAAACAGCCCTGCTTGGTGTGCATGCCGTGACTCAGCCATGTGCTTTTTCCATCCTTCCATCCATCCGTTTTGTCCTGCTCACCTTGGTGAAGATGAGCAGGAGCCTATTCTAGTTGACTTTTGGATGAGAGGCAAGGCATACCCTGCGCTGATCACAAGTCGATTGCAGAACATCTGTCACTAAATAACGCAATTCTCTGTGATCCAAAATAGGGATCTCTTAGCGTTAGAAGAAGATGAAGACTGCGCTCTAACTGCGGTCCATTACATTTTTTTAATGCAGTTTTAGAGCCCACAAAACTGAGAATCAATCAGGCACTTCAACAGTGTGTTTTTTTTTTTTTGTAACAGCAGAGGGACGTTGCCGCCTCCAAAATGGAAGCCATCCAATTGTTAAATCGATAGTACGATCTGAAAACCTGTTTCAGCTCTCATTCATTTTCTACTTGTCATAGCACTCCCATAAAACATTGATATCGAAAAGCGTCCCTTCTCTTTTTTTTTTTTTTTTTTTTTTTTTTACCCACTTGCATCAGGAAGTATCATCATGAAGCTGTTCAACATATCAAGTATGTCAGGAGCACCAGCTGCAGTTTCACGGGATAATATATCGAATGTACAATTCTCCATGCTTTCCAGTTTTCTAAATGTAAAGACATTAAAGAGACAAGAACCCCGCACACACACACACACACACACACCCACACACACACACACACACACACACACACACACACACACACACACACACACACACACACACACACACACACACACTCTTCCCAGCATGCTACCTCCCCCACATTGCCAATAAATGTGTCCAAAGCCATTTTCCATGAAATGCTAGTTTTAACCCTAGTGACCCCCCCCCCTCCCGCCCCCAATGTATACACAAAGGTGGAACCCCAACCCCCACTAGTAGAGTGCAATATGTGATATGAATCCTGCAAGAACACATCTCTTGTCATTTTAGCTGATTGGCTTGTGAAAATATGAGGTAGGATTAATTGAGTTACATAAGAGAGGCAAAATATACTCAGCATGTTGACAGTGCAATTTTACACCGCCGCAAACGACCACCATCATAAAACACTTTTTTTTTTTTGTATCTATCTCTCGCATTAGATTTTGTTAGATTCAACATGTGTATCTCATGGCTTGTCCACTGAGTCTCAAGGGTCATTAAGAACAACTTTTATTCTATGCAGGGAGTCTTCCACCGTCCCTATCATTCTTCATTCCATCAATGTGGGAATTCCCACTTCCAGTATTGACAACAGTCATCCATCACTTCATGGACGACCCCCATGAAGTCAATAATCTGCTGAAATGCACGAGGCTTTGGCTGTATTCATGTGACTCCTACTATAGGGCTAGCTTAGTGTGTTGGGATCAACAATGTGCACCTGACTCGGGTGCAGTTTTCCACCACAGTGAACCTGACCGTAAAATGTGACTGACACACTGCTGCAGGACATGAGCTTTGGTTTCATCAAAATGTTTGCCTTCTGAATGTCATCTTCACTTTTTTTTTTTTTTTTTTGGCAAAGATCAAAAAGGTGGCACAAACCGACATCTCTGGAAACTGTCCAGTCATTTGAGATAGGAGCCTGTGACGTTGCTTAAAATAGCATTTCCTACTACGATGGTTCACCAGTATTGATTTTCTAGAATGGTTATGATCAAATTGAACCCTTCGTGTTGGGTTACCTAATATTCATTGCGAACACACTCTACGCCCGAATCTCTCCTCATAAAATTCATGTCATTTCCGATATTTCAAGGTGTACTGGAGCTGTCTTTTGAGGTTGGCCATGGCGCAGGATTGTTGCCTTGGTGATCAAATGAAAATTGTGTACGCTGTTTGCATGTCCAGTATACGTCCACCAGTGCAATATCACATCATCTTGTCTTCGCCGACAACTACATGCAAAGTCACTGTGCATACGGCAGCACATGCACATGCACGGCATTGGGGGGACACTGCGGAACAAACCGGTGTGACTGAATTAAGCGGGAATCGTAAACCGTGGCGCCTTGAGTTGACATGGCATGCATGGCTGCAGTCACGTGCTGTTTGCACTCGGTGTGATATTTCTTCATCAAAAGCTGCTTTGTGCTTAAACTGATAAGTTTTCCTGCCCTCGTATGACCTGACATCTCCATGAGAAGCCAAAGGAAGAGAAAGATTCATCTTGATCTAACATGCCCCTCATTTTCTAACGCTTGTCTGTGAGAGTGACTTGCGAGCGCCGCAGGCTTTGAAGCCCACCATGCGCAGTGCTCACTAGAAGTTTTCTCAGTCTTTGGCATCACAGATTTTTGTGTCGGCTTGATTAAATATACATAGGGACCATTTATTATGTATAACGCTGTTCTCAAAGTGTATAAAAGTAATGTTCATCATTTTGTATTGTAGCATACTCGGAGCTACCTGCAGGGTAGATACTTGATTTGGGAAGGAGAACAGCTGATAATTCAGAAATGTTTAAATGAAGTCATCATGGCATATTTTTTGTTGTTGTTGTTAGTTAGAAATGTGTTGACATTGTAAGATAATGCACCTCTATGTTCTTTTGCTACTCTCTTTGATGCTGGTTAGAATGAGACCACACTCTTGCTGGGGCGACATCTTCTTTGCGCTTTCACTTTCCAAAAATGAAGATCAAACCTGAGAAGGCGGCGTTGCGCAGGCAAGGTACAACAGTTTTTGTTTTATTTTTTGGAGGGGGGGGGTGTTCTCTCTCTCTCTGTCAGTGTGAAGAGAGCGGCTTTTCTCTTCATTGTGTCTGGCATGTCGCTGCTTTGGGCTGCGCTTACTGAGGGCATGTTTAGTTTCACTTCCTTCCTCTATTCTGTTTCCTGATTTTCTGTGCTGCTGTGGGAGATGTGTTCGGCTGTTGTAATAGTTGCGACAATGTTCTAGAATCTTGTATTTCTGGACAAGAAGGCAACGGCAACCTCCCAAGCACAGGTATTGGGAGAAAAAAAATACAGGTTGAGACTTTCGGTTGATTCATGACCGACCTAAGTTTCATGAATTTGAGCTCTTAACTATCGCTAGTAAAAGTAAAATGTGGCGGTTAATGTGGTTGTCTAGACATTATAATTGAACAAATACAGCCGTAAAACAGTGATCAAAGAGTGTCATTTTTGCTCTGAAGGCCATAACTGCAAATTTGATTCACTCTGTTGTAAATGTTTATAGCATATCTTGTAAACGAACATGATTGTATACATCCTCGTGTTCACATACACAACATATGGCTCATCAATTTCAGGTACATTTTCACCACAAAATAAAGCAACTAATTTCCTGAGCGGAAAAACACATCCGAGCTACTTGTCATAATCGAGTGGTTCTTTGCAAACAAGTAGCCTGCTGACTCTGCTGTTGTAGCATGGCTCCCTTTCTTAGCAAACTCAAGCACATGCGACTCACTCGAACAGAAAAAGAAATGTCGCAGAATGAGAAGCAACTTGTCCCAATGGCAAAATCAAACCTCTGATGCTTTAATTACGCAGCCAACACAAGCACAGTTGGGACAAGCCCCTTCAGGGGTCTTTTTCATCCTTGGATCTATGACTCGAAATAGAGAGACCCAGACAGTCTCTTTGTAGGCCAGTCCCATCATTGCCTTTGTCTTTCCATCTTGAAGGTCCCTTGGGTAAGGCCGCAGTGGCGTCACATGAGGCGTTATTGGCCAATGACAAAATAGCTGCCAGGGGCCCCCATGAATTATGCGTAGAAAAGGGGAAATTCAATTCCACCCTCAGTTATGTTAAATGTTGCTTGGTGAAGAGGATAGCTGACACTGATTTCCAACTCAATAGAGGTGACCAAAGTCAGTACTAATACAGTGCCAACGTGTGCATGAATTTTACTCTAGCACAGTATTAATATTCAATGTATTAAGGAACATCCGATTAACGGTGACATGAAATAATAAATGATGTCACCATGTGTCCTTACACTTGCACTCGATGTAATTTCCAGCCATGTTTCCACAGCCACCAATGTCGCCCCACATGTAGCACCATTACTGGCTCCCAGTGTGAGTAAGCCATTCAACCATGCATAAAAACAAACTCTGCCTATAAATAACCCAATCGTAGTCAGCTCATGCAATGTGCATAAATACGACATTACAGTTCTTTTACAGCATGATGTTTTACAGCATTGTGTGGTAACTGACACAAAGCACTAAGAACCACTCACACTGATGTTTACGTCCGCACTTGCAACTATTAGCTGCAAGCTTAACTTCGTTCAGTAAATGCTTCTCTTCTTACAACCTCAATCAAGTTTTGTCTGGGTAAAAGGATCCTTCAGTAGTTGTTTCCATCGCCATTGATGCCATTAGAATTGCAAATGCTGATCTAAATTGTCCACTTGACCCGCTGGAGCTGACAAGCGGATACTCTGTTCGATTGTGAGAGAACTAACTGCGGGTTATATTGACCCGGCCACCGTGCCATTGTGTTTGGAGAGCTTTTTCCAGGAAACTAGCCTCATACGACTCTCCATCCACGTGACCCTACATCAATGCATATGATATTATCTATATCAAATGGTTGTTACTGGGCCAAAGTAGAGTAGCTCTGCGGGCTTCGTAGCTGCGTTTCGCAGTCACCGTGTGTGGTCACTGAATCCAACGCTCAATATTAATCTGGCCCGCTCTCACTATTGAGGTAGATGCTATCTGACAAATAGGAACCATGTGGCCACAGCTCTCTATCGTTCCGACGACTGCAGACAGTGCATGGACATCTTTAACAGTGGCACTGATTTACTCAAACTCTTGGTTGTTGTAGCCTTCACAAAACCACAGACTAAAATTGCGCCGAGGGTTTGTTTTCTTCATTATGATGAGACTCGCCACAAAAATACACATTCTTGGAATCAACCCCTTGATGACTGCCACTTTGAATCTTGTAGAGTACAAAAAAAAAACCAATCAAAATCACATTCACACTTTGCCTTAATCCACCGTGTATCTTTATCACCCATACACTGACTGGAGAGCATTTTATTGTAAATGTTCAAAGATGCCCAAAGAGAAATATAAAGTAACCGAATGAACCCAAAACATTTACAGACTTTAGGGGATTATGTGATATGATTGCTCTAACTGGCAGCAAATTTGACTCACTTCATATCGAATTTGAAGTGTCACAAAAACAATAACGGGCATGAGATGTTCCGTTATTTCATGAAAAAAAAGATTGCGGAGGCGTTGACTATAATGCACCCAAACTGAAGACAAAGTTATGATTTTCTTGAAGCTAACGTCCAAATGGTGAGCAGTTTTATGCCGAATTCTTTCACCACTCTCCCGTGCACATGCGGATCGACGAAAACGTTGTCATACGTTTGTTTGTTTGCAAAGAGATCAAGGGGACCCCGAAATGCGCATGACTGTTAACGAAGTCTGGCGCCACGATGCCATTTGACGGCGTAGCAGCGGACGCGACGTTTCTCTTCTCGTACCTGTGACATTTGAGGTCGCAGGTTGATCTCCTTTAGATTGATCGACTGGGGCCTGAGGTTGTTGAGGAGGTGGCAAAGGAGCACTCCATCCCGGAGGGTTTGCGCCAAGTCGAATACCTGCGCAGTCTCCCATGTCACCCGATGGTTTGCTGGAAGCACCTTGCAGTTGATCAACCACAGCGCGCACTGCCTCCAATACTCCATCATTACTACTCTCGCTTGAGCCGACGGCAGGACGAATTTCGGGTATTTGACAAGTGGGCTGGCTTGGGTGGTGCGCTTTAGAGCGTGTCCATGTTCCCTCACGATGAAAACGGAGCAGGACCACGATCGCAGAGGGATGGGCTGCAGTCGATGTGAGCTTGACAGCCTTGTGTGCTCGTACGACTGGATGGAGTGCACCCACTCTCTCTCTCCCCCTCTCTCTTTCTCTCTCTCGGTCTCTCTCTATTTCTCCCTCCCCCGCTGTCTCTTCCCTCCCCCTCATCCTCTTCCGCTTGCAACTGCATTACATTGCAGAAGAGCAACAAGACGCTCAGACTCCTGCCTGTAGTATTAACCTAATGCTGCCCCCCATATTTGTGCCCAGTAATAAGAGTAGAAGTGGTGGAAGTAACCAAGTGCAAATACTTCGTCACTGGTTACTGGACTTGAATTTGCATTTCTGCTTTTGAGGTGCCCAAGTGTCTGTAACGGTTGCAAGAAATACCGCTCATGACTAATTAAACATTTTTTTTAGATACCATTGGCGGTTGAGCTGGACAAACCTATACTTTTAAGGCCAAGAATTGTAATGCGTATAGCTGCAGATCCTGAATGACTGCTTTATATGTTTTTCTTGATTCAATTCACCCCCTCACAAATTGTCACTGGCCCCATATGCATGATGTCTTTTGACAATGAAACCCTTTTAGGCCTCCTTCCCCATCTACTACACCCGACCAGTGTCAATTAACAGTCTGACGACGCTATTGTTTCCCCTGTGAGCGAACACAGCGGTTCCTGTTTACGCTATCGTCCGACGACAAAAAGGTCATTCAGAATTTGTTCACTACCAAGCTCATTACCACGCCTATTAACGCTGATTAAATTGATACAGTGAGTACCATGTCATAGCTTGGGAAGAACCCCTCCATTAGATCTCGATTGATGATGTAGGCCATGATGTAGGTGTCAAACTCAAGGCCCGGGGGCCAGATCTGGCCCGCCACATTATTGTATGTGGCCCGCGAAAGCAAATCAGACATGTCAACTTCTGTGATGCTTGCTAAAATCTCTACCAAAATTCTCATATGTCATAAAAAACAGACATACTGTAAGCATTTTCTTGTAACCAAACCCCTCATTACAGTAACAATAGTTAAATAAACCGTTATTGACTTTTTTATTTGGTTTCAGTTATAACGGCCCTCCAAGGGAAACGGTAACTAAAATGTGGCCCACGACAAAAATGAGTTTGACATGCCTGATGTAGGCTATTACCGGTAGACGCGGAAATACGGAAACTTATGATTCTACCAAAAGTTTAAAATGTGTAAGTGTAATTTTAAAGTGTCATCGGTTGGTTTTCAGTGCATTTTACGGGAATAGAAACCGCTTCACAGTTGGGTCATTTATTGACATTTCATTAGAAATGCTTCTGAATTTAAATAAGTAAATCTAATTCGATTTTAAGATCTTTAAGAAGATAAAAAGAGATGATCACAATATGTTATATCCCCCAAGTATTAACGGCAAGAAAACAATCCAGTTCCAATAAAAAAAGCAATCTCAAGCGAAACTGTTAACCTCGTGACAGAGAATAAGAATATAAAGGATCTCCTGGTTTCTTCTAGCATTCCAGAAAAGAAACAGAAACAAGAGAAGAAAACCGCAACTGCGTTACTTGAACTTTGCAGAAAGGAAAGCATTTAAGGAAGTAACCGTGAGCGCCATGAAGACTGTGTGACAATTTATCCCCCCCCTCCCCCCATTGCATTTATAAACAGCAGCTGAGCACACAGGCTTGTGGAAACAATGCATGTGCATATTAGCCTCCAGATTATGCTGTTGTAAACACATCCATGTGCTGGAACTCCTCATCTCCTCTCTGTTTCCTTGCAACTTGGCTCATAAGACTTGCCTTTGTGCTTATGCAGATGTTTTGATGAAAATTAGCGCTGTAACCATTTAAATTGAAACCAATCTTGGTTAACTTTCAGTCATCTGGCGCTATCTTCCATCAGATGCCATGGCTGGCATAGCGCGGATGACAGGAAAGGTGACAGGCGGCCCGGATGCTGATGTGCCGCTTAACACCCTTCTCCTGTTACAGCTTCTTCGACCACACTGGAAGAGCAGCCATTCAGCAGGAGAATTATCAGCATTCATTGGATTAATGTAGGACAGGGGCTGAAAGGTAACACGGTAGCCCAAGAGCAATTTAACCTTGGTCTTTCAAGCACGTTTTCATTTGGATTTTTTTTTTGTGTCCACATATCGTTGTGATGAAAATACTTGATAGGTTTTGGCATTATTAGCCCCCTCCCACTGTCCAGCCAGATGCTCATCGCACCAAAATGTATCCATCACCCATTGTCATTGATAGATGTCCAGCCTTTTGTGTGTGTGTGTGTGTGTGTGTGTGTGTGTGTGTGTGTGTGTGTGTGTGTGTGTGTGTGTGTGTGTGTGTGTGTGTGTGTGACTTGATCTGGATACAGTGCAGGATCTATTGATGTATTCACAGCATTGAGAGGCAAGCTATCACCCTCCCTCCATTTCCTGTTTTTTTTTCCACTTTAAAATACTGTATTTATACATGCCATTTATAGTCAATGTATTTTTTAAAACGACATAACCCAGTATCTTTGTTGCATTGTTACTATATTCTTTGCGAGCATCGCAAGGTACAACTAGTAGAAAACACAGACGGCTTTCAGTAGCCGTGCCTTTATTTGAGTTTGTGTTCATTGTTGTTAACCGGAATTGATTTGGTTTGCTGAAAGGGCCATCAGAGAATTTAATTGCCCGGGGTCCCCAGGAGAGATTTGGGACAAATGGAGCCTGTCCAGGCCTTGCGGTGTCTCATCCGAGTGGAATCACCAATGGGGATCAGCTGGGAAAGCATCAGGATGGAGGCAATGGAGTGGAAGGTATACAGAAAGAGTGAGCGTGACGCATCAGATTGGCTTCTCGTCGCCTTCTGGACAGGCTGTGAAAGCTACTTCAATATGCCATCATTGGTTACTATCTATCTCAAGGGTTTAAAAATTGATGACATATAAAAGCATCATTAAGACATATTGGACCCACGTAGACTAAACTTACCACATCCTCTGTTTTGCCATTGGAGCTTCAGAATCAGTGGGCCAGTGGTACCCTCCCCCTAGTTTTGAGGAGGCGGAACGGACAGTGTTTCAAAACATGTCAAGTGGACTACGACAAGGTCACAAAGAGACTCCAAGGTAAACATGAGTGCATTTATCTTTTGCAATGACGCATTGTTACACTCCTATTAGTCATGAACATGGACTGTGCTGAGCAGGCCGTGTTATTGAGGGAATCGTGTTTTTGGAATGTTGGTTCTCACAGTTCTTTGTGGAGTGTCAATTTAGCTCCGAAAGATTGTAAAAACTTCTGTGCAATTAATCGATGTCCCTTGATACCATGTTTTAGTACCAGGTGAACCGTTGCAGTATTTTACTTCAGTTGCTCATTCTCCAACGCTGTTGAAAGCAGATGGCCTTGAGTGTGCGAGAGAGAGCCATTGGGGCCATTGTAGGGGCAGCAGTCGCAGATGCAGCAGGTAAGATAAAATATGCAGTCATGATGCGGGGAAGGAATTGCTGTCACGACAGAAATTAGACCTCTTTGTTTCATTTACAAAACACTGATGGTATTTGTTGAACTACTATTTTGCTATGCAGCTCTGAAGAAGATTCATTTTTCGAGCTAATTCAATTTGGACAATGATCTTTTTGCATAAGATAAAAACCAAATGAAGTAGACGTTTCATAACTTAGTTTTTGTTTTATTTTGTGCCACAAGCTAGACAGACGTCTGTCAATGGTAGATGCAGTTTGAGACATCTGTTCAAGCTGATAAGAAAGAAGGGGTGGCTCTCAAGACATTTTGACTGCAAGTTGATGGAAAAGGACTCCAGGGCTCTTAAATAAATAGCGAAGAGCTTTCGGTGGTTCCAGTTACTTTCCCGCAGCTCGTCGTAATAGACTCATATGTGCTCTCTTGTTTTATTGCCTGTGTGTGTGCTGCATGTGTGTGTTCTCCAATGCAGCCCAGCCCATGCACTGGATTTACAATCTAGACAGACTCAGAGAAGTTCTCGCTGACCTGGAACCCACACCAGAGTTTCGTGCCGACTCTGCAAATCCTTTCTACCGCAGGAAGACAGGCGAGCAGACGTGCTATGGCGACCAAGCTTACGTCCTGTTGGAATCATTGAGTCAGTGCGGAGGTACACGACTGAGTCAGGCGGGACAATGCGTCATACGTTGTCATAACATTTTTTTTGTAAAGACTCAAATGTGTCATCACCATTGTGAACCATGTCACTGGGAAATGAGAGCATGAAAGAAATTCCACATCATTTTAAAATACACGTTACGATATAATTGAAGACAATCAATTTCCAATTGGGATAAAAGTGAGTGAATTTCAGCAAGCTGCAAAGGCGCTTTGCTTTCTTGTGTGTCGGCAGGTGTCCATGTGGACGATTTGACTCAACGTACCTACAAGTTTTTTGGCACAGGGACAGTGTACGACTTGCCACTCAATGACCCTTACCGCAAGAAAGGAGGTACAGTACATCTTCACAGTATTTTGCATGTAAGTGTCGATTCCAACATTCCTGTCAGTGGCTGCACAACAGCCACAGGGATGCACAAACGTCCATAAAAATATTCCATTTTTTAAATAAGTAACATTTTTAATTAGTAATCACAGCGGCATCGTCATTATGGAGCAGCACACCAAGACAACAGCTTCACTTCAGTTAGTTACATGGCATCAAAGGCAAAGAGAGACAGAAACTATTTCATGAGTTCATCATTCTTTTATTGACACAACAGTACCCATTGATAAATATCAATCCATTAAAAAATTAATATGAAAAAAAATGCTTGAATTTTCCAGGCCCCAAAGCCGTCCTTCCTATTGATGGTCCTTGGAGGCATGGGAGCCTCAAAGCTTTCTTGAGAAATGTGGATGCTGGCAAAGAAGAAACTGGTATGTAATAATAATGACAATCATAATAATAATAATAATAATAATAATAATAATAATATAATGGACAGCACGGTGGTCGACTGGTTAGCATGTCGGCCTCACGGTGCAGAGGTGCAGGGTTCGATCCCGGCTGCGGCCTTCCTGTGTGGAGTTTACATGTTCTCCGCATGCCTGCGTGTGTTTTCTCCGGGTATTCCGGTTTCTTCCCACATTCCAAAAAAATGCATGGCAGGGTGATCGGGCTCTCCAAATTGTCCCCAGGTGTGATTGTAAGCGCGAATGGTTGTTTGTCCACGTGTGCACTGTGATTGGTTGGCAACCAGTTCAGGGTGTACCCCGCCTACTGTCTGAAGACAGCTGGGATAGGCTCCTGTACCCCCGTGACCCTTGTGAGGAAAAAGCAAATTTGAAAATGAATGGATGCATAATAATAATAATAATAATAATAATAATAATAATAATAATAATTTCTCTATTTTGAGTTGTGAGCTGTTTGCATGTGTTTTTGTTTGAGGCTGTGACGAGGACTGTCAAATGGACGGCATCACCAAGCTGGCTCCAGTGGTGGCCTTTTATGCTGGCCAAGGCGACATGCTGGAGAAAGTGGAGAAAGTGATCAGGGTGACCCAAAATAATGATATATGTGTGGCTGTGACATTGGCTGCAGCTAGGTAAGGAAAATGTTGAACATACACACACACACATTATCTTAACATTTGGTTTCTCATTGGAGGGAAAGTTGTAATGCTCCACCATTTTGTCTGTTTTATGAATGTGGTCAGGATTTTGGAACATTTCATTCTGAATGGTCCAAGTCCCAAAGCTCTGGAAGCAGTTTTGGCTCAGTTGAATGATCCGCAAAGACAGAACCCTCAAGAGCTCGATAATGTTGTCATCGGTAAGACTACGTTTGCCCTTCAAAACATCCATTTGAGGGCATATCCACACTCGGCCACTGGAATGTGCCCGTTAGCGATTTCCTCTCCAGTTTTCTGCTGGCCTTTTAAAAAAACATTTAAACATTCAAACTCAATCTCAGTCGGCATCATGGCCCATCAGTTCCGCAATCTTGCAACACGTTAAGCCTACCTTAATTTTCTCATCTCTCTGCGGAAGCACATCTACACCAGGTGAAGAATAACCTGGCCAAGACGTCCCAGCAGCTCATACCCGCTCTCTTCACAAACACATGAGGTAAGCTCGTCAGATAGTCTGATGACGTGGCGAAACTCTTCTACCCCTCTGCTCCGGCCTTTCATCTTCACACTAATGATCGCCTTTCAACTGCCTTTTTTATTTTCTCCTTCCTACTGCGTTGAGTTTTACGAGGGTAAAAGGCGCAGACAATAAATGCTCATGTAAAAACCTCTGCCTTGGGAGGGTAGTCATGATGTGCAACTAAATTGCGGTTCTGTCCAGCTTTGCCCGGTGCATTCCAAGGAGCGCTACATGGAGTCCTGACGGCGAGCCAACTGGATGAAGCTGTCAGGGACACCATGCGCTGCGGGGGGTGCACCGCCAGCCGAGCCTCCTTCATCGGAGCCTGCTTCGGGGCACAGGTAATAGCGCTGAGCAAAGAACTAACCACGTTTTCAAAGGAAGGGTGTTAACTTTCATTCCGGACTGAGTTTAATCATGTTCACGATATCATTACGAATATAGAATGCTTACCAAGATTCTTAGACAGCTACCCAGACTGATGTTTTTTTTTTTTGTTTGTTTTTTGTGCGCTGGCACACCAAAACTAGAGAGCACAGACCTTCGTCAGGGCCAAGCAACAGCATCACCAAAATTCCCTTATCCCGAACAAAATTGAAATCTCTCTTCCGAAGCGAATGCACCGTCACGCTCCAAACATTCACGCAAGTCAGTTTGGCAGTTTTAAAAACACACTACACTAGCCTGCAATTAATTCTGCATTTGAACTACAAACCTGTCTTGTATATTTCAAGGCTGCTCAGTCTGGAGACAGTCGATCTCGAATGCAATACCTCACTGTTACCTCCCCATTGTGAATATGCGCGCGCATGTTACATCAATTGTCACGCTTTTATGGTCTGCACCAAAGTTTAAAATGGCAAAGTGTCAAACTACCCCGTTGAGAAAACGCTGTCAGAGAGGCAAGAAAATGTAATCTTAAAAAAAAAAAAAAACTAAAGAAAAAGGAAGGAAAGGCATTAGTGCTCATTTTGTACCTGGGAAAATCGCCCAAAACACAGAAAATCTGTACTTGTCACACTTTTGCATGAATCTCGCATCAAGAATCAATTACACCGGGACCTTTCACAAATCAAAGCAGCGTATTGCAAACATGCTGATTTGGGCTCAGTACACGTTTTCTTGAGCGACACAAAAGCCACTTTAATTCAGTTCTCCATCATCAGTTTCGGAAGAGTAAACGCTGATCTGGCCCGTTTCCGTTGTGGGGGTGTGTGGGCGGGATGGCGGTAGCTGCGTCAGCTGCAATGACATCATCGCAGCATGACACTGTGTAACTTGCCAATAAATTCAGCAAAGAAAAGGACACACAGTAAACAAAGGACAACAGTAGAAGAGAACCAGCATTTTGGTGTACTTTCTCTTTGGCGCTTAGTTGCTTCATATAAAAGAAGATAAGCTCATGTCCTCCGATTTCATCCCATTTGTCGTATGGAGAATTCTCTTTTGACCAATCAAGAACATGCAAACTCCAATCATGAAATTGTACCTATTTTAGGGGTGTGCCACTTTTTGAAAGCAACAAACAAAAAAAATGTTATGCAGTGAAATGAATTTGAGCCTTAATTAAACGTGTCAGTCAGTCTTGTTTTTAATGTCTTTGCAGACTGGCCTCCAAGGAATCCCTGAATCTTGGAAGAAGAAGACACTTCGATACCCTCGGCTGCTGGAGCTAGTTGAAAATATGTTCCAAAAATCATGTTAAATTGCAGTTAATCATTGAGTTTGCCTTGTATGATCCACGACTATTAGTTGGGGTTAGTGCCTTCTCCTGCTATAATATTCACTTTCCTCAAGTTGCAGATGTGCTTTGAAATGACAATTCATGACAGTCTCATTTTAAAAGTCTCGGACTGAATGAGACTCGAATCTGTTTGTCATGTCAAAGTCGCATTATGTAAGAAGAAGGGAGTCTGTGCCAATTGCTTGAATTGGGTCAGAAGAGCCTTGAAAACCATCAATTGCTAATAAAGGATAGTGTTACTTGTATGTGCATGATGTTTTAATTGAAGTTCCCAAGTGCAAGATGGAAAGCTGAGGTTTCTTGGGGTCTGGAAACATCATGTTTTTTTTTGCTGAAGTGAAGAATTTGTTTGGTTTTTGTCTTTCCACTCCACGGAGCATGTTTGGTTATTGAGACGCGAACGAGCAGATTTACTACTGGAAGAAGTCAAGACTGAAAATAATGCTTCCCTCAAAGGAGCTGTTCTGCATTCCGAAAAGTGCTGACTTCTATCTTCATTCATTTTGAGCACACATTACATATGTAAAATAATTTTCAAATTATATATTCAGACCCATATAACAGCTGGTTCATCTTTTGCCTAACAGAATCAGTTTGAGTCTTTCTTTCCAAATTGATGAATTGATTTGATACTAAGCGCTGTATTTACTTGCATTATGGCTGCAGGAGTTGTTTATATGTATGCATGCATGGCCATACATGCATGTAAATACGTTCATATACACGTATGCATGTATGTCTATTCTAATGGTCAAAAGTTTAGACCATCGAAACATCTGTGTGGTCTAAGAATAACACACAAATGAACCTAATGATGAATAAACTTCCACAACATTGTTTAGCTGGGGAAATAGGTCACTGCTGAGAGTGCACAGGTAACAAACAGAAGGGAAGTCATTTGATTTCTCCCTGTGCCTGACTTCCTCCTACACAGCAGGTAGGCTGTGCATGTCTGGCATAATTATATCCAGACCTGAAGAGTTGTTTTTTTTCCCCAATCTGCCAAAATCCAATTCCGCAAGGTAGCTTTTCTAAGAAACGGAAGGAGGGTTATCAAATTGTGAAGTGAAAAGATTGCCATCCTCCCCGTGTCAATATCCTGGTAAATTCCAAAACAGCTCTATCCTGTGCCTTAAATTTGGCATCGACAAGGTACAGAGAAAGATCTTGAAGCTGAGTTACTACACCACTTTTGCATGTTGTTGCAATTGGAAAGGTCGGAGTCGAGCCTTGACAACAAAAAACACCCACATCCACTGACATGAGACAGATGAGTCGCCCACTACTCCCTCGTGAACCCACCACCTGGACTTCATATAGAAGTCATGAAAATACCATTATATGTTTACAGCTAATGCCAGCATACAATATTTTGAAGGGGGGAAAAAGACAGGGAGGGATGATGGTCAAAAGGTCAAACGTTCACGGCCATGTCATGATGATGGTGGACAGTGTGGGCTACTGGTAAGCACGTCTGCCTCCCAGGTTTGAGGTTCCGCATTTGAAGCATGGGTCCGTCTTTCTTGTGTGCATGTTTGTCCTTGCATGATTTTCTTCCTTCCGCATAACATGTTAGGGTGATTGAAGACTCCAAATTGTCCATCAATTTGAAGGCGAATGGTTGTTTGCCAATATGTGATGGATAGCGACCAGTGCATGGTGGAGGGCCAGATGCACGGATTGTGTGGGTGTGATGAAAAAAAAATCACAGTTGCCTGTCTAATGGCAGAGAATGGAACCTATGGTATGTTATTAGCTTCTGTTTTATTTTACGTTTCCTGTGGATTATTTTATGTGTTTACATGTTCTGATGATGCCATTTTAAATAAAAAATACGAATAGGTTACCTTTTGAAATATAACAAAAGACAATTCTTTTAAAATTCGAAACGTATGTAAGTCGCTCCAACGCAGCACTTTTTTGCAACGTTACGCAAAAAAAATAAAATAAAAAAAAATAAAAATAAAAAAAAAATAAAACCCGCTTTTCAAAGCTTAGCGTGTGAAACAAGCGAGAAATGCCAAAAGAACCTTCAGCTGTTTCGAGCAACCGAAAGACCGCATGCGCAGTTTCAAGGCCAACTGTCAGATTGCTTTGGGCGGAAGGGAACTCTCTTGGTGTCGTATCATCTTGGTTGCATTCAACAGCTGGGTGGAACTCCCGACAAAAACTTGCTTCAGTGACGTTTTCAAAAGAGATGGAAATTGGACCGCTTTGAAATAACCCTTCCGTAGCATCAAGACTCACTTCTCCTCGTTGTCATGGATTTTAATGTCAAGCGGCTAGCTGCAGACGCGGGTACCTTCCTAAGTCGTGCTGTGCAAGTAAGTTTTTTCAACGCTTTGCTGGTGGACGTGGTTGCTAACAAGCTGCTAGCTTCCACCCAGATGAGATACCTTTGAAAATGTCGTAACCTTGGCATTGACTGTGTTACACAGTTTGATAAACATGGAGATGTGTGTCTTACAACCACGTTACACCAGGCCATGCAGCACGGCAATGTTTTTGTCCATTGGTCAGCAGTAGGTTAACATCAAAACAGGCCGCTAAAAAAAAGATAATGCCGTGTACAGTACTCTTCATTAGCTGCACGCATGACGTTGATTTGCGTCCAGTTGATAATACAAGACTGAAACATTCCAGTCCAGAAAGTAGGCTGGGTGTTATGTGCATTAATCATTTGGTTTGGAGTTTGATGTGTATTTCGCTCTTTTAAAAGTTCACAGAAGAGAAGTTTGGCCAGGCTGAGAAGACAGAATTGGATGCCCATTTGGAGAATCTTTTGGTAAGAGCTGAGACCACCAAGCAATGGACAGAAAAAATCATGAAGCAGACCGAAGTCTTATTACAACCCAACCCAAGTAAGAACATGTTCTTTATTACAAATTAAATACAATAGATGAAATCAGTTTGTGGTACGTGCAGAATCATTATAGTCTGTGACGAGCAAGAGGTGTAAAGTTGGAGCTCTAAATATTGTACATCTACATTCAGGATTGGTGTGTGACATCTGTCAGCTCAGCTGTGCACGCTCCTCAATTCGCACCATTTTACGGCAAAAACACAACAAACCACCTGGTGTTATTAGTCTTGGACACAGACAAGTGGATTTGTATTTTTTTTCACTAGTTGCTTTTTGCATAAATCATGCTGTCAGGAGATTTTTTTTTTCCGTGTTCACTGTGTTGAATGTTACAGTCTCGTACATTCCCCCCTGACTGTCTCATGACTTTGTAATTGAGTTTCCCTTGTAATTTCCAGATGTCCGACTTGAGGAATTTGTGTACGAGAAACTGGAAAAAAAGGCTCCAACGCGAATGAACAACCATGAACTGTTGGGCCAGTCCATGATTGACTCAGGAAATGAATTTGGTCCCGGGACTGCTTATGGTGATTATCAATTGTGTATATTTTTGGTACACATGGTACGTGCTCTGTATCATCCAATCAGCGTTCTGCAGGGCTGAGTTACAGCACTAGTTTCTAGATTGTACCGTCTCCTGTCCTGTGCAATAATGGGAGTGATGGTTTGTTTGTGCTGCTCACTATTGTAGGAAATGCTTTGATAAAATGTGGCGAGACCCAGAAGCAAATCGGCGGTGCAGAGCGAGAGTTAATTCAAAGTTCTGCCATCAATTTCCTGACCCCTTTCAGGAACTTTCTGGAGGGGGACTTCAAAACAATCCTGGTGAGCTGGTAGTGGAGGATGCCATTCTCTACCCTTTTCATGCAATTTCAACAACAATCTAATCTTAGATAATTCACACAATGGTTGTATCACTCTTGCTCTGGAGTCAGTAAATTCGACCTCATTGCTCACGTGGGTCAGTACAGTATACTGTTTGCTTTATTTTTTGTCTTGCAAATGTTTTGACATTTTCAAAAACATTTTTTCATTCCATTGACATTAGACCATCTACTTTCTAAAGGGAAAACACATCAAAATCATTAACTTGTTTTGCATGTACCTGGAAATTGTAATACATAAGTTTCTGTTCATCATTTCTTTCCAGAAAGAACGAAAGCTGCTGCAGGTCAAGCGTTTGGATCTGGATGCAGCCAAAACGAGACTCAAGAAGGCCCGCATGGCTGATGCTCGAGCTGCTGTACGTATGTCTTGTCAAATATTGCTTTTACTGCAGTGTTCTTTTACAACTGGGTGTCTTGGTGTTGTTTCAACATTGATCAGCCTTCAAAAAAATGTTTCTTCCCCAAAAATATGAGGCAATATCCTCTTCAAAGAAGGAAAACTACCGGGGCCTCGAAGGCAGTATGAAGTCACATGACTGTCAACGGGTACATGCGACATATTTGGACTTCCCTTTTCTTGTCACTTATTCATTTGCAACTTCACCGGCGTCACTCCATTGTATTCATCCGGACCACATTTGCACAAAGTGTTTTCGCCGTGATCTTCACGTTCCCTTAAGTGACGTCTCAATGAAATGACAAAATCGAGGACTGCTGTCATTTTGGAGTCATTACTCTGAACATTTGTCCCTCCTTCCTCCTCTGTACTTCTCCTCGATGGGAGCTCTGGTGGGTGGAGCTAACATTTAAATAATAGAGCAAGGATGGATGACAGAGGAGGTTGCTAATTAAGAAATCTGATAATAGATGAGGTCGCGTCATCACAAACCGGTCTTCTCCGTGACTGGATTTAAATCAACTCAGATATTAGCAAGAGTGTCCAAGGTTTGCGTGGAAGTTTTCGAACATCGCAAATGGATTACGTGAAATGATGTGTTCCAGAGCCTGAGTGGTGTTGAGAATAGCCGCGTTTTGTCACACAAAAGCAAATCACGCCGCCAGTCTTTAAATCTAATCCGGAGTGACTTAGCAGCTCTCGCTCTAACTTTTGTTACTGTTTTTAAATTGCAAAGCTGCAGATGTGAGCAGAGGAAGTGACAGAGGTAAGTGGAATGCTGGAGCCATGTTTGACCTTAAAAAAAAAAAAAAGTCCCAGACACACATGCACGCACGAAAGCCATCTCCTCTCAGAGTAATATCCTCTGTAGTCACACTTGGACTTGTGTAAGATTGATAAGAGGCAAAAGCTATCATTAGAGTCCCTTACTTCGAGTACCACTTCACATGTAGACTGTAAGCTTTGGAGACAGCGGTGCCATTGTCGCCCTCATCAACACATATATTGATAGACCCAATAAGTCACCGTATGGCCGGTCCAGGTGATTCCTTTTGAGTGTCAGGATGCGGGAAGGGAAACCCATTTTACGAGCCATTGTTCTTTCGATGAAACCAAATCCTCACAGTGTTTTTTTAAAAATATAATCGAACATGTTTGTGTCATTACAATTCCAAAATGCTGAGAGTGGTGTTTGCTTCCAAGCGTCAAAGTCTTGGTCATTTTTGAAAGCCGTCACGTATGCTTTTCGGGACCACAAAACACTTATCTCATGTGTTCTATCCCATGTGTCTATGGTGGAGTTCATCTCGAAATCACTTTTATCCTTTCCTGCAGGCTGAACAGGAGTTAAGGATGACTCAGAGTGAATTTGACCGTCAGGCTGAGATCACGCGACTGCTGCTCGAAGGCGTCAGCAGCACCCATGTGTGTATCTTGGCTTGCCTTCACACAACCTGTCACCTCCATCTCAGTCTCACAGCACATTTGAAAATGAAAAAAAAAAGACATTTAGACACCTAATTGCCAAGTGGGTACCCCACAAACCTTTTGGAATGAAGGGATCCTTGTGAAGTATAAAATGCATTTTCAGTGTTAACAGTTGCCAAAGCGCAAAATTGATGTGACTTGATTTTTGTATTTTTACTGCACCCAAACGCATTCGTCAAGTTGTTGTAACAGTAGCATCGAAGCAGCTGAGATAATGAGGTTATATAATGCGTCCTGAGTTCAACATAAATCGGCAGCCTTTTCATATCCTTCACACATTTCTTCTTGTGTGTAATCAGGCACACCACCTACGTTGTTTGAATGATTTTGTGGAGGCTCAGACGACCTACTATGCGCAATGTTACCAGTATATGGTGGATCTGCAAAAGCAGTTGGGAAGGTAAAATCACGCTCTGAACAATTCTACCATTGAATTCTTTTTCTTAGCGTCTCAGTCGTGTGTCTCCTCGCTCTCTCTCTCTCTCTCTCTCTCTCTCTCTCTCTCTCTCTCTCTCTCTCTCTCTCTCTCTCTCTCGCTAGTTTTCCTTCGTCATTCTCCAATAACAACCAGTCGTCAGTTACGGAAGGGGCCAGCATTTCAGTGCCCACCATACCAGTGTCGGCCTCCCTGCCCACCTCTTCCAGCCGTGGCGGCGCAGCCACCTCCGGTGGCTTCAGCGAATTGCGTATCTCCAGTGGCAGCCGCAAAGCGAGGGTCCTTTACGACTACGACGCGGCGAGCAGCAGTGAACTTTCCCTGCTGGCTGATGAGGTGAGCCACTCTTGTAGCTGTCTACAATACGGTCGTACCTTGACTGAGATGTGCCCTAATTTACGAGGTTTTCAAATTCGCAGCCATCACTTTTTATTTTCTTGGGGGCTCCCATAATGCAAGAAACACTATATGTGTTTGCAGGTTATCACAGTCAGCAGCGTGCCAGGCATGGATTCAGACTGGCTCATGGGAGAGCGAGGCAGCCAGAAGGGCAAAGTACCAATCACCTACCTGGAATTACTTAACTGAAACTTGCAAATAGCATCTTCAGTCGTGAGCTTATGCTGCCATGTCAGCCCTCTTCCATTCTGTTTTTATTTTTTATATATATATA